AAATTTTAAAATTTTCTCCAACCATCTTACCTTTTTTATCTGATCAAACATCTGTTTTCTGTTCTTCTCTTTTGGATCTACGTATTCTATTCTCTTGTAGACAAGGGAAAAATGCATTTTGACACATATTTCTGATTCTATTCTTTTATTTGATATCTTGGCGCCAGAAATATCAAATTAAGTATATTAGAAAGGTATTGTTTGTGAGTAGATATGATGTATGATGATGTTTTTGGTAATGTCTGACTCAACAACTGTTGAAGGTTAGCTTCGAACACGGTTTCCTCAATATTCTTACAGGGTGAAAAAATAAAAGTCACTAAGTGGGGTTTGAATTTCCATTGTCAGAATTCCGCCTTAGTAATAAAGAAGGGTTAGGCTAGGAGTGGATATTTTCGACAACAGAATTATTGGTTCTTGTAAGTTCATCTCTGACACAGTGCTTCAGAATACAGTCTCGTCTACAGCAATCTTTTCCTGCAGCCAGCAGAGTATAAACTGGTGTAATAGTGCATGGTGCACAACCTATCAGGATTCTATTTTCTATGTTTCCATTTTCCTTGTTTCCGGCAAGAGGGAAGGGGAAGAGTAACAGAGAGAAATACCTCCTTCTATGCACTATTATTTTGTTTGTTTTTTCAAGTAGGAAGTATTGCCATGTTATTCCACACAGGGTTCTGTTCAGCCACAAGAAAGTAGAGAGAGTTGTATGAGAACCTGACTGTTCTGAGCTCCCTTGATGCTTCCACGTAGATCCAGATTCAATCGAGAGAATTGACGTTATTACGACTTAATAACAGCTAACTAGGCTTGTTATATTAAGGAGTATATTTAAAACAAAATCTGGATCCAGCTTTGTAAAAAAAACCTCCATTCTCCAGGTTAATACAGCGTTTAAAGATTAATGCAGGCCTTCAATGTTTCTTGTAGTTCCGTTTATTTCTTTTCCATTTGTGTGCAGGGGTGTATAAGGGGATATACTCCCTTGGCTAAAGTATCTCTAGTTTACCATTTTCTCTCTCTCCCCCTGTTCTCTGAGTACTTTTAGAAGCGCCAAGCCAGAGCCAGTTGTTGCTGCTCTGAAAGCTAAATGTACACTGTAAAGAATAAATGTAATTGTCAGTAAAAAGTTGTTATCAAAATAATCTCCTGACAATACATTGTGGTTGTATGTTGTTGCAAGGATTAGGACACTTATTTAATTTTAGGATCTAAACTGGAAATATTTGGTTCCACTCATTGGACTAATTCAGTTTTCCAAATGATTAACTTAAACAATTTCTTAAATCTTCTGAGATCATTTCTGCCAAACCTTGTCGAAAGCATGGGCTGACAATTTTCACAAATTTAAAAAGTTGATTTCTTCATATCAAAAGTTTTTTGCTGTGGATATTAGCTTGAGGTTTTGTAGATTAAACTTCTCAATCAAAAGTTCCGAACTCAGTGTTGTAGGATTAGGTTTACATCTCCTCTAATTATACTATAATGAAATAAATAGTTTTGGAATTAGGGTTAAATTCACATTTACATGTTGGTTAACGGTTTCCATATTTCAAAAAGAAGAGAATTTTCAAAAAGTTTCAGATATTGAAGGTTTTTAGTATAGAACGGCCAATTTTTGTTATTTATTCTGCTTGCAAGGCTCAATAATAAAAAATTATCTACAACATAAAACAATTTTTGAATAAAATACATGTGTAAAAGCTTTTCATTTAAGAAATTATAATTTGTAAATGTGTGTTTTCCTCATTGATTAATCCTTTTTAATTGTTTTATTGTGAAAGAAATTACTCCTAGGTGAGATTAGTTGGAATTAGTATAACCAAGGTTACCTTGCTCCTGGGCGGGATTAGTTGGAATTAGTATATACAAGGTTACCCACAAAGGATGAGACTTAAAGAGACTGGTCGCTAATAATGGAATAAAGAGAGTGGTCGCAACTAATGGAACGGGGGGAGGTTAAAACCAAGTAAATAGTTGCAGGCAGGCCTCAGCACGGTTAGGTCAAGGAAGTTCAGAACTCTGCTGTAAGTAGCCAGGGAGTATTCAACCGGGGAACGCTGTTTAATATTAATATGGCGGCACAACACCTTAAAAACAAACAAAGAAAATATTGTACAGCTCACCAGAAACAAGGAAAATAGAAACAAAGAAGAATCCCGAGAGGTTTGGTAACCATGCAATGTGATGCTGGCCAAGTTAAATTGAAAATCTAATGGTATCAATATTTTATTCTTCTGATGTTAATTATTGTCGCTTACAGCGCAGAATCCAGTGAAATTTCCGATTCGGTAAACCTTAGTTAAAATATAATTTATTTCATTAATTTTAAACTGAACCTTTTGCATAAAACAAATTCCAAACTGAAGTCATGGCAGTGGTAAAACGATTTTTTTTTATGACAGTAATACGGCCTCTAGGTGTTTCCTGATAGAAATTAGATAAGATAAAGGATTCACTGGATTTTAAGCTGTAAGCGACGATTGTTTTTTTGTACAATTTTCTCATCACTCAAACTTCAGGCAAAAGAATTATGCCATTCGTTTTAAGTTTAATTTGGGGTTAGCCTAAACCCCTTTCTTTCTTTGATGATGGTCGATCCGAAATTAAAATAATGGAAGATTGATTTTAACTTTTGCTCTAATTTTTATCTATTAATGGTTTAACATTAGATTTGTGAAAAAAGTTTAAAGCTACATGCAACCTTGAGTGTAAGATTAAAAGCTGGATTAATTCTGCAGAGTCGTCTGTGAATTCTCACCCTTAGTGAAAACCACTGTATGTAATGTATGAAAACCTATAACTTGTATTGACAGGGTACACCCACAACAGAGCAGTCTAGCTCATCACTACATTTCATCCAGCTTCTGCATTAACATTATCTTGAAAATTTTATCAAAGTGACAAAAGAATAAAATGAACAGCTGTAAAAAAAAGACAAAATATTTTTAAAATTAAGTTACATAATATTACGACCTTTTGAACAACATTACCAACCTATGGGAAAAAATTCGCGCAAAAGACGATAAAAGTGTGTACACCTACTTTTTCAGGAAATTAAAAATTTTACTGAACCACAGGTTTTCTCGACAAATTTTGTCTACAAAACATCCAGAGCGCAGCAAGGAATTTTTGGGAACCATTGTCAAGGTAAAAATCCCTGAACTAGTTTCCCGGTTTAATTTTCACAATATTTTCAGCAAGGATTATGACCAAACTAATTATGAAAGGATACTGTTGTGAATCGGAGACACCACCCAATCAGGAAAGTAACTTAAAATTACGTATGTCATGCAGTACCTTTAAGTTATATATACTCTTCGTTATCTTTTTAATAATAAATAATAAATTCAGCACACAAGGTCTTCTTATTAAATATATTGAAGAATATCAAATATATTTTCTTTTTTGTTTGTTTTGTTTATTTGTCCAGATGGAGACTAAATCAATATTTTCATATACTCTTTAATTTTCTGTTTTCTTAAACATCACCGATTCGGAACTTTGTAATTTTTTCTTTTTTTGTTTTATGAGATTATTGACGTAATGTCAAATGACCCTCCAATTAAAAATTACCAATGTTATGTCCGAGTCAGAACGGTATCTACATCTGAAAGGGAGTACGCGGCTATGTAGGGTAGTCGTACTGAGTATGCAGTATTGTGAAAAACTTCTTTCTGATTCATTTGAGACATATTAAACCTTTGGGGGTGGATACGTTTTCAGAATTAGTTTTTTTTAATTATTGAACAACGACAACAAAAAATAAAGTAAAAAAATTATACAGTAATCTAATTAAATGGTTAGGAACATATTTCTCAAAAGAAATTTGTCAATAAATCAATGCTAAAATCGATTATTTCGTTTTCATCATTACATTCAATTTCTTATTTTCTTAGAATTTATGCGCAGATTTCTACAAATTCTTCAAATGTCGTCTTTTCAATAATAATTCTAGAAAATCTGCAGAACATCTTTGTGAATAATGAGAAACCAGAATAATGAGAAAATAGAAACAAATAACTGAACAAGATTACTTATTTTCGATGATAAGATTAATTTTTATTTTCTCAACATGTTCCTATACATGACGACTGTAGTTATTTGTAGAACTTTTTTACATTTTTTGTCGTCGTTATTTAATAATAAAAAAAACTAATTCTAAAAACGTATCCACCCCCAAATTAGGAGTTTTGAACGTCGAATTTGTGCTCAAACTCAGGATTTACAGATCCTTAAAAAGTTTAACATGTCTCAAAAGAATCCGAAAGAAGTTTTCCACAGCACTGCATACTCAGTTCAACTACCTTACATAGCTGGTCACTCTCTTTAAAACATTTTGCTAAGGAAATAAAACAGAAACATGTTTTTCTAACTTAACAATCATGATTTTTGATAAAGGTTCCTTCATAAAAGTTAATATAAAGATTGATTCAGAAAAACAAGGCAGAATATTTTTGAGAAGAAAGATACAACGTAATATTCCAATTCATGTTACTAAAATAACGTGTTTTAGGTGTATAGTTGTGAATCGGACAGTGAGAAACAGAAAACTGTGGAATAGGAAGACGACATTGAAGATACTTATATGCATTTGATGGTGTTACAAAGCAAATAGTTCTACTACTCAGTTATTAAATGATTTATTAAATGATATGGGTCTGTTTACACTATACCGTTGCTGTCTCTTATGTCTCTTATGTACATTTGACTGTTGAAAGTCATTACTTGGGTTTAAAGGTAGTCTTCCTATTCCAGAGTTTTCTGGTGTTCAATGTAGGGTCCCCTGAAATTACGTAGGCATTGCCTTTAAAAGAAAAATGATAAGAAATAATAATTTTTAAGAAACTAGTTCAAGCAGCTGGCCCCCAGATTTGTGCTTCAGGAAAGATGCATAAAGTTTGTGAGATTCTAAGGACAAACTAAGAAAGATTTTGCAATAAAGTAAAAATTGCATTTATTTAGTTCATAGTTTGGATACAAAAACTAAATGAGTGATAAAGATTAAGGATATTTATTAAAGCTGATATATACGAACAAGATTTTTTAGCACCATAACATTGTTATATTAGATTATAGTATACACTTTATTTACAGGTTTAACAGTGTGCATTGAAATGCAATGAGTAAACGAAATATTAGAAATATTGGAAACGGATTAAGAAAAATAAATAAATAGTTGGAAAAATATATTTTATTTAATAATTTTAAATTTCGCTATACAGGGATACTGATTTTTGTTTTTTGTTTGTTTTGATCAATATTAAATTGATCTGTGTTGTACTGATTAATTTTAATCAGACAGGTTTTCAGCACTCATTCCGTTGAATTATTTGCTGATTATTCACTATCCAAAAGGATTTCATTGATTAATTGGGTGCTGATCAGATGATCATTTTCTTATAAATCGTTGATCAGTATTTATCCAGATGTTTATGGATTCTGATATTTGCTCGATTCTAGATATAATCAGGTTTTAAAATCCCTTGTTTTTGAAATTTATATTATTGTTTAATATATATTTTGCCATCTTTTCATTTATTAATCATAAACCGAATTGAAATTATTATTAGTTTGCATGAATAAAAAAACATTAGTATTTTTTTAAAAGCTGCCAATTCATAGTATTTCTGAAGTTGCTCTAGTTTTTGTCAATTTTTAAAGTAATAGTCTAGATTCTAGATTTCGTGCACAGTTAAATATTTGGATACACATTTAATATGTAATTTATCACATTATTTTTACATATACAATACAATAGTTTCGCTTTGCTGGAGTACATATTTATATAGGCGGGGGACCATTAGACCACCTGAAATAAAAATATATTAAAATTAGTGTTTATTTATTTGAACATTTTTCGATAGAAAAAAAAACATTGAATTGATATCAAAATACAAAGATCAGCAATAACCTGAGTGTAATTATTTTGAAATAATTTTTTTTACAATTCATGTAAATACCTTCTTTAAGCATACAAACCTTTGTTAAACGGACATTAGTTGTAATATAAAGAGGGGAATAACGTTAAACATAAATCAAAAATGTAAAAGTCGGGGTTTTATCTTGAAAATTGTTTTATTCTGACCTGACAAAGCTTTTTTAATCTGATATCTCATTCTATAAAACTACTCCTACAGTGGCACAGTCCCTTTAATAAGAAAATATTACCTGAGCATTGGTTCGAGGGATCTCTGAAGATTATTCTGTAGAGTACAGATTAGTTCATCATGTTCTGAACATCAAACATTTAAACTTGATTTCTTTAAATTCAATTTATATATTTTATAAATAATATGTTTGTGTGGAATAACTATAAATTTCTGTCTGGCTTGAGCAATAAAACCCAATACTAACTGCAAGATTGCCTCAAGCCACCAGATTGCTTAAAGCTTCGCTTCATGCATACTATATTAAGGATTTACATAGTTTACAACAAGGATACATATATATATATATATATATATATATATATATATATACATATAATATTATACAACAAATACAATATATACAATAATATTATACAACAAATACAATATATTTATATTACGAGGTATGTTCAATAATACTTTTAGACGTCTCAGCCATGTAATTTTTTTCAAAGCTTACTGTATCCATCCCGGTTGTATTCTCCCAACGGACTTTATTCATCAAACTTTTTTTTTCTATGTAATCCACCCTTTCCCGGAGTTTGTTTAGATCCATTGTCACAGCACGGGAAATGGAATGTTTTTAATATGAACCTTGGGATGGAGGACCCATGGGATGCTCGATAATAAAAAAATTGGACCTTAAACTTTCCAAATACAAAGCAGACACCTTTGACATGATACAAAATGCATAAAAAGAGAATAATATGGCCAAGGCAACAGACAGCAGTGTGTTAAAAGGGAAAAGGCGTTGTGGAGAGTGTTGGCAGAACGAGGTAATGTCTGAGCAGGAAAAATCCACAAAACATATTTCAAAATTGAAAGTTTCTCAGGACCAAATTCGCAATGCTTCTTAGTTGATGACTTTTTATTGAACTCCCTCGTATTATACAACAAATACAATATGTAAAATAATATATATTATACAACAAATACAATATTTACAATAATATTATACTACAAATACAATATATACAATAAATAATATTATGCAACAAATACAACAAATAAACCAATTACAACATTCCTAATATAAAATGAATATGAATGTGTGGAAAGGATAAGAATAACGAGTATTTATGGTGTGAGCACTCTAAGTGGAGTAAAACAAATATCCAAAACTAGTCAGCTAAAGTAAAAAGTAAGAACTTTAAATATTTGTTGTTTCAGAAACCCTTAAATTATTCATCTAGAAGAAGTAAAGCGACACACTTAAATAGAAGAATTGTGAAAACATTTAAAAATACAAAAAGGAGACTAAAATGTACAAAGAAGAGAATGAAACATTTACATTGAAGATTAAAGTATTTATGAGATGTTGAGATGCACATTTATGGAGGATATGTGTATACGTAATATGTATATTGTATAAGTATTGGAAGAATAAAGTATTTATAAGATGTTGAGATGTACATTTACGGAAACGTGTATACGTAATATGTATATTGTATAAGTATTGGGAGATTAAAGTATTTATGAGATGTTGAAATGTAGATTTACGGATACGTGTATACGTAATATGTATATTGTATAAGTATTGGAAGATTAAATCAACTATGAATCATATACAGAGAGAAGATAAAAAGAAACATTTAACTGCAGGCGATTAGATAATGTACAAGAAAGATAAAATACACAGCTCAGATCATATTTGATAATTAAAATGGAGAAGAACGGAGTTTTCGAAAAATCTTTGAAATAAGTTTTTTTATTGTGAAGAAATATTAGATTTATATTTTTGAATGATTGATTGCCTAGAGGAACTATACTGGATACTCCTAACAGAAGCAACATCAGTGCTTGGATAGGTAGAGCTGCTCTTACAACCCGACCTAGAGCAGCAATAGATTATTAATAAAAGCAGTATTAGTGCTTGTATAGGTAGAGCTGCTCTTACAACCCGACCTAGAGCAGCAATAGATTATTAATAAAAGCAGTATTAGTGTTTGGATAGGTAGAGCTGATCTTACAACCCGACCTAGAGCAGCAATAGATTATTCATAAAAGCAGTATTAGTGCTTGGATAGGTAGAGCTAATCTTTAAAAAGAAATATTATATAATTCCGAGGCTCTTTTCCTAAAGGGACTGTAAGCATAATAAAGAGTGACTCTTTGTTAAAAAGTGCCTGAAATGAGTCACAAGGGCACTCTTTAAACCTTTCAGAAATGAAAAATATCTAATAGAAAACCGAGAATCGCTTACTCTTAAAAATAGTTTATCGTTTCTTAGAAAAATACTTGCTAGAAATTATGTTACCAGCCTTTTAATAATGTTACCTAGGAATCTGTAAGACCGAGAGAGTACTCCTGTATCTATATCTTCCTCGCTAAAACAAAGTTAAAATTATTTTTTTTCCAATTAAATCATTAAGCTTATAAAAAAAATTTAAATAAAAAAATTATTGAGTTCATGGAATGTCCGGGTGAAATTAAAAAGAAAATCTTTACTTTCTTAGGTTTTTATGGGTTTTTTCAACGTCACCCAAAACAAAAATGTCAATGATGACAATTGAAGAAAATAGCTTTTTTCTAATACTAAAATCTATTTGTTTCTGTAGACTCATATGTTTGTATTATTTTACATATTGACATGCTTTTAAAGAAAAAAACTTGTGCGTAGAATAACCTTGAGCTGTTGTGTACACTGTACAAGGAACCGGTTCTGTCGGTGTCTCGGCCCAACAACTAAAATGGTGCAGGGTTAACGTAGCTAGTGCGCGGCATGCTTTTTAAGAAAATGTACACAAACTTAAATTTAAAAGATTTTAGCTTTGAAATGCATGGTTTTAATGATACATTAGGTGACAATACTTTCATAGTTATACAGTTTAACCAATTAAAGATTCAAATACAAAAATAAATAAAGAGTGTCTCATAAAAACCTTTACAGTATGGATATTTGTTACTGAGGGAACAATTTTGGTTCAATTCTTACAGTCAAGATGTTATTGGAAAGCTATTTCAGTTATTACAAGGTGTACTTTTAATTTTTCGGTCACATACCTTTTTTTTGGTACAACAAAAAGATTTCAGATTTTTTTAACGTAAGATCCCAACCTAAGGTTACTTTGCCAAAATTTTGTATCGGCGATTATTATTTTTTAAGCTAGATCTGGGAACCTCGAGTCGGATATATGGCCTTGCCCGGTTGACAAAAATAATTAAAAACATCTTTTTTTAAAAAACCAATCAGTTTGGTTTGTAAAATTAATTGTAAAATTAAACCAAAATTGTTCCCTCAGTACCCAATACCCTATTGCTATATTTTTTTTGGGACACTTTGGATCATAATAACAAACTTTTTAATTAGGCCATGGCGTACAGAGTGGAGGAATATGACCTTTTTAAACTTTAGCCTACCATCATGGTTTTGTGTTAAAAAGTACTTCTAGTAGGTACAATACCCAGAAATAGAAATATTAATTATGCTGTATAGTCTGAAAGGGAAGANATTTCCAAAGATATTAATTGCGTTTTCACCCACTGAACCTCGTTTTATTCTACTACAATGTGTGCCTAGTAGATACAATGTCAACAAATTGGGGGGGTCGTCTTTATAAGATTTCAATCTAAAATGTCGTTCTAGTCTTCAAAAGGTTTTTGGTCCTTTTTCCAAAGATTTTCTAAAAAATTTAAAATTTTTTTCGTCTTTTGGTTTTGAAAACCCTCAATTCTATCATTGAAAATGTGCTATTTATTCTATTCTGTCGTATAAAACGTAGAAGTAATAATTTGATTTTTTTTTAATCTTTGAAAAGGATACCAAGTACATTTTAGAATATTATGTCCGCTTATGACGGTTAACACGGTATTTTAGAGAAAAATATTTAATCGATGTTTATATAATAGACTATTAAGTCTAAACACACCTTTTTCCGAGACATCCTAAACATGAATGGGATAAGAAGGACAAGTGTTAAACTCCAAACATGGTTAACATAAGTTTGAACTGGTACAAAAATTTGATACAAATGAAAATAAATTTCATATAAGAATTAAATTGGCTTATGTTAAAATATTATTTGATCCGTTTAAGGAAAGTTTTTGAGAGAAAAAATCTTTTGTTCAATCACAAATTATTAAATTATAACTAAAAATGTCGGTGCAAAATATTTAACGAAACATAAAAGAAGGAAAATATGACAATTTTAACCTGGTTTGAGAGAAGCGGAAGCACTAGAGCACTGTCATACAGAGCTCCTTCTCCTACATCTTGTGGAGGGGGGAGTCCAAGCCCACGTGATAGGTTCATGCAGTAGATACCACAAACCTAGTGAGGAGTAAACATTTTCTACTTTTAAGGTGCAACGTATCTGGTACAAGGTATCTGGTATCAGGTATCTTGTACATGATATCTGGTTTAAGGTATCTGGTCTAAGGTTTCTGGTCTAAGGTTTCTGGTCTAAGGTATCTGGTATAAGGTATCTGGTCTAAGGTTTCTGGTCTAAGGTATCTGGTATAAGGTATCTGGTAAAAGGTATTTGGGACAAGGTATCTGATACAAAATATCTGGGACAAGGTATCTGGTATAAGCTAAAAGGATGTATCTGGTACAAGGTATCTGGGACAATGTATCTGGTATAAGAAAAAACGATGTATCTTGTACAAGGTATCTAGGACATGTATCTGGTACAAGGTATCTGGGACAATGCATGTGGTATAAGATAAAAGGATGTATCTGGTACAGGGTATCTGGGACAATGTAACTAGTATAAGGTAACAGGATGTATCTAGTACAAGGTATCTGGGACAATGTATCTGGTATAAGATAAAAGGATGTATCTGGTACAATGTATCTGGGACAATGTATCTGGTATAAGGTAAAAGGATGTATCTGGTACAATGTATATTTATGCAGCAATGAACCTGTATCAGTCCTCGGAGAGACCCAGAGAGAAGATTCAGCTTTCGTTTTACATCTCTACAGCTAACACTATCTGCCTGCAGCTCAAGCTGATCAGCTGCTTCCTGGATAGATAAACAGGTATTAAGATACAAATTATATAAATAGAATTATTAGATACAAGCTGATCAGCTGCTTCCTAGATAGATAAACAGGTATTAAGATACAAATTATGTAAATAGAATTAATAGATACAAGCTGATCAGCTGCTTCCTGGATAGATAAACAGGTATTAAGATACAAATTATGTAAATAGAATTAATAGATACAAGCTGATCAGCTGCTTCCAGAGTCTAAAACTAAAGAATGCCGCAAATTTAAGCTATAGCTTAAAAGTTCTAAGAATAATGAGTTGCTACTTAAATATTAACCTTTCTAAGTTTAACCCTGAAGGAAAATTTAAATTTCCCGAGAAAATATGAACCAATCAGATTACGGGAATTACGGAGATTACAGATCGACAGAGATTATACATCAGCCATGTCGTAATTTCTATTTCTTCATAAAACTGCAGCGTAAAAAGGAACAAATATATTTGGTTTTAGATACACGATGTATTTATTTATTTCAGATTACGGGAAAGATTTAAAAATTTGAATCGTCAGATTAAACCATTATCATGCATAGAAATATTGCAAAAATGAATGCGGATATTTTCGGGTTTAAAATTTAACTCGCAGAAATCGACAAGTTAAATATTTCAGCTGTGGCTTAAAATTCAGGTTTAAATTAAGTCAGACGTGGCATTTAAGCTGAAACTTAACATTTAAATAGTAACTTTTCGTTCTTCAGTTTTAGACTCTGAATAGATAAACAGGTATTAAGATACAAATTATATAAATAGAATTAATAATACACAGTAATGTCGCATAAATTGGACTGTTTTCTTTTGTCTAGTTCAATGAAATAGATTTAGATATTGAACAAATGGTGAATTAAAAAGATTTTGAAAGTTTGCTTTACTAGATATATGAATCTATAAAATGAAAGAATAGTAAAGTGGGAAAATGATCATTTGAAAAAAGGGCCAAAACATAAATACTTATATTTAGCTAAAGAAATAGAAATAAAAGTTAGATACAGAGAAACATTACGTTACAGTTAAATATGGATAAAGATTCTCAAATGAATTAGATATAAAGTACTATAATATAAAATAATATAATCAAATTCTTGAACATGAGATTCCTTCGGTTGAAAATATTTTGGCAAACACGTTTGATTCATCCTTGCACACACAGATATCATATATCTTAATCATTAACTCACGAACCCACAAACTGGTCCAACATTCACTCAATTATTCTCTTACTCACTCAAACTGTTACTTACTGGTCCAAACACTCACTTACTGCTTCTCTCACTCACACACCAATTAAGTAAACCAACTCATTAACTCACTTTCTCACTTACTTAAAGGGACTGTAAAGGAAAAATGAAAGGGGGTATAGGCTGAAACCTGCGAATCTCAGGAATTGATCGAGACCTCATAAGAGTTCAATCTGATGTTCCTGTCTCGAGAAATTGATCCTATTATTATTTGAATTTTATAATTTTTCATTTTTAATAGATATAATTGATAATATAATAAATACGTACGTATCATGTGACCAGAACTCCCACCAATGACAGTGCAGTATCATTATCACATGACTCCGTCTGTAACACGTGACCAGTATACGTGCTATTGATGGGAGTCCTGATCACGTGATACGGACGAATAAATAATATTATTAATTATATCTTTTATAAATGAAAAATTATTAAATTCAATTGCTAATAAAAGCAAACCTAATTTTCTTAGGCTGCTCTGGGGTATCGTCGTTTTCGGATTGGTTGTGTATTTGCTGAAAATGATCTGTTTAAACCTACAATTTTTATGCAAAATTTTATGTATTTAGATTTTCGTATAAACTTGACACAGTTTTATATCAATTTTTCAAAACAGGATTATTAGATAGAATTCTCATGGGTCTTGATCAACTCCTAAAATGCCTAGGTTTCAGCCTATACCCCCTTTCATTTTTACAGCCCCTTTAACAGTGAAAAAAAAACACCCTTACTCACTAACTCTCTCATACACTCACCCCTTCTTTCACTTACTACTTACTCACTAAGTCCGTTTATTTATTGTGTTGTTACCTGTAAAGAAATAACTCTAGGTTCGCATCTATGTAGGTCTGCCTTCAACTCTGTAAACTTGTTAAACTTCTCCAGTAGAGCCTGAATCAATAATAATAATTACTAGCTGAAGTGCCCGGCGTTGCCCGTGGAATAAAAAAATCAAATTCAATTCGGTCAAGCCAGCTTATAGCTAACATACATACATCCTTAGATACAAATATATATATATAATAATAATAATTATAATAATAATGATAATGATAATGATAGTAGACTAATAAAAATAATAATAATAATAATAATAATATACAAAAATGAATGAACATTGAACATGGGTGGAAAGGGGGTAATGAATGAATGTAATGGAGTGAAATGAAAATGAATCCTGGTATTCAGGAAACCCGCAAATATATATAACTATCCTACATGTAACGTATCTACAGGGTGTCCCAATAAACATGGGAATAAACAGACGCCATATGAATCACATTTAATTTCTTTTAGTTAGTGAATTGTCTTAAAATTAATCAAAAAGAAGTTTCCAAAATCTTATACAGTGAATTATTGTGATAAATGTATTTCAAACTGCCCGTGCAAATGAAAAACACTTTTTTATTTCGCAATTTAATTCACACTGTTTATTTGGACACCCTGTACAGTGTACATTGTAAATTATGCAATACCACAATTTGCATTGTGTATTGTGTATTGTTAGTTATGAATTTAATCCATGAAACTTGCAGTTTTTCTTGTTGTTGTCAGTACAAAATGGAAAGCAATCTTTTTGACGTATCCACTTTTTTATTAATATTCTAGATGGTAAGGTTTACCTCTCTAGGCAGGGAAAGATTTACTGGTTCACTTTCTCGAACTGTTTCTTTAGTAGTCTCAATCCAGTCCAGCAGCTGATGGATTGTGTTGTGGAACTCATTGTTCTAAACAGGGGTTTTTATAGAAAAAAATAGAAAAATATTTTTGTTTACAATGATATATAATTTCAATAGTTGATTAGAAAATATGAAAAAGGAGTTGAGTCTTTGACACAAACTCTGATTTTCTAATTCCTATATCTCTGCAACACAGTGTCGTAGACCTTAGATATTTCAAACTATGAATTCTGTTGCATCAAATTATCTTAGTTTGAAATATCAAAAGTCTACAACATCAGGTTCCATAGATATAAGGATTAGAAAATTTGAGTTTGTGGCAAAGACTCAATTCCTTTGAGGAGGGGCAGGGAAATGAATACAATTTGATCACCAAAGTAGCAAAGTTAACCAAAGTTGTTGACACGTTTTTTAAGTATGTAGTATCCAGTGTACGGACTAACCTCTAGTAAAGCAGTCTGTAGATTGGTTTGCCAGGTAGTAGCTTGCTGACATACCCTGTCCCAGCTAGTATTTACCGTCACTAGCCGGTCGGTCAGAGCATTAGCTCTACTCTCATCAGTACAGTGCTCAGATAAATGGGATCCTTTAAACAAAAGATTTATTAAATATACCCTAAAACATGTCAGTTTTATCAGAGCCTTGATATTTGATTTTACTTGAAACTAGTGAATATAGTATGAGTAACAGTATCACAAAACCTTAGATTAAAAACAGGAAATAGGAAACTAGGAAGTGTTAAATACTATCCTATCCTATCCTACAGTCATCCTAGAACCAAATTATTGATAAAGTCTTTAAAATATTATTTCCACTATCGTAGCATCTTAATATATTTCCTCTTTATCCATCCTAGTTTCCTGGTTGGGTTTAGATCATGCATCAGTTGAGGGAAATTTCAAATTCCTTTAAAGAATATATATTCAGGATTTTAGGATGGATCTAAATAATCCTTTAAGAGAAAACTTATTGAACTATAAATATAATCAACAATCAAACAATGTATACACCAGCTGATACAGGGAAAAGTCAGATAAAGGGGGGTAACGGTTAAACAGGGCTAAAGAAAAAGGTAGGATAATGAGGAGAAAAGAAGGAAAAGGGATAGAAAAGACGATAAAATTAGATAGAGGAATAAAAAGAGGATAATAAGGAAGAAAAAAAGGGTTAAAACTATCATAGAAGAAAATAAGGAAAGACAATAAAATAAAAAATAATAAGGAATGGAAATAGGAAAATAAAAGGAATGGAAAAGGTATAAAAGAGAATAATATTGAAAGGAGAATAATAAGGATGAAAAAGGTATAAAAGTAGGATAATATGGAAGGAAAGGGATAAAAGGAGGATAATATTTAAAGGAAAGGGGTGAAAGGAGAATAATAAGGATGGAAAAGGTATAAAAGTAGGATAATATGGAAGGAGGAGAATAATAAGGATGAAAAAGGTATAAAAGTAGGATAATATGGAAGGGAAAGGGATAAAAGGAGGATAATATTTAAAGGAAAGGGGTGAAAGGAGAATAATAAGGATGGAAAAGGTATAAAAGTAGGATAATATGGAAGGAAAAGGGATAAAAGGAGGATAATATTTAAAGGAAAGAGGTGAAAGAAGTATAATAAGGATGGAAAAGGTATAAAAGTAGGATGATATGGAAGGAAAAGTGATACAAGTAGGATTATATTCAAAGAAAATGGGGTGAAAAAAGGATAATAAGGATGGAAAAGGTATGAAAGTAGGATGATTTAGTGGGAAAGGTAAGATAAGGAAAGCATCCAAGAAGAAAAAGTTAAATCAATTATGTTCGGAAATGAAAAATAAACATAGTAATTGACCCCGGGTACAGAGGAAGATATTCACCTATAACGTTGCTACTAAGTGCTATGGATTTATGACTGTCTAGATCTAGAAGGAATTCTCTGTGCTCCAATATTGTTTCCTCCAGTGCCTCTATACTGGTAGGTGTACCCTAAAAATACATTTATATGTAAAAACAGGGGTGTCACAAATATCTTCAAAACATTTTTTATAGACTTTCAAAAACTGATCTAGCCATAGTTCTAACCTGGTTTATAAACTGATCTATCCATAGTTCTAACCTGGATTATAAACTGATCTATCCATAGCTCTAACCTGGTTTATAAACTGATCTATCCAAAGTTCTAACCTGGTTTATAAACTGATCTATCCATTACTCTAACCTGGTTTATAAAATGATCTATCCATAGCTCTAACCTGGTTTATAAACTGATCTATCCATAGTTATAACCTGGTTTATAAACTGATCTATCCATAGTTCTAACCTGGTTTATAAACTGATCTATCCATAGTTCTACCCTAGTTTATAAACTGATTTATCCATAGTTCTAACCTGGTTTATAAACTGATCTATCCATAGTTCTAACCTGGTTTATAAATTGATCTATCTATAGTTCTACCCTGGTTTATAAATTGATCTATCCAGAATTCTAACCTGGTTTATAAACTGATCTATCCTGGTTTATAAACTGATCTATCCATAGTTCTAACCTGGTTTATAAACTGGTCTATCCATAGTTCTAACCTGGTTTATAAACTGATCTATCCATAGTTCTAACCTGGTTTATAAACTGATCTATCTATTGCTGTAACCTGGTTTATAAGCTGATCTATCCATGGTTCTAACCTGGTTTATAAACTGATCTATCCATTGCTGTAACCTGGTTTATAAACTGATCTATCCATGGTTCTAACCTGGTTTATAAACTGATCTTTCAATAGTTCTAACCTGGGTTATAAGCTGATCTATCCATAGTTCTAACCTGGTTTACAAACTGATTTATCCATTGCTTTAACCTGGTTTATAAACTGATCTATCCATAGTTCTAACCTGGTTTATAAACTGATCTATTCATAGTTCTAACCTGGTTTATAAACTGATCTATTCATAGTTCTAACCTGGTTTATAAACTAATCTATCCATTGCTCTAACCTGGTTTATAAACCGATCTATCCATTACTCTAACCTGGTTTATAAACTGATCTATCCATAGTTCTAACCTGGTTTATAAACTGATCAATTCATAGTTCTAACCTGGTTTATAAACTGATCTATCCATAGTTCTAACCTGGTTTATAAACTGATCTATTCATAGTTCTAACCTGGTTTATAAACTGATCTATCCATAGTTCTAACCTGGTTTATAAACTGATCTATCCATAGTTCTAACCTGGTTTATAAACTGATCTATCCAAAGTTCTAACCTGGTTTATAAACTGATCTATCCATAGTTCTAACCTTGTTTATAAACTGATCTATTCATAGTTCTAACCTGGTTTATAAACTGATCTATTCATAGTTCTAATCTGGTTTATAACCTGATCTATCCATTGCTCTAACCTGGTTTATAAATTGATCTATCCATTGCTCTAACCTGGTTTATAAACTGATCTATCCATAGTTCTAACCTGGTTTATAAACTGATCTTTCCATAGTTCTAACCTGGATTATAAACTGATCTATCCAAAGTTCTAACCTGGTTTATAAACTGATCTATCCATTGCTCTAACCTGGTTTATAAACTGATCTATCCATTGCTCTAACCTGGTTTATAAACTGGTTTAGTTTTCTTTCCGCCTGATCCAACCATAGTTCTAATCTCCAAAGTTCCCCCTCCAGCTGTCTCCAGTCCCTCCTTCTGCACAGCAGACAGCTGCTAGCACTAGTAGATACATCAGAACTATCTTCTTTTGTTTCTCTCAAAGCTCCAGGGTCTGGTTCGGTTTCGACTATCGTTTTTGCAGTGGGCAGACTAAAATAAGCATAAATTATGACAACATTGTTTTAGGACAATGCCAGAGAATCTCAGAAAACTTCACAAAAAAGGCCTCTTGTTCAAAATTTTGTGCATAGTTTTTTCATATGGCAGTGGTTTTGTTTTACTGGGATTGAATACAACTCGTAAAATTAGATTGCACATCATAAGAAACATCTTCTGCAAGTGTTAACTCATAAAAACATAAATAAATTGAATCGTTTAGAATTCAATTCAGTGTAGTGTGCAGTTTTTAGTGTAGTGTAGTGTAGTGTAGTGTAGTGTAGTGTAGTGTAGTGTAGTGTAGTGTAGTGTAGTGTAGTGTAGTGTAGTGTAGTGTAGTGTAGTGTAGTGTAGTGTAGTGTTGATTAAATAATATTTCTAAGAGTGGATTTATCTAAAAGTTATTTGTAAGAAAGCTCTAGGTTGAAGGTTGAAGAATGTGAAAACATCTTTGATAAATGTATTAAACCCCTCCTTCCTATTCTTCTAAGCGAACCAAGAACAACAACATTTATAACAAACGTCTCTTACAGCTTATAAGGTTTAGAGAGATAAGAGATCATAACGATAGTTTTAAATCCCTTTCATATGGAATTTTGAAAAGTTCAACACAATATACATTTATAACTTTAATTCGGTTGTTTATTTTTTGGTTTTTTTATTGGTCTAACATATTTTGTAATGTACAAAGAAAAAATTGTTGTAAGTAAATTAACGTTTAAGGCCTAATATCAACAAAGAGGTGCGCAAAGCGTTATTGAAGTGTAGTACTGAGAAAGTTCGAAGTGTTGAAAGTATAAAAGGTGAAGTAATGTTCTCGTTTCTATCTAGAATATAAGTATTCAGAACCAGGAAGAAGGATCGGAAAGCAATAACAGTGAATATCTAAAAATGAAATATGAATGGATACAAGAGGGTTCTTTAACTTCAGTTTTTGGCACATTAAACGAAAAGAGAGGGAGGGGGGGGGGGGTAGAATAAATGATAAGATAAATAGATTAAGGATTAAAGAGATATATCAAATTATGAAGTTATGAGATAATAGATTACAAGACGGTAAAGGGGACATATAGCAAAAACATTTCTGAGGCGGGGAAAGGGGGGGGGGGTTATTCCTTACAACTACATTTTTTCTTATTGTCCAAATGATTTTAGTTTTGAATTATTTTGTGCTTGGTAGAGATGTTTGAATTGTGAGGTTTATATTATGTGATTGTATATTAAACAATTTACATTGTACAAATGTTACAGGAAAAGTGATTGAATGGTTTAGGTTGAATGAATTACCTGTCAGGTTTAGTCTGATGTATTCTTGAACTCAGAATCTGAATTCTATTTTCCAAATCTTTAATTTCCTTCTCGCTGTTTCTTCTCCCCGATGTACCCAGTGCTCCCAACTTAACCCTGAGTAATCCCATCAGTTCCAGACCTCGGTCCAGCTCAGTTTCCTAAACACAGTTTTTATAGTTTATTAAGCCAACAGTTTTATTTTTTAAATATTTTTTTAACAATCAATTAATTCATTTCTTGATGATCTATAGTTGATAGAGATATATACATAAATGTATTTTCTTCTGTATTACATATTATGTATCTCCGGATTTAAACTTAAATCATTCAATTAAAAAGTTTGCTCTGTGGACATAGCGTTTAGACGATTTCAATCAAAGGTTGTAGAGCCTGAGTTCACAATACAGAAACATTGTTAACAATTAAGACACTGCATCTTCTGTTTATCCATCTTTATGTTAATTAAAACAAAGTAAAGAAGGAGAAAGTTGCAAGAAACCCGCAGATGGATATAAATGATACTGTATATATGAAGAACAGAATCAAAGTTGAATATCTCCGACCGAGAATAGTCTAGAATAGGTCACACCAAGTTTAGATTAGATTTATAGAGTCAGGAGAGAAACCCAGTGATATATTGATATACAGTGAAACCCAGAAATCTGTGGAAAAGGAAGAGAACTTCTAGACTCAAGAAATAGTCCAATGAAAATGAAATGAAACACAGCAATTGTGCAGTGTGCACAACCCTATTTAACTTGATAAGTTGATTTTTAAGCATCTTGTAAATTTTTTTACATAAAAGCAACTTACAAATAAGATTTCTTGAAAGATGAATGTATGTATAGAAAGTACCAAAATAAAAAAGTTTGAAATGCATATAACGACAGAATTGAAATGAACAAGTAAAAGTTTTATTAAAAACTAAGACAAAATAAAAACATGTTTTTGTTAACAACTTGAAACTTACCAAATTAGAAGTCTGTGCTCCGCTGTTTATCATAGAGTCTACCCGGGCCAGGACAAGGTTCAATCTACTCCGGATAACTAGATATTCATCATGGTCATACTTTTCATCCTCAGGGTCTATACTCTCCTTACAAGGCTCAGGGTCTATCTCTAGATCTGGAACCAGGTCTGGAGTCCATCTTTCAACAACAGGACTACATTGACTAAAATAAATTGAAATAGAAAAATTTGAAAAATGTCCACATTGTTTTAACTAACCTGAGTCCTAACCCTGAATCAGGTAAAGGAGAGAGGAGGGAGAGTGTAGTTTGAACTCCTGTATCCTCCTCAAAATTAAGAGTGGAAACCTACAAAAATATCTTATTTGAGAAAAAATTTATATCCCACACTCAACAACAGAACTTTAAGAAGAAAAAAGGAATAGCGTTCTATTTTTCTACCTTTTCCAACATAATTAAAAAGACGGGTAAATAAAGATTTTAGAAAAATAAACAGCAGATAGGTAGATAGATAGGACCTAAACAAAATTATCAAAAGAAGAAGATCTAATTAAATCAGTTGAAAAGTCAAATTCTTAATTAAATTTCTTACTAAATGATATCAGATATATAGGGTGTCTCAAAAAACGGGGAATAAGGGTCTACAGAATCGTTTGTAATCGGATTTTCAAGATTGAGATAATTTTTTAAATCTACGCACACTTTCCAAGCAATGAGCCCAATTCTAGGCTTGTAGATCTAAAAATGACAATTTTAAAGGCTCCTAAAGTTTCCAACTGGAGTGAGTAAATTTGGTAAAAAAAGATAATCTCCGTTTGCACATAAGGGTTTATGCAGACTTGTTTGTAATCAGAATTTCTAGATTGAGACCATTTTTGATATCTACATACAATTTACGAGTGAATGAGCCCAACTTTAGTCCTGTAGATCTAAAACTATCAGTTGTACTGTAATAAACTGTAACCTAACATCGAATATAAAATTATGCAAACGGAGATTATCTTTTACTTTTTACTTTGCTCCAGTTAGAAACTATAGGAGGCTATAAAATTGTTATTTTTATATCTACACGCCTAAAATTTGACTTATTGAATCGGAAATTGTAGGTAAATTTAAAAATTTGTCTAAATCGTAAAAATCCGATCGAAAGTAAGTCTGTAGACCAATTGTGCAAACAGAGATTATCTTATTTTTACCAAATTACCCACGCCAGTTCGAAACTTTGGGAGCCTATAAAATTGCAATTTTTAAATATACAAGTTTGGGCTTATTGGATTGTAAATTGTAAATAGATTTTAAAAATGATCTCAATCTTGAAAATCCGATTACAAACGAGTCTGTAGATCCTTATTCCCCGTTTATTGTGACACTCTGTATATAATTTATATATATATTATCATTTAGTAGTAGTATATATATCAGACAGACGGATTTAACAAAGATAATTTGAAATTAAACAGACAGTCAAAACCGAGAAAATAAAAAGGTGAAAAAGTGAAAATATTTCTTTAACGAAAAAATGTATAGAAAGATATCTGTAAACTATACGAAAATATCTTTATAAATGATTAGATAGACGAACTCGGATAGTGAAGAAGGAAATTAAGTTCCAAACCTGAATTTGAGAATCAATCCGCTCTATCCCAGGATTCACTAAACCTTTAAATCTTTGCATTTTTTCATCAGATTTAGATGATTTTTCCCTCTCTGAAGTTTCTACGATTGATTCCTGGAAAGGTTGGATTGACAGGTTTTCTGAAGAGAGATGAGGTTCCGGTATTTCTAGATTTTCTTCCGGATTTTGAGATTCCGTAGGATCTACGGATAGATCCGTTGATCCTAGGCGAGCTGTTTCTGTTTCTATCCTCTTCATAGATTTGTAAACAGAGTCTTTCTTTTCCATCAAGTTTCTAGAATAAAACCCAAATTTTACCAACAGCGGAAATTACTTAACTTAGACTAGGCTATAAAGCACCTTTCTTATATCATTAAACCAGCCCTCCCCCCCGCTAAATATACTCATACAATATGTATATGTATATATGAAAATATATATAAACTATATAAACAAAGGCTAGAAAAATATTATGTACGTTTCTACTATTTTTTTGTAAATATATTAGATATATATATATATACATATTCTGTATGTCTCTACTATTTGTTTGCATTTATATAACATAAATATACAATTCTGTATGTTTCTACTATTTGTTTGTAAATATATTAGATATATATACATGTTCTGTATGTTTCTCCTAGTTGTTTATACATATATCATTAATCTTGAAGAAGACGAGTCTAGGTAATTGATAAATGGAAACATTTCAAGCCAAATAGATAAGAAACATAAATACATAATTCAACCCTCTCTGTTTCCTTTAATGGATAGAAACCGATAAAGGATGTTTTTAGGTTTATTTTATTTCCAAGTAAATAACTGCACTTTGAGAGTCCTTGAACAGTAGAGTTTCTAACAAACACTCGAAAAAAAGAAAGAAAAAAATTTCAGAAAGCTTATTCGCCAAATTCTTTTGTTTGCCAGAATATTGAAAAATATTTGATTTATAAAACCTCAAAACTTAATTATCTTAATTACATATTCATATCTTTAATTTAAAAAATCACAATTTAAGTAAGTAATAATTTCCCTCATTAATTTGTAATTATTTGGTATTTTCCTGAGTAACAAATCAAGACGATGTAGATCATCTCCATAAATATTTTCTCTAAAGCTGTTTCCGGTTTCCAATACTTCCTCTAATCTCATCAGAACGTTTTGGTCCTGATATAAACCTTCGTCCAAGCTGGATAACTCTTTTATTCTTTCTTCCAATCGATAAAGATTTTCCTGTATTAGTTTGAGCCGGTTTGTATTTTCTTCCAATTGATTGTTTAATATTGTCCAGGATTGTAGAGTAGCTTCCAGAGCACTCTTCATCTCACCCATCCCATCCAACAAACCGTCCGAGGCTGAAAACAAATATTTATGAATGGTTAAAAAAGAATTTCTAAAGAGAACGTTATAAATCCTAAAGAGGGTTATTATGTTTCATAATGTATCGGTTGTTTTTTCTATTTGATTTTTTAATGAGTAGATAAGAAAATCCATTTAAAACGCATCTTGCTGCTCGATTGGTCTGACTGTGGGAAACATGCAGTTACGGTTAGGTTTCGATTCCACAGGAAAAAAGGATTAAAATGAAATTATTACAGAGTTATTCATAATTTAACACCTTTTTTATTTTAATGAACTTTCTCTTTAGGATAAAAATCCCTTAGAAATATAAAAGATATAAAACCTAAAGATGAGTAGATAGATCGGAGAATGTTTAAGTTCTCCTCCTGGACCTGGAGCTCGTCATGTACACGCCCTAACCTGTCCAGGCCAGACACTAGATCCGAGCTCTCATCCTTCAAAATAATTATACAATACAGATTTATTTTGCTGAAAATTACCGAGACTGTTTAGATTTACAAATAATTCATGAGTAATGGAACTTAGTCTTTCCCACACACAACAATATTAAAATCCCTATATCTTTGCAAACCTTAGGTAGAAGAACTTGGATATTTCAAACTATGAATTTTGTAAGTTAATCATCCAAGTTAAAAAAAACAAAGGTCTACATTCATCCGGTTGCAAAGGTATATATGGATTAAAAAATATAATGTTTGTGGCAAAGACTGAATCCCTCTATTCGCTAATTTTTATCCTGAAACCATTCAGAATTTTGGAAGATTTTATTTATCTCTTATTAAGTAACAATTGAGATTAGTGTTATTGAGAGCAAACATTATATATCTCTAGGAGACCGGATCCAGGAAGCTAAAATATTGCAGATCCATCGGATCCGGATCCTAATCAAATTAAATCAAATCATTTAGTAGGCTACACTTTTAAAACAAACGTATTAAAATACAAAACAAACATTATATTCGTTATAAAATATGAACCTGAATACTGTTTACACAACTTTATATTTGTTATAAAATATGAACCTGAATACTGTTATAAAATATGAACCTGAATACTGTTATAAAATATGAACCTGAATACTATATAACATATGAACCTGAATACTGATATGAACCTGAATACTGTTATAAAATATGAACCTGAATACTGTTTAGACAACTTGTGATCCATGATTGTAGAAGAGATCTTTCTTGAATAAACCTGGATCTTTGATCCCAGTAGCTTCTCAGCTCCAGTTGTCTTCGATCCATTTCAGAGCAAACATTTCCCCATCTGAATATTAGATTAGTTTAAGGGATTGTTATCAAAATTCAATCATTCATCATTCATCATTCATCATTCATCATTCATCATTCATCATTCAATCAAGAATACTCTAACGATTAACAACAATACACTTTATACCTTTTTATGATTAACGATAAAGTATTATATTACATTATATGGAAAAAGACAACTGCTGTAGAAATCCCCGTTCAGCATTTAGAAAGTAACGAAATTTTTCCAATTTTCAGATGAAGAAATCTTAATCATACAAAAACACATCTTTCTGAATGAAAAGATTTACGTTGGCAATTCCTTTAATGAATATATATATATATATATTTATATGACAAAAGTTTTTTCTTTTACATTTTTTAAAAGTATTTTTTAAATAGAAAATAAAATAGGTTTAAGTTGGAGATTAGTCAACTAATTGTAAACATATAAACCTTCAATCGGATTTCATAAATTAGTGAAAGGTAGTTGAACTAGGTATGGTTAGTTAAACTAGTACACACTCGAAAAAAACAACTATCTGTAGCTAGTTTAACTTCTTCCAATAACTTATAAATTATCCTGTGGCTAAGTTGAATTTGTTCTGTACATTGTGTAAATATATACCTGAGTGTGATTAGTTTAATCTGATCTGAACTGTTGAACCAGGTTTTATGTTGAAGTTGATGATTTGTTGTGAGTAGTTCATGTTCATGTAGCAGGGAGGATACAGCACTAGATCCATTCTTTAATCTTCGGTCAGCAGACTAAAATACCAAGAAAATATTAAGAAAGCATTTAGAAAACAAGACTTTTCATGTTATCTAAAGTTTAAATTCTGGGCCCTTAGCTCTTAGAAATCCAATGTCGAAAATATTTTGAAAAAAAGTTACAAAAATTACATCCAGTTTTTATTATCTTGCATTCTTTAAGACCATCTTTAAAGTAAACTTTTATCCTCTAGCTTATGCCAGAAAGATCTCAACCTGTCTCAATCATAAACTGTACATTGTTTTTCTTCATGATGACTTTTTAAATCGTTACTTCTTTACAATAGCTGAAAAGGTCTACATCTTTGCCAAAAAAAAAATGTGAGAATTTAAAAATTAGAGCTGAGGCAAGTGTTCTCAGTTCCTTTAAAAAATCTACTGCACACGGTATTGATATAGTCTATAAAGTATAGTGTGTACAAATTAGGTTTGCAAAAATAAACTTTGTGATATTGCATTCACTCAGAACTCTGGATTGAAGGGATGCAGGCGCTAACATTGAAAAAGTTTAATTTCTTTAAGAATACTTTGTTTACTTTTCTTCTTGAAAACAAGGAAACTTTCTAGTATTGTTCATGAATACAGTACAGTAAATGGAAAGATAGATAGATAGAAACATGATAGAAGATATTGATTACAGTATTACAGATCACTACAATAAAGCTAGATGCAATTTATAGAGAGATTATTTTTAATGATGTCGTAATTTCTTCCCATTTTCTTGTGTAATTTTAGTTATACTTTTAGATCAAAGCTAAATCGTTAGTCATTTGCCCTGTTTGTTTGTTTGTTTTGTTGTTTGTTTGTTTTTTTGTTTGCTTGTTTGTTTGTTTGTTTGTACCAATAAACTATTTAACAACTTGAAAAAATGCCGTAGGAATCACCCTGAACTTCCTGTATAAATAAATACATATAACTACAACCTTGAACCTTTTAATATTCCTACTAATTTGCTAAATATTTAAAAGAATTTGGTCTTTGCCACAACCTCTGATTGTTTAATTCCTAAACCTTTACAATTCAATGTCGAAAACCTCAGAGTTTTAAACTATGAATTTTGTTAAATCAAATAATCTAAGTTTGAAATATCAAAGGTTTACACTATCAGCTTGCAAAGATATAGGAAATAGAAAATTTGAGTTGCTGGCGAAGACTGAATTCCTTTAAAGTATTTTAAAATATTCCAGATAAAAGAAAAAGAAAAGGATGAGTTTAAATATTGAATCAGACAGTTTATGGAATACATCTCTCACCCCAAGATTATTCCTTAGTCGGGTAAAATCTTCCTCTTGCATTGAAGGGATACAAAGTGGAGACGTTAACTCATCTTCTAATTCATTCAGCAAATCCATGCAGTCCTAACAAAAATATGTATTAGCTATTTTTCAAACAAATTTTATTTTCTTTATTTATGTATAACAGTTAAAATAAAATATTGAATTTAAAAATCTAAAGGAATTGAGTCTTTGCAACAAATCCCAATTTTCTAATACCTATATATCTACAACCAAATTATGTAAACCTTATATTTTTCAAACTTTAATTATTTGATATAACAGAAGTCAAAGTTTGAAATATCTAAGGTCTACAACATTGGGTTGTTAAGATATAGGGATTTAAAAACCAGAGTTTGTGGCAAAGACTCAATTCCTTTCTATAAATTCTAATAGATCCAACCAGTCGAAGTTTAATTATAAAAGGTTTACACCAATAGCTTCCAAAGATGTATGAATTAAAGTTTGGAATTGGTTGGGTTTTAAGGTTGTTTTAATAATCCCGAATAGTTTATTATTGAACTAATATATTTGATTGAATTTATTGTCCCCGGAACCTAGGAAAGATTACGTCAGCAGAAACCTACTTAGCACGATTCATCTTAACACTTCTTTCCTTTTCACAACTATTGAAAGGTTGAAGAAAATTTATTTTTCTTCAAATAACAGCTAAGTTTTTCTTACTTCAGTTTTAAGATTTCAATTAATTTTTAATCATTAAAAATTTTAGTTTTTATACTTTTAAACTTCTAAATCTATCTGAAAAGGATCAGCAAATTTTAGCTACTGTATAATTTTAATATGTTAGATTAATTGTGCCAAAAGACGACAGCTATTCGTGTATCTGAGATTTTATTTTTTTTTTGTCATGGTTCACTTGTTCATGGGACATATTTTTGTAGTATTTTTGTTATTTTATGGTACACATGACCAGAATATAAAGGAACTTAGTTCTTGTCCCAATCTCTGATTTTCCTATCTCTATATCTTTGCAACCTAATATCGTAACCCTTATATATTTCAAACTAAGAATTGTGTTAAACAGTCTAGGTTTGAAATATCAAAGGTGTACATCAGGTTGCAAAACTATTGGGATTAGAAAATTTTTATTTGGGGTAAAAACTCAGTTTCTTTTGAATAAGTTTGTTATTTCGTGGTTAAGAAAAATATTTTGCCATTTTTTTTAATTTCACAAATTCAGTTACCTGGATCTTCTTCTTCAGAGCATTTTCTTTCTCCTGAGTGTTCTTCAGGGATTCTATGCTGAGAAATAGTTTTTTCGAAACCTTCTCTAAATCATCATCCGCTCCATCCTTCTCAAATAACCGAACCTGAGAGGAAACTGTTTCATCCTTCACGGAGAACGGAACCTGAGAGGGATCTGTCTCCTCCTTGTCTGAGAAACGAGCCTGATCCCTAGAACTGCCAAGGGTTCTCATTTGTTGAGAATGAAGGTAAACAAAAGTTTTGTTTTCTTCTATCTTTGCTTCCAATTCTTCTTTCATATCTGTTTCCAACCTTTAAAAATATTAAATTTTGCAATTCCTAGAACTTCTTCATTTTATTGATATTAAATATTTAGATATTTTTAAAAAATTCGATGAATGTATTTTGTCGCCATTTCTTAAAAGGAAAGAAAATTTAAAAGCATCTAGAAATTTTTGAAGATTAGATTAATTTTCGAATGAATGTTCAATACATAGCCGAGATAGTTCATTTAATATAAATATAGAAGGGAAACATGACTAGGCTGCACAGTTCTTAATGTAAAGCTTAATCCAAATAGAACCAATAGAATCGTATAAACCAACCACATGATCAACCATGAAATGAAATAAACGAAACAGCCAACTTTTGGATAGATGGTTGATATGTATATAACAAGAACTTTAAGCATGCCAAGTATCCAAAAATAGAAAGAATAATGATATATTTTTATATCGTCCGCACAGTGCACACAGCATACAGAAAGCATGCGTGAAAAAGTTTAATTAATGTATGTAATATTTATGCATTAGAGTCAACGATAAAAAACATAAATTGTGATAATGTATCCATTAATATTATATATTTTGATGTATATGAAATATCAAAGTAGAATTGTGATAATGGATCCATTAATATTACATATTTTAATGTATATTACCAAAGTATAATTTTAATAAGTCATTTTTGTGTTTCAAATGCTTAGCAATCTTTAGGATAAAATATTAAGGGTGTGCACAGATTGATATCTATAAGTGTACCTGAGTATAGCTGTATCCAATCCTCCTTGAATATTTTGTATCCTGGATACAAAGTCATGAATCCAATGATCTAGTTGTATCCTCCGCTCTGCCAGAATACTGGATACATTCTCAACCTCGTTGAGCTCAGCAATTCTAGATACACATCATCAATATACAACACTAGCTTGGAAACATATACACATCATCAATATACAACACTAGCTTGGAAACATATACACATCATTAATATACAACACTAGCTTGGAAACATATACAGATCATTAATATACAACACTAGCTTGGAAACATATACACATCATCAATGTAAACACTAGCTTGGAAACATATACACATCATCAATGTAAACACTAGCTTGGAAACATATACAGATCATCAATATACAACACTAGCTTGGAAACATATACACATCATCAATGTAAACACTAGCTTGGAAACATATATACATCATCAATGTAAACACTAGCTTGGAAACCCAGCTCTGACGGGAAAATAAACTTTCTCTATAAATATCAACCCACTTAATTAAGCTAATAACTTCAATCGAGTCCTTAAACTAAAATTTCAAGCAAATCGGTCCAGAGGTTCCTGAATTATGATTGGACACACCCTGAATGTTTCATAGATAGATAGATAGATAGATAGATAGATAGATAAAAATATATTAAGCGATTTCTTGTATTAATGAAAATTTCAACTGTTTGTTTCATTTTTCTGAAAACCCTGTATGTTTCATAGATAGAAAGATAGATATTTCAGCTAACATAATAATAAATACATTTCCTGAAAACCCTGTAGGTTTCATTTAACATTACAGCACGATGATTACTTTATAAAACGTTTAGTATGAAATTCACTATGAAGTGAGTAATAATGTTAAAGTACAATATAATTTCATAAAATAACTTTCCTATATTATTGTTTGTTAATGATCCCTATGCTAAAATACCACACTCTAATTGAGATTTTATTAAACTTTCATTAACTACCTTTATTATGTTTAAAGGGAGAATTTTTTCAACACTTTTCAGACAAAAATTGCAAAGGAATTGAGTTTTTGCAACAAACTTACATTTTCTAACCCTTATATCTTTGCAATCTGATGGTGTAAACCTTTGATATTTCAAACTTAAACTAGTTGATATACCAGAATTAATAGTTTGAAATATCAAAGGTCTAGGAAAACGGGTTGCTAAGTTATAGGAATTAGAAAATCTGAGTTTGTGTCAAAAACTCAATTCCTTTGAAATATTTATCCTTGCAAGTTAAACCTATTCTTTCAATAATTTCATTTCCTATTTTGGTATTACAACCCTGATCATCAAACGGCATGGATTTATTTCTAAATACAAAATATTTGGTTTTTGAAACATTAAGTGTTAACTCATTAGCCTGAAACCAAGAACATGTTTTAGAAAGTTCGTGATTTGCTGTTTGAAAAAGAGTTTCTAAAGTATTTGATGATTTAAAGAATCCAGTATTATCGTCAAATAAAGAAGTAAAAAATGACGTACAATCTTTCTAAAAAATTTACTGTTTCATGTTTCTGAAAATCTTTATTGTTTCATGTTTCTAAAAAATGTACTGTTTCATGTTTCTGAAAACCTTTATTGTTTCATGTTTCTAAAATATTTACTATTTCATGTTTCTGAAAACCTGTATTGTTTCATGTTTCTAAAAAATTACTGTTTCATGTTTCTGAAAACCTTTATTGTTTCATGTTTCTAAAAAATTTACTGTTTCATGTTTCTGAAAACCTTTATTGTTTCATGTTTCTGAAAACCTTTTTTGTTTCATGTTTCTAAAACAATTACTGTTTCATGTTTCTGAAAACCTTTACTGTTTTACGTTTCTAAAAATTTACTGTTTCATGTTTCTGAAAACCTTTAGTGTTTCATGTTTCTAAAAAATTTACTGTTTCATGTTTCTGAAAACCTTAAGTGTTTCATGTTTTTAAAAAATTTACTGTTTCATGTTTCTAAAAACCTTTATTGATTCATGTTTCTAAAAAATTTACTGTTTCATGTTTCTGAAAACCTTTATTGTTTCATGTTTCTGAAAACCATGTCTGTTTCAGTATTTGAACCAGGAGCTGTATAAATACAGTAATCTATCTTACTATATATTGACAAGATAGGGCAGGGTAGGAAGGTAGAAAAGCGTCTTATAAGAGGGGTGGAAGGGGGCAGGAAACAGGTTTATAAGGGGGCAGTATAAAGGAACAAGGGAGAGCAAGAAGGAGGCAGGAGGGAGGGCAGTAAGGATGGCAAGGTATGGAGGGTTGGATTAACGGTAGGAAGAAGGGCAGGCAGGATGACAAGAAAAAAGGAAGGAAGAATGGCAAAAGGAGGATAGGGAAGAGCAGGAAGGAAAACAGAGAAAGTTAGGAAGGAGAACAGAGAAGACCAGGAAAGAGAACAGAGAAGAGCAGGGAAGAGCAGGAAGGAGAACGGGAAGCAAGAGAAGAATGGCAGGGAAGAGCAGGAAAGAGGATAGGAAAGAAGGAAGGAAGATAGAAAAGAACAGGAAGGGAAGAAGGACAGGAAAGTGCAGTAAGGAGGACAGGGAAGTCCAGGAAGGAGGACTGGGAAGAGTAGAAAGGAGGACCGGGAAGAGTAGGAAAGATGGCAGGGAAGAGCAGGAAAGATGGCAGGGAAGAGTAGGAAGTAGGACCGGGAAGAGTAAGAAAGATGACAGGAATAAGTAGTAAGGATTGCAGGGAAGAGTAGGAAGGATGGCAGGGAAGAGTAGGAAGGATGGCAGGGAAGACCAGGAAGGAGGACGGGGAAGAACAGGAAGGAGGACCGCGAAGAGTAGGAAAGAGGACAAGGGAGATAAGGAAGGAGGACAGGGAAGAGTAGTAATGATGGCAGGGAAGAGTTGGAAAGATGGCAGGGAAGAGTAAGAAGGAGGACAGGGAAGAGTAGGAAGGATGGCAGGGTAGAGTAGGAAGGATGGCAGGGTAGAGTAGGAAGGATGGCAGGGTAGAGTAGGAAGGATGGCAGGGAATAGTAGGAAGGATGGCAGGGAAGAGCAGGAGGACTTTTATTTTCTTGGAATTTATGACGGAATACTTTTGACATTCTCCATTAAAGAATTTGTAAGTAATTCTGGTTTGAAGTTAAATTACATGTTTCCACTACATAGCACTAGTATTCAGGATATAAATTAGGTATTTGGGTAAATATAGGAATATATAAGAAGAAGCTGAATACATATTGATTGTGTATCTTCTCGTATGTTTGTACACTCATGTTTCAGACAATGTAAACTTTTTAGGATTCATATAACATTTACACCAAGCTGTTTATAGAAAATGTTCATAAAACATTCTTATAGTGTAAGAGACTGCTTGAAGGAACATTATTGTAATTGAAGGCTTAAGAAGGAATTAGGGCAATTGTATCTGATCAGGGTTATTGGTTAATATTACAGACGCAGAAGAGCAGGGATAAATATATTTCACAAATTCAACGGATCATAATATTTACTGCGGACACTCTATTTTTTACTTTTATTTTTATAACTTGAGAAGGAAATAATATTTTGTAACAAATGTGCTGCGTAAGTGTGTATTCAGGAGATGAAGAGAAAAAATTGGCTTTTTCCTGATATAAATCTTTAGGTTCAGATTAGACATACAAACAAGAACACACACACACACATGGAAGAAACCCAAACACCAATACATATATACACAAATAACGCTATAAAAACAATAAAACTATAAAAAGCTTAGATATATAAAACACAGAAAATATAAAAATATGAAGTATGTCATCAGTTAAAAAAAGTTAGAAGATTTTTTAAATCGAAATTCGGTTAACAATTGAGACTTCTTTATGTTTTCTGTACACTTTACCTTGTACATTGTACATACAATGTGTTTGTGATAAATGTGTAAAAGTTTTGGAGCTGACCATAACATTAACAAACCTGGTTTAACAAACTTTCCTTTCAAGTTGGATATTGAACGACAACAATGTTAAAAATGTTAATTAAAAAGGGAGGATTCACGGATAGAATTCAAGGAGACCCATATTGTACCTGAGTTCAACTCTATGCTGTAGATCTGAGCGCTGTTGGTGCAGCAACCAGACTCTCTGGCTGCTCTGCTTGATGTCAGACGGACTGACCGCTGGATGTAGCTGATCAAGCAGATCTGAAATCTGGTCAAGGGTCTCAGATCCATCCATTAGCTTATCAAGAAGCTCCTAAATTATTGTACTTTTACACAATGCAGGTAAAAACGGGGTCAGTTGTTAAAAATGGAGGAAAAAAAGGGGGGTAAAGTGCCGGGGAAAAATTATATATATTTCTAACCTTGCACATCACTATATCTTCAGCTATTCCCTCCTTGGTCTCTGGTAGATCAGAATCCATGTGATTTCGTGCATTTACAATGATCTTAGTCAGCTGTTCGCATTTAATTCCGTATTCTACCGCTAGGCGTTTGATCCTGTTTAGGTGGTCTAGCCAGGTTTTGAGTCCAGCTTTAAGACTCGAGATGCGCTCCTGGTAGCCATGAAGTTCAAGGCGAGCTGAAAATAGATTTACCAGTGGCCGAATTTAAAGAATTTGAGCGACGGTTTAAATTTAAGCCGCGGTTTAATTATGGTTGGCTCCACTTAAAATTGTATCAAATGTTTCAAGATTTAAGCCGGCGCTTAATTTAAACCGGGTTTTGGCGGATTTAAACCGCGGCTCAAATTCTTTAAATTCGGCCTCATATTGCTTAATTGTAATTGAAAAAATTTTCAAATAAAATCGTGCATTTTTAAACAACTTAAATATTGAGGTTCATGTTCAGTGATCAATTTGTTAATGTACAGTAGCTTGTTACACTATTAACCTGACGAATCGGTCAGATGGTTCCTGAGTTTTGATAAAACTAACAGTTATTATACTTTATAATATATAAATGAATCGGATAAATCCTAAAAAATCCTAACCTGCTGATATTGAGCTTGAATCAAAGTTTGGCTGGATCTCTAGTTGCTGTTTAACCAAACTTCTAGAAAACAAATAAAATATTCAAATTTGCATTTCTCTGTTCTCTTCTCTCTGATGGATATCTCCTGGATTTTATTTCATCCAAAAAAGAATATCAAAAGTAATATGTAAAATGACTTAATTAAAAGTTTAATGGGCAATTAAGTTTTATTCTAGGAGAAAATTAGATTGTTTCTAGTAATCTAATAATAAAACAAACACCCTCTCACTGTAATTTTCCCTTAGAGGTTAGATAGAGATGTTCTAATACTGTACTTTAAATTTTTAATCACTATTATTTATTACAAATCTTACTTTAATTTGACATGCAATTTATTTTAATTTCAAATTTTTATTTAAATGAACATTTTTTTTATAAAAGTGATTACAAAGAAAAGTTAAAAAAATATGTTTTCCAAAAATAAGCCAAAAGTTTGCACTATACGCATTTTTTATAACGAACTAGCGTTTTTACAATATGATACTAGTTAAGGTACCTATGGAGCATCTCCCCGTGAGGAACTCTATCCAGGAGTTCTACGAGCTGCAGGGTCAACCTGTCCAGTCGTCGGACAGGTAGATGCTTTAAGCTTAGTTGTAACTTCTCCTTTTCCATCTCCCTGAATCAAGAATGAACTATACATTCATAATTTTTCCTTTGAAAGTTAATTCTTTTCAATTGTGGTTTCTCTGTAACAGTGACTTGCTAATTTATGTTGCAGAAACAATAAAAGATATCTTTCTTTCATATTTAACAGAGAAAAAAATTGCTACGTTGTGAATTTATATTCAATGCACCGCAACATTTACATTCAATGAATTGCATAATATATAGGAAAAAGGTTCTACAATTTTTATTATAATAAAATAGTTTCCTTGTTTGAAAACACGCTTTTAATGGGATTGGAATCGTAATTTACGTGATTCTCGATTCACAACGGAGCAATTTTTTCTTCTGTTAAATATGAAAGTAAGATATATTCCATTGTTTCTGCAAGTCACTGTTACAGATAAACCACAGTTGAAAAGGATTAATTTTTAAAAAGAAACACCAGATATACTAGTATTATAGAATTTTGAAAGAAGAGATGGAAAATATATTTATTCAACTCAATATTTACCACTGAAAATCTGCCAATTAAAAAAATCTAACAGAATTAAAAACAATGCTAAATGTGAATACATGAATATGTTGATTAATGAATGTTAACCTGATCCAAGCTATGAGTTTATCTGCATTTAGACAATATTCATTCCAGATAGATTTCCTGGTGACAAGAACAGTGCTTCTCTCACACAACTTATCTAGATACAAACATATATAATATATATATAAATATATATATATATACCAACGACAAATATATATATAAGTATATATTGAATGTATTTATTGTATTTATATATAGTCAATTTATTATTCAATCAAAAAACTAAATTTCGAAAATTTATATCCCAATATATATTAGGCTTTAAGCGATGGCACAATAATATATAAATGTACATAAATATAAAATATGCATATATTTGCTTCCCAAAAAAATGGTTTAGGAGTTCAGATATTTGTTTAGTACACATATATATTTTTTGTCTTTTCACGCGATTTTTCGTTTGTTATATAAATATATATAATATATAGTTAGTATACTGGCCGTCTAAGTTCGTACTACATAGTTAGTACACTGGCCGAAAATATAGTTATGTTGTTACAGCTGAATATATTTGAAGTACAGGGAGAAAGTATAGTTAATATCGGTCGAATATATTTCAGATTTTATGAACATTTCGAATAAATTTATAAACATCTTTGTAATAGAATCAAATTTTGAAAAAAATTGGTTTAAAGTTGGATTTTAAATTTTTTTATTTACATAAATATTGCATCTTTGAAGCTAAATCGAACATTCAAGAACATGAAAAGAAAATTTATGGAAGGTTCAGAGGTTGAGATTACACAGTACTATTTTCAAGACCACACAAATTTTAATAAATACATCTTAAATGTATTGACACATTTTTGTCAACTTTTAAAATGGAAAATAATATCCAAGTTGTAAACTAAATGATGAAAAGCAATATTTACTAATTCAAGTATTTAATCAAAGGAGTCGAAAACGACATTGAACTATACAGAAGGAGTCAACTCGAATGCGAAACTAGTGGCAAGAACTTGTAACCTCGTAGCTTCTATACTTTAAATTTTACGCAAAAAAAAAAATAAAAATAAAAACATTTTGTTGTTCTCAATAGCTTTTTAATAAGAGGTGTTATGGTTGAAAACATATAAGATTTTCTTGCGTTTAGTTTACTTTAGTTTAAAATGACTACCAATACAAACTGTAATATTCAATCTTACGTGAAGTTTACTTTAGTTTGAAGTGACTACCAATACAAATTTTAATATTCAATCTTGCGTTTAGTTTACTTTAGTTTGAAGTGACTACCAATACAAATTGTAATTTTCAATCTTGCGTTTAGTTTACTTTAGTTTAAAGTGACTACCTATACAAATTGTAATTTTCAATCCTACGTAAAGTTTACTTTAGATTGAAGTGAATACCAATGCAAACTGTAATTTTCAATCTTACGTGAAGTTTACTTTAGTTTAAAATGACTACCAATACAAACTGTAATTTTCAATCTTACGTGAAGTTTACTTTAGTTTAAAGTGACTACCAATACAAACTGTAATTTTCAATCTTACGTGAAGTTTACTTTAGTTTGAATTGACTACCAATACAAACTGTAATTTTCAATCCTACGTGAAGTTTACTTTAGTTTAAAGTTACTACCAATGCAAACTGTAATTTTTAAATTATTTAATATTGCATCCAGATGTCAAAGACCTTTAATATTTCAAACTATAAACTCTGAAAGAACAAATATAGTCAAAGTTTTAAATAACTAAAGTTTACACCATTAGGTTGTAAAGATATAGTGAAAAAAAATTAGCGTTGGTACTTGGTAGCGAGTGTTCATTTCCTTTGGGTTTAAAACTTTTAATTAAAAAAAGTACCAAGGACTGCATGATGTTTTTCTGCAACCTGCTGAACAGCATCTGGAGCAAGCCCGGTACATCGAAGAACTAGTTCCTATAAAAGAGAAAAAAGTTTAAAGATTAAAACTTTTAAAAGTTATTTTTAGGCTTTTCAAATGTAAGAGAAGAAAAATTGAATTTTAAATAATGTTTTTTCAAATTTTTACTACACCAAACTGTATTGCATAAAACACTTTTGCACTGAGAGGAATAAATGCCCATTGTAGTGTTAAGAAATACTAAATTGTATGATTTGAAATAAGTTTTACATTTTAAATTTCAGTCTTATCATTATGGTTTTTGGGTTTCTTGATACTTTTTTAAAAAGTCAGACATGGTCCTTAGTGGGAAGGAATTAATATTGTTACGAACCTGATGCTGGATTAGGAGAACTCGATGTAGAGAACCAAGACGGAGTTGTTCTCCTATGCTCTGATAGCTTGTAGAAACTGGTTCTTCTAGGTTACTCAATACCTTAAATAAAAATATTTTTTAAACACATTTACTAGAAAAGACTACAAGTACAAACATTAGAATATGTAAAATAATAACACTAGTATAGAACTCTACTGTCTTATATGTACACAAACCACAGGGTGACCCAAAAACAGGGATTATGATTTTTTACCCCTTTACAACGTTCAAGAAGACATGAAAATAAACTCCAATAATAAACTTCTCTGTTAACTTGGGACAATTAATAATTCTTAATATATTAATCATTTTGCAGAGAAAAAAAAAACTAAAAAATTATCATAAATGAATGATTTGATTTGATTTGTAAATAAAAAAAATATAATATTTATATATTTATATTTAGAAAATATAAAATGGAGTGTGAATGGATTAAAATGAGGAAGAAGGATTGAGTGGAATGGGAGAAAGAAATTAAATTAGAAGAATTATCCAAACCTTTTGGAAAATTTGGCAAAGTTTCCTAGCATACTGAACTCTCAATCCTTAACTGCAGAAATGTACTTTGATATAGAAATTGTCTCTATTTTTGTTTGATTTGAGTGTAGTAAATTTTACTATTTTTTCTGATGCATTTTTCTATAGAAAAAAAGGATAAACTTTTAGCTTTTCAAATAATCTTTTGTAGCTGAATGCACTCAGTGTATTAAAGTTCATACTAAAAATAAATTATTTAGTTTCATTTTCTATTCTTTTCTTTCTATCCCTTAAAAATGAAAACACAAAAATCTTAACGTTTACTTAAAAACTTCTTTTCCAACTTTTAAGGTTGTTTTTATATTTTTTCGACGTTATTTTTATACAAATAAAAAACAAAAATAGTAAAATATGATCGTTAAAATTTCTGATTTGTAATCCTCTTGAAAATTGATGTCGTAGACCTTTGAAAATTCTTACAAATAAATCAAATATTTGAAATATCAAAGGTTTTTAAAGTCATGGGTTGCAAAGATCCAGGGATATAAAACTACAGATTTTTTTTGCTAGTAATCAGTGTCTTTGGGAAACCCTGTAGCTTTAGTATTCCAACTAGCACATAAATAGTAAAAAGATACATACAAGATAAATACATATATGTAATGTATGTGTAATGGATGCACTGTGTGATATATATAAATATTAATATTGAGTTGAGTTGTTGCCAACTAAAGAAGATGTATTTACTTCATCACAACGTTATACATTTAATACTAAATATACTTTCTTCTTTAAAATATAGATAATTCAACATTTAATACGATATCTGTTCGTTTATTTTTGGATATATATCCGATATAACATGCATTAATATATTTGATACCAAATACATTTACTCATTTGCTATTTTATGTCATATACATACTTAATAAAGGCTCATTTACATTTGCTATAATACTTTTGCCATAAATACATTTGTCATAATTTCACTTGCCATAAATAATTTTACCATAAGTAACACTTAATGGTTACATTTGCCAAAGATATAAATCTAACCATTTTTTTAATAATTGAGCCATCTTTTAATTATGAAAATTCCCAACTTTAGTTACTAACAATGCTGCCGGGAGAGCTAGACATGGACACTAATGACCAAACAATATTTTTCCAATAGAGCAATATCTTAACATTATTGCTCATGAGCTGTCCCATAATTAGATATTTTAATTGTACTTCCATGTACTTATGGTATGTAAATTGTAACTATAATTATTGTAATTAAGTGTAACCATTTAGGCAAATTTAACTTATGACAAGTGTAATTTAAAGCAAGTGTTACTTATGGAAAACGTATTATGGCAAGTGTAATTATGGCAAATGTATTTATGGCATAAGTATTATGACAAATGTAACTGAGCCTATCTAAATATTTGAAAGTTATGATAATTTTAAGTTCCTGAGTTGCAATTTTTAACCAGTTTAATAATAAACCCATGGTTTAGTAAATTAATATCTCGGTTAATACGTTATTTAAAAAATTACAAATAAATTGTTAAATTTTTGAACTTTACCTGATCAACATGGTTTTCCCAAACCTTGAGTAAAGTACCAGCCCCAGCTTGGTTGGCTAGACTAGCAGACACCCTGAAAATATTTTTTATTAAGACTTTTAATTTATAATTAACAATAAGTTGATAATTACCTATTATATTTTTCCAGCGTATCTTCAAAAACCCGCTGCCAAAGTTGCATTACTGATGCCGTTGGATCACTGCAATATCAAGATGTTAAGATAAAAAATAGAAAAATATTGAAAACAACTGATTATCTACTTGCATCCAACATTAATCTATTAATTCCTTTATATTTTTAACCTTATGGTTTAAACCTATTAAGCTTTAACTATTTGATATTGCAGAAATTATATTTTAAAATAACAAATGTATTACCCAGTATATGGAACTAGTTGAGTAGATGGAACACCATTGTTTCGTACACCAGCAAGCCGAGCCTCAGTTCCACAAATTCTCATCAACTGATTCCTTGTTCCAATCAGCTGATCAGCCAGTTCTAGTTCAGTGATATCTAACCCAGGCTCTGGAACTGCCAGTGCGCTGGTCATATTGCAAAGTTCTGATCTGGATTCATCAACGATCGTTTGCGAGGATTTCTGTTCCGTTTTATGTCGTTTAAGGGTGTCAAATAGATTTGTGATGGTGTCGCGTAGTGTAACTATTCTATGAGTTAGATCGTCCACCTCGACTATGAATGCAGATCGTCCCCCCTCGTCCATGTTAAGCTAAAATAAAAATAATTATAATTGTTCACATTCATTCTAATTTTTAATTTATGATAATTAACCGTTCTTTATATTTTAAGTTAATATTGTTTAGAAACATTAGAACCTAATTATACAGTTAGGAAAATTAAAGGAATATTATGCAGAATATGCTGCCCAAACAAACAAACGAATACCAAAACACAAACGCATTAGCAAACACAACAACAAACTCTAACACAAACAAAGACTGGCATAAAAACAAAAACTCTCCAAAAATAAAATATGGACTAAAACACTATCACACACAAAATCCCGCAAATCAAAATACAATAATACAAAGAAAAACACAAACACAAAAATAAAATTAAACATAATCAGAAACACAAACTCAGACAAACACAAGCTCACAAAATAACACACCCCGACGCACAAACACAAACTCACACACAAACACAAACTCGCCCACAAATATAACTCACACACAAACACACAACAAAATTACGCAGACCAAATGTGGAGGACTGACAGAAACATAAAAGACGCGTTTACAAACTATAAAACCAAGAAACCCCTCAAAAATCTAAAATAAAAATGTTGGTTGGAGACAAAAGTAAATAGTATTTCCACTATTTACCTGAACACATATATCTGTTGTTATCTCCTTGAGTTCTTTTATTGCCTCTTCCTTCTTCTTCTCATCTTCAAGTACAGTCTAAACATATAATAGATTAAACACTTCTCAAGATATATATATATACATATATATATATATATACAAGGTAAAATTAATATAATCTCAGGCTTGGTTCATCCATAACAATTTGAATATTATTCGTCAACTAATGAGACCTAGTCTGGAAAAGGCCATTGGTCTGATCTTTCCGACCCTTGCTAACTTTTGTAGCTCTTGTAAATGAGATTTCAAAGCTGCAAAGCGCTTGTTTCTATCTTTAATTTTAAAAAGTTGTTGGCAAAATTCTGATCATTATAATAATTTAGTTCATAATTACACTTATATTTCTTCAAAATTCTTCTGAATGGAACTCTGACCTTCCACTATACGAACAAAAGATATGCAAACTGCAGTTATTTTAGTAATGAAAAATTAATATCGTTAATATCGATTCACAGGGAAATGTATAAATATTTGTACAGTTTTTATACAATCTAAACTTACATAAGAAGATTTTAAAATTAAAAAATCTGTACATTTCAAAACTTCAGAATTATAATAACCGGAAAGCTTTAGATTCTCTGATCTTCTCCTTGTTCTAGATCTTTAAAAACTGACATTTCTTTGACCCGTTTCATCATAGGGGTGTTTAATAGCTACTTAGTTTAACATTTTTTATTTGCTTTAACTATTTTTGGAAATTTTGCATTCTTAAGATCATGAAAGAAATATAAAACAACTAAAATTTTACTAAGAGAATTTAATCCCCTCAAACCCTTCCCCTTTAGCTCAACAACATATGCACATTTATAAACATTATTACTGAAATATTTTCCTCAAAATCAGGTTTTAAACTATCTTATAAATATTATCCTTATGCAGCAATACAATTGTAATTTTTCAGTTACATATGCAGGAACCAGATTTAATGAAGCAATTCATTTTAATGTTCATTAATGTTCATATATGTTCATTAATGTTCATTAATGTTCATTAATGTTCATTAATGTTCATTAATGTTCATTAATGTTCATAAATGGTCATTAATGTTCATTAATGTTCATTAATGTTCATTAATGTTAAGCATTGATTTTAAATAACGTGAAGTTTTAAATCTTTCAATAATCCGACATTTTATAAATGGAATTTCAAGTGACCCTCCTTATCCGATTCACAACGGTGTTCTTTAAACCTAGAATTACGTAGATATTCTTATTTTCAGTTAAAAAAATAAAGATATCTGCGTCATCCTTTAAGGGGAAGCGCTGTGAATCGAAGGAGTATATCATTAAATTATATTAAGACTCATTCTACTTCTTTCATTCTCTCTCGTCACACAAAAACTATTCAATGTTAATGGAGCCATATCTGACGACATAAAAGTGTTTATATTAAGACCTATTTCAGTTTGCATTGTAAAAAAACTATGAATAAGAAGAAGTTCTTACCCCTTCGCTTTGCATCAAAGCATTACTGTAGAAATGTGTTTTTTTTTAGGAGAGATTACATTATTGAACTTTTCTGTTGAAAATAAAAACAAGTTCATGTTCAAATTATAAGTAGTTCTATTTATAGATTTTCTGATTTGTAGTTTTGTTTCTAATAGTTCTCTTTCCCGTAGCTCTGTTACCAGTAGTTCTGTTTCCAGTAGTTCTGTTTCAAGTATTTATGTTTCTCTTGGTTCTGTTTCTAGTTGTCCTGCTTCTAGCTCTGTTTCCATTAGTTCTGTTTCAAGTATTTATGTTTCTCTTAGTTCTGTTTTTAGTCGTCTTGTTTCGAGTATTTCTTTTTCTTGTAGTTCTGTTTCTGGCGATTATGAAACAAATGTATTGTATTTCTATTTAACATGTATATTTTAAGAAGTGCTTTTGTTACAAATTCAAGTTTTATCAAGTTACTAAAACTCGTTTTGTTTTTGAAGTTTTTTAGTTGAAAGAAGTTTTAAATGATAAAGTTATCTTACAGTATTCATCTTATACTTTCGTATTCATACTGTAATCTGTCAACTTTACACTTTACACTTTACACTGTACAGAGCTTTATGAGAAATATGTATGTATGTATGTAAGTGTGTGTGTACACTGTACAGAAGCAAGATGAGACAAGGCTGTTAAAAGTTTCACTATTTCTCAGAGTAAAGGATTAACAAGCAATCTTCTACTCAAAACTTTACTCAACCTTTCTCTCGGCTTTAGAATATATGGAGTCTAAAGGGAATATATGGAGTCTAAAGGGAACGTGTTTAACAGAAATTTCACTTTTCAGAAACATCGAATAGGAATAAGAATGGTACCAAACGAAAGGAACTTTGATTTGAATTCATCCTAAACACTTTCATTTTACGAGCACTTCGTTATAGACAACATCTCGAGATATATCAATATAATATATATATAAGAGTATATTTTGTCTCTATTTTTATATTGAAGCCTGAAACATGTTTCAGGCTTAGTACACTGTTACAACTATACGAATATTACTTATTTATTGAACAGCTGGTAAAACAGGGTTTAATATTCACTCCAACGTAATAACATTTTTCCTTCAAAAACAAATAAATTTAAAAAACCTTGAAATGTGTTTTTCATCTGTACTAGAATTTGTAATCTTTTTTTGCTTGTCTGTTTGTCTATACGGCTGAGACAAACAAAAAACAGGCTCTGATTACTGTTTTTTTTTTTCCTATGGTTTCCTATATTACACGAGATTACTGATTTGTCTAGAAAATATCACCGCATAATGATGGAAGTTTCGATAATGGGTTGGATACCTAGAATAATTAGGATTATTGGAAACTCTACAAATAACAATAAATAAGAGAAGAATATCGAAATTTACCAAAAGAAAAAGAAAACTCGAAAACCTTCTTTTAAAAGTAACATTTTTGAAAATTTATAACGCCCTCTCCTCCCCCCCCCCATAATCCAGAGTGTGAATGCTAACACGCAAAAAGCTGACAGCACATTGCCAATTACTCCTTCTAAACTAAAGCTAAAAAATGGTGTTATAGTTCTAAACTGTAAATGTCTAGGAATGCAAAAAAGTTCAAGTGAGTCCATAATATAAATCCAAGAACCAAGGGGTAGCGACACTTCAAACACAATTCGATTAGGATAATTGATGGATAATAATAGCTGTCTGTCTGTCTGTCTGTATTCCCTTCATATTTCTCCAGTTTGGTCTCTGTAAAAGAAATTGAAAGTAACACTTAATGCTTAGGGTGGCATGTCCGATTCACGGTACCCTTTAAATCTTTGTTTGATCAAGGATGAATAAGATGTCCTTATCTTAAAAGCTAACAATTCATTGTGGTTCCTCTATAAAGACGATGACGATAATATCAAAATTCAAGACTTTTTAAAGGGAGTGTTCGCAAAAATTTAAAGGGGGTATGAGTCTATTGCGAAAAATAATCGCTTTTGATCACTACTAATCGTACTTCTATCTGTTGCGTCTATAAGGAGAACATTGTAAAAAACGACTTATACTGAAGAACGTAGCGTTTATACAAATTCAGAAAGTTTTAATATACGACTCGGATCGTAAAAAATGAATTTAATTTCAAACAGATCATTCAGAGATTACAGCCTATAGTCATCGTTTATTTTTCGACGCATTCGTGTAGAGTTAATATTTAATATTAGTTTTGTACACAATGCACTTAAAACGCCGAAATAGTTGGCCGCCAGATGTCTCTGCTCTCGACATACTTTGAATGATTACACGTCACTGAGACACCGAGCGAAAAAAAGTCGTTTTAAGTGCACTGTATATAAAACAAATAAATGTTATGAAATATTAACTATATACCAATGCGTCGAAAAATAATCGATGACTATTGTGTGTAATATCTGAATGATTTGTTTGAAATTAAATTAATTATTTTATGATACGAGTCATATTGCAACTTTTAAATTTCTATGGGCGCTACGTTCTTCAGTATAAGTTGTTTTTAACAATTTTCTCCTTATAGACACAACAGTTAAAAGTAAGATTAGTAGCGATCAAAAGCGCTCAATTTTCGCCGGAAACCTATACCCCCATTCATTTTTCGCGAACACTCTCTTTAAAGAAGAAAAACGACAATTGTTTCCCCTATTTTATCTTTGTAAGTCAAATATGCTACTCTTAAAAAGGAATCTTTTTTAAAATTACGTCTCCAGTTTCTATTCAAAAAGGTTGAAAACCTAGACGGTTTACGACTGATTTAGATCCAATTCTGTGTAAGGATATATGAGAGAATAAACATCCCTGTTCCTATACTCGTCTCTATCAAAATCTTTTGTCACGCAATTCAAGCAGTTTTGGCCTTTACATCCTCCTCCTAGCTCTCTTGGCTTTAGATGCCTGGGAACAGGAGGGACAAAAACAACTAAACCAAAGTCATTATTTCAAAAATAAGAAATGAATACTTCAGGTACAAGTTGAGGCATTTTAAATAAATTTTTTTTAACTTTTAAAAACTTCAAATTTAGATTTTAAGATCCTCTTTCAATCTGTGATGAACCAATCATCTCAGCCAAAGGTAAAATATTCATAAATTTTTAATTTTTTTTAACTCCAATTTTTTCTTGATTTACTAGGAATCAGAGATGCAGAGGATTGAGATGATGTACACAAATATATCACTCATGATAAAAAATATCTCTAAATCTAATAAGGTGAAAGAAGTTATGCAATTTCTAACTTGAAATTCAAGAATAAAAACATTCGGTAGCTTGGAAGTTTTCTCTGACAGTTTATTTCATTAGTCCCAAAAGTTGTAAGACAAAGATAAACAAAGTTTAAAGAAATATAAAGAAAATAGAAAAAACTAAACTTAATTAAAATGCTGTCTGTATCCCCGCCATGTTCTTTACACAATTATATTTCCTTCTATTTTCAATTAATGAAACAAGTTCTAAGTAATACAATTTTCATTTTTCCACTTCCACCGTAACACTTAAAGGGACTGTAAGTTTAATTTTAATTGACCCTCCATTAAACTTTGACGGATCATCTTAAGCAGTAAACTCCGTGTGTTTAATTCTAAAATTGTGTTCGAATTGCCATAAAAACTGGAGTTACGCCAATGCAGCGCGCAGTGTTAACTCAAAAGAGCTAACGTTACAATTAAAATATTCCACAAAAATCGCGAATATTCTACTTCCAAATATTTACTTTCTGCGACTATTATAAATTAAATATTAATAAATCTTTAATATAAAACCGCTTGCAATCTGTCCGTCACCAGTCAACGGTTTCTATAGATTATTAGGTCAGGATCTGTCAAAGGTTTAAGGGGTTATAATAATATTGCACGTTGACACTTGAAATAAGGCCTACAGTACCTTTAAAAAAGGAGGTCGTTTAAAAATACTTGGGGCAACGCCGAGTATTTTAGTTAGTTTCAAATTGAATATTAAAGAGTTGCAAGATATTAACTTCTTAATGCCTGTCATATGCCATAAACATACACTAACATAAACTTGAATTAATCTTGTTTACATCTAACTATTGTTAAGGATATAAAGCAGCAGAATATATATTATGATGATAGTGAGAATGCATACAAATATATAATTTTTGTTCTCTTCATCTACGCTACGAGCTTTGTTGGACTCATGTGCAATTTCTTCAGGAAGTGAGAAATTTTCTTAACCATTTTAATCAATTTGAAAAAGATGAATTATATTTTTTATCATTATCATCCTCTTCTTGCCTGCAAGAACATCTTTTGGCGGAGATAGGCATAGCTGTGTTTTAACATAAAAAAGTTGGGTATTCATAGCATGTCTATTTTCAAAAAGCTGAAAAATCCCCTTTAGCACAAACTCAGAAGTCCTTATGGCATATCTAAGTCTCTTCATAATCCATACTTTTAGGGGTAGAACCAGCAGAACACTCGAAACAGTTTATAAAGATTTTGTCGAACGGTCAGATTTTCCTGTAAAGGTATGTATCAAAGTTGAGTAGGATGAGTAAGGATGTATCTTGGTTGAGTATGATGAGTAAGGATGTATCAAGGTTGAGTAAGATGAGTAAGGATGTATCTAGGTTGAGAAGGATGAGTAAGGATGTATTTAGGTTGAGTAGTATGAGTAAGGATGTATCTAGGTTGAGTAGGATGAGTAAGGATGTATCTAGATTGAGAAGGATGAGTAAGGATGTATCAAGGTTGAGTAGGAGGAGTAAGGATGAGTAAGGATGTATCTAGGTTAAGAAGGATGAGTAAGGATGTATTTAGGTTGAGTAGGATGAGTAAGGATGTATCTAGGTTGAGTAGGATAAGTAAGGATGTATCTAGGTTGAGTAGGAGGAGTAAGGATGTATCTAGGTTGAGAAGGATGAGTAAGGATGTATCTAGGTTGAGATGGATGAGTAAGGATGTATTAGGTTGAGAAGGATGAGTAAGGATGTATCTAGGTTGAGTAGGAGGAGTAAGGATGTATCTAGGTTGAGAAGGATGAGTAAGGATGTATCTAGGTCGAGAAAGATGAGTAAGGATGTATCTAGGTTGAGTATGATGAGGATGGGAGAAGGAAAGGTTCAACCTGTCAGCAACTAATATCCTCGACCTTATCAATTGCTACAATTGGTCTTGTTAAAGAAGAGGTAAGATTCTAAACAATTATTGTTTCCTGGTTCAATTATGCACCTTTTTCCCATACGTGGATGGATCTATTTTTTTTAAATCTTAATTTTTATCAAAATATCTCATAAGAAGAAAATTGCAGATCTTAAAATCTTTTACAATATTTTCCTTCAATATTGTTTTGATTAGAGTTAATTCCCTGTATCCCTATAATACCCAAACTATCATGCTAGTTATAAGATTGAACATGATAATACAAGATTATAAAATATCTATATTCTATAATATTGTTTAGTTTCCTCCATCCTCCTCTCCTACTACAGATGGAAACCAGAGTTTGCAGAGGAAAATAGAATATATTTTTATCTTTAGCTTGTCATTTTCATGAGACCTTTCAAATCTAAATATCAGCGATACAACAACACTTCTTCAGTTCTATAATTTAAAAATATTCTACTCAGCTCCTGTTCGGTCTCTCACCTCTCCATATACGAGATGAATAGAAAACCTTCCCTTGCCAGGAGTACTAATACACTACTAGAGAGGTACAAAAGTACTAATACACTACTAGATAGGTAAAGGAGTACGTATACACTACTAGAGAGGTACATAAGTACTAATACACAACTAGAGATGTACATGAGTACTAATACACTACTAGAGAGGTATAGGAGTATGTATATACACTACGAGAGAGGTACATGAGTACTAATGTCCTTATAGAGAAGTACAGGAGTACTGATATCCTACTAAAGAGGTAAGTGAGTACTAATACACTTCTAGAGAGGTATAGGAGTACGTATACACTACTAGAGAGGTACATGAGTACTAATACACTACTAGAGGGGTACATAAGTACTAATACACTACTAGAGTGGTACAGGGATACTATAACACTATTAGAGAAGAATAGGAGTACGTATAAACTACTAGAGAGGTACATGAGTAGTAATGTCCTTATAGAGAAGTACAGGAGTACTGATATCCTACTAAAGATCGAGGTACATGAGTATTAATACAATTCTAGAGAGCTACAGGGGTACTAATACCCTTCTAGAGAGGTATAGGAGTACTAAAATTCTACTAAAGAGGTAAAGGAGTCCAAAAGGCAGTAAAACAAATCATTAAATAAAAAGGAGCAAGACAAAAATCTTTAGGAAAAGTTTTATCTATGATATCACTTTGTCAGCTCAAAAGAACATTCAGAAGAAACCTCAATGATATATATATAACATATAACATCTGTTAGATATTTCAGCGGAGAGGTACAAGGAAGTTTTACAAAAAACGAATAAGATATTAATAGATATGGTTCGATATATGAAGATCTTGAGATGGAAGAAAAGGATTTAGCCTGGGAAAAAAATAAGACTCTCCTTTCTCCATATTCTAAACGTAAGAAATTAGCTTTTATTTTAAAGTTTCTTCATTTAAATATATAAAATATTTAAGAGCTTACTCCATGTATAACAATAACACTGAATGATGAAGAAGAAGGAAGCTCTCAGGCAAAAATAAATTATTTTTGTATAAAATTTAAATCTTCAGTTTTTTTTCTCCACTTCTGAAATTGATTTCTTTCTCAAGAAATGTAATTATTTCTCTGAAATATAACAATTCTCTAGAGATAGAGAAATAAATGATATCTGTATTCTGCGAGAAATTATTTTTTTCTAGGACAATAGTGAAAATAGATTGATGGTTCCGATATCTTTAGGTAATTATCATTAAACAATTTAATTACACGTATTTAATTAATTTGATTAAGAAGTTGGATAAGTATCTACGATAAAAATATGGTTGAAATAGGATCAAGTTGAACCACTGGCAAAAAACAGTTCAATTATCCATACTTGATTATACTTCTACTCGATATTAATAAATTTTGACCACTCAATGCCTCTCATGTACTTCAAAAGGTGTTAGGTACTTTCCCAAAGGCAATTTCCCAAGGGCGACTTCCCAAGTATCAATTTCCCAAGTGGAAAATTCCCAAATGTGCTATTTACCAAGCAACAACTTCCCAAAGGTTAGGTTAGGCCCTCTGAGGCACCGCGGGTTGCAATTGGGACCGTGCGCTGCGGCTAGGAATGCCTAGAGGGCCGAGCATAGCGGCTATAAAAGGCTATGGGGTCCGAACGCTGCGGCTAGGACAGACTTGGGAAGTTGTCGCTTGGGAAATTCCACATTTGGGAAGTTGCCGCTTGGTAAAATACCCCTGGGAAAGTACCTAACTTATCAATTTGACCTAGAGCGGCGTCCCTCTATATTTGGTTTGGATCAGCAGGACTTAAATAGCCTAGACTTCAAACAGGAATCACCGTCAAAGGAAGAGTAAAATATGATTATAATATTTTCAGGAAATTTTAGTATTTCAAATAAAAAGTACAAAAATATGAGGCATGAGCTGCACCCCCTTTCTTCCCAAGAAATAAATCTTTTAAGTTGCTTTCTTCAAAAATTCTTTAGAATTCCGTTCAAGTTTGAAAATTTCTCGACCATTAGATCAAAAAACTATAAAATAAACTTAGCATTGTTTTCTAGCCCTAATCGACCACTTTTCTAAAATAAAAATCATAAACCCTTCACAGTCCTGCTTATCCCTCTCATCACTAAAGGAGGTAATATTCTAATCATTAATGAAAAAAATACAGATACATTTTTTTTTAAAAAGAGGGAGCGGAAACCCAGCATTAGTTTCTGTGAGACGGTTACAGTTGTTACTGCCAGTAGGAGAGGAAGTTCACCAGGTTAGAAGGATTGTTAAAAGAGTTTAAACATCTTAATTCAAGTTTAAAAAAGAGATTAATTAAGAAGTCCCAAAAAATTATTATAATTTTTTTTAAGATTGCAAATAATCCTTTTGAAAAACAGGGAAATCATTTTAAGAAAAAATAAAAACCAGTTTTATATAATACTTTATTATAAAGCCGCAACTTTTTAATACCGTAAATAATAATGTACCGTACCGTAATAATGTACAACAAAAACATTACAACGATTTTTCCCGAGCTTTTGAGAGAAACTGAAATGGTCAAAACGGTTGAAGAAATATTTTCTGATGGAACATTCTTGGACAACCTTTTCAAAAGGATTCCATCGCTTAAAATTTTCCTGATCTTTCTCAAAATTCTACCTTCTATCATCCTGTTTGTAAATATAAAGTTTAGAATCCCCCCCCCCCTCCTCCCCTCGGCAAATCAATCAGAAAGAAAGGGTAAAGTTTGTTGACAAAGAGAAGAATGAACCTGACCTGAATACAAAATAAGGATATTTACTTGATCCTGCTGTGGTTGGTCACAGTTCTACAATTCTTAATAAACCGTGGTATCACAAACTTTGCTAAAATTTTCACCTACACCTATTAGATCCCCTCTGAAACTTGTAATCCACCCGCTCCCCATCACAAAAAACACTTAGAAATGTTTTGTCATGTGAAAGATAAAATATTTATAATTAATATTTTACACAAACTATTTTCAAGTACATAAAAGTAATTCTAGTTAATCATTTTTTTATCTTCTATGAAAATATATAAATCGGTCTTGACAACATCCACCCATCATGTTTTCAAACTTTTAAATTGCTTAGCTTACCTAAAGTTTTTTGTTTTAACTTTTAGTCTGCAATATGAAAGATTTTGCTCAAGTTTCCAAAATATTCTATTCTTCTGCTTTATTCTAAACTTAGGTAAATCTGAACATTTTCAACACAAATTACAATTTCTGATCTTCCGTACCAAATCTTAATTTTAATAAAATTTTCTTAATTTAATTTCTCAATTAATTTAAGATATTTAGTTCTTTCTCTGAGTAGTAATGGCAGTGAATCCAGTGAATTGGCTAGTTTTGTTCAAAATCAGGCAAATATAGAAAATAGATTATGATAAAATGTTCTAAATTGAGATATTAAAAGAATTTTTAAATAATATTTGTTTAGGACAAAGATGGATTGTTGAATAAAACTTCACAAAGTATGATAAATATTAGTTACAAGGTAGCTTCTCATTAGAACACATTCAATTTATTATTAATAATTAATTTATAAAGGAATTGAGTCTTTGGAACAAAATCAAATATTTAAACCTCAATAACTTTAGAACCCGAGGGTGTAAACCTTTGATATTTCAAACTCAGATTATTTGATCTAACAGAATTCATAGTTTGAAATATCTAAGGTCTACAACATTTGGTTCCAAAGATATAGTGATTAGAAAATCAGAGTTTGTGGCAAAGACTCAATTCCTTTAAATTTGAATAGGACGAAATACAGGTTCCGAAGCAAAGAACATTTAGCTCTGAGGATTGCAACAAATTGTGTAAAAACTCTAGAAGTTTATCCTGTGAATCAGAACAAGTTGGAGAAAATGACAATAAAAATCTTGAACCTTTATGTAAGGTTGAGAAACAAGGGGGAAAAACAAACTCAATTATACAACTGTTGTAAACATTTTTTATCTAATTATATTTTTTGAAAAGTTCTGTATAATCTGCAGTGTTGAATGTCAAACAATACAGGTTTATGTTAATTGTGAAAATATACAGGGTGTCCCAAAAAACATGGGAATTCAGTGACGAATTCGATATCGTCTTTGTTATGAATTAGCATTGTAATTCCTAATTTCAAAAGCCATAATAGTATTATGTCAGCTAGAGTTTATTTTATGAAAAGGATAAAAGACTGTAAAGATGTGTCTATAATATCTCCGCAAGAAGAACAGTGAAGACGGACAAGTTTACTCTGTTTGTATACTGTAATTTTCTTGTTTTACTATGTACAACCGTATGCAGTCAAAACATAAACAAACAAATTGTGAACATAGCAGACGAAACTCTTACAGATTACAGCTTTCTCAGTAGGTATCACTATACTAAATCAAAGAATTATCTAAAAAGACGATATCGAATTCGTCACTGAATTCCCATGTTTATTGGGACACCCTGTACTTGAAATGTCGAAGCCATGACAAAAATATTCATAAATTGTTTCATTTTCTTATCCCCATCTATAAATATTAAAATAGATGTAATAGATGTAGCAAACTTTGAAGCATTTTTTATATTTTAAAAGCGTTTAAAAATTAGGTTTGTCAGTGCAAGTAGCATATAATGAATTCAAATTCAATAATAAACTTTGTTTGATGTTAAATACAGTTTAAATATAAATATATAGCAATAAATTCATATTTTCCTCCTTGTAAATTTGAATAATATGACGCCCGCGAAGTTCTACACTTTTAGGATGGATTTCTCATTTCTCATTTCTTCTGGTTTTGTGATTCCTTCGCTTTGTTTTTGAAACCTGATGGTGTAAATCATTTATTGATATTTTAAACTATTTAATCAAACGTTAGTTTAAATGTGAAGATATCGGAATTAGAAAATTAGAATGTGTGGCGAGTGTTAATTTTATTGAAGCCGGAAATAGGAAGAAAAATAAGCGTATGTTATTTTGTACGTGCCTACGCATATTTCATGTTTATTCAAACTAAAATTACGATAAATCTAATTTTGATCTGGAAATCGATTGTTGTATGTAGGGGATTGGCATTTACGAATTGTTTATATTTGGCGAGGTTGAGTTCCTTCTGACCTGAATCCATCCATCTTAATAATTGTCTTACTTCTTTAACCTTTGGTTCTAATGATTAGTTCTTGTTCAAAGTTGTTTTAAAAACAAGCTGTCATCTCTCAAAACACCATATAAGTCTGTACTTTAAGAACCAGGAAAAGCTTAGATATAACTTAATCCTCCCTCTGTTTTCTAACCCTCATAAAAACAATTCCTGAAGAAAGTGGAAGAGAGGCAGAGGTAATTTCAGTTTTTAATTATATCTGTCTACTCAGTACTCAGTCCTATACTTGAAGAAAGAAAATATACACCATATAAACCTCCTACCTTGAGTTCGTTATAGATAAATTCGAGATCTCCATCGGTCTGAAGCTTCAGCTCAATCCCCCTAAAAAATGATTTATCTTTAAATATTCATCATTTAAACTCATCAATCTTGGACAAAATGATCGGTTTTTATTCCGGAAAATATAATCGTGCGGAAATTAAGATTTCCTGAAATATATGTATAATGGTTTTGTCTAGGAAATACATTTATTATTTAAAAGGAAACGTTTTTTATTCAAATGCCATTTCAGAAAGAGTATTTGGTTTTAGATGTCATTCGGCAAGAAATATATTAGTTATTTATACCACTGCAGGGTATTATTTTGCTCCTGTGAACATTTGATAAGTCTGAAATATCCAGGTCCTATGTTTACCTAAGGGTTGTATTAACACCAGATATCCAGGTTCTATGTTTACCTGATGGTTGTTTTAACACCAGATATCCAGGTCCTATGTTTACATAAAGGTTATGTTAACACCAGATAGTCAGGTTCTATGTTTACCTGAGAGTTATGTTAGCACCAGATATCTAGGTACTATGTTTACCCGAGGGTTTTATAAGTGGTAGATATCCAGGTTATATGTTTACCTGAGAGTTATGTTAGCACCAGATATCCGGGTACTATGTTTAACCGAGGGTTTTATAAGTGGTAGATATCCAGGTCCTATGTTTACAGGGTTATGTTATCACCAGATATCCAGGTCCTATGTTTACCTGAGGGTTGTAATAGTGGTAGATATCCAGGTTCTATGTTTACCTGAGGGTTATGTTATCACCAGATATCCAGGTCCTATGTTTACCTGAGGGTTATGTTATCACCAGATATCCAGGTTCTATGTTTACCTGAGGGTTATGTTAGCAACAGATATCCAGGTACTATGTTTACCTGAGAGTTATGTTAGCACCAGATATCCGGGTACTATGTTTAACCGAGGGTTTTATAAGTGGTAGATATCCAGGTCCTATGTTTACCTGAGGGTTATGTTATCACCAGATATCCAGGTTCTACGTTTACCTGAGGGTTATGTTAGTGGTAGATATCCAGGTACTTTGTTTACCTGAGGGTTATGTTAGCACCAGATATCCAGGTCCTATGTTTACCTGAGGGTTATGTTATCACCAGATATCCAGGTTCTATGTTTACCTGAGGGTTATGTTAGCAACAGATATCCAGGTACTTTGTTTACCTGAGGGTTATGTTAGCACCAGATATCCAGGTTCTATGTTTACCTGAGGGTTATGTTAGCACCAGATATCCAGGTCCTATGTTTACCTGAGGGTTATGTTAGCACCAGATATCCAGGTCCTATGTTTACCTGAGGGTTAAGTTAGCACCAGATATCCAGGTACTATGTTTACCTGAGGTTTGTATTAGCAGTAAATATCCAGGTCCTAATATCAGCTGAGTTCTGAAGAAATCTTTCCCACAGTAAGACACTGCTGGTATACCGGGTCAAGGTATCTAAATGAAATCATGAATATCATGAGATAAATTCATTACGTTGAAGAGCATGTTTTAAGAATGTTTATTTTAATGATTATTTAATATATTTCAAGCATGTTTATTTAAATGATTATCAAAAATGTTAAGCTTATTAAACATTAAAGAAGTGATATTGAAGAAATTTATTAAATAACACTAGCCGTTAAGAAATGATTTATAATAAACTCTGACTTTAAATAAGTCAAATGAAGATTCACTATAATTTTTGTTTGTTGAAAACACTTTTGGACCCCCCTCTCCCATGGCGAACCTCTTTCATTTTAATACATGCATCTTAAATATGCATTGTTAGTTTTGTGGCAACAGCGCTCAGCAGTATTGCTCCCTGGCTATGATCAACATCGGTCTAGAAAATGTTTTAAACTAACCTAATCTTGAAGCAATAAAGAAACATATCACTATATTATTATTATCATGTACAAAATTCATACAAAGGGGAATCCAGAAAGCGATAAAAGAACTGGGCTTGATGTAGATACATATCAGATAAGTTTTATAGTAAACAATGCGTTCAACTTGTAAAATACAAGATTTACTAATAGTCTGTTGTTTAGTTACCTAGAAGACTTGAGCAGACTGTATTGTATGAAACTATGGCGGATTCTATCTGTGTTTGAGTCTCTATACTGTTCTGTGTATTGAGTAGGCTGGTTAACCTACTACCTGCCACCTGGACCAAAATACATAAAATCGTCATATTCAAAAACTATTCAATATGATATCATTTGATCAATTAAAAACAGTAAACCTAGTTTCAAAGAAGAAAATATAAATAACCGATAGACCATAAAATCTAAAAACCATGGTTTGACATATTTTTTTTGTATATTCCTTGAGTCTGGAAATATTGTCTTCTTCCATCAGATGATCTATTTGAACATTCTAAAGTAAACATAAATTAATCATTTAATTGGAAAGATTTGTTATCCAAAAAATATTCCAAAGTTCAATCTAACTACATTTTCGTAGATGTTGCTATGCTGTTTGTTTGGATCTAATTAACGTCAAAATGGCTGAACCGATTAGGAAAAAAAAGTTTACTTTTAAAAGATGTTGAAATCCACCAACGAAAAAAGAAAATAGAAGAATTTTGTATTTGTTGTTTTTTCTTTCAACTGTAGAAGAAGAAAGACTTGCAGATAGATTAAAAACAAAAAGCTGAAAGTATTAAAAGAAAGAGTGGCGCGAAGCACCCTTTAAACGCAATATTTCAAAAGATGGAAAATAGAGAAAATAAATAATACACCTTAATGTTTACACAAGCAGCTCTGAGCCTGTCTAGATCAATGTGCCCCCTGGCCTGATGCACCTCCTGGAAAAATGTGTTCCTTCCGTTCACCTTCCTCAGAGCATTCAACTCCTTGATGAACTCCTCCCACACCAACTCCTTCTCCTCCACTTCCAGCTCCAAGTTTGATAAAGATGTGCCCAACTGTTCTAGGTTGGTACAGATCAGGTTTAGTATCGTGGCCATGGACTGAAACTTTGAAATCTTCTTCTGCATTGGAAATTCAAGGAGGAGTAAAATCTTGGTTTTTCTCTCTGATAGTTGATCAAAATTGGTTCTCATGACCTGAAATAAAAAGTGATTAAAATAATCATCAATCTTAAAATTTAGTAATTTTTTATTACCTTTGTGAGATTTTTAGTTCTCTTGAGCATTGAATATTCTTGGCAAACCTTCTCAAAACCAGATTCAACAGTGTCTCTTAGATCTTTAACATCTAAATCTAGAGATGCCAACATCTCGCGTAGCTCCACAGCCACATGAAGTTCACATCTTGTTTTAGAAATATCTCTTTGAATCTTTTCTTGAGCACTTTTAAGATCTTTTGACATATTTCCAATTACTTCCAGATTTCCTAGATCGGAATCATTCTCTGTCAAATGACCCAAGATTACCTTTAATTCTTCTGTAGTTTTTAGCATGAAATTTAGCTTATTTATCAAGGTAATGATCTCTTCTTCTGATTGTATAATAGGAAGGGAACCTGATGCAAACTCATTTATTGTTTTCATGACATCTAATACTTCAAGGAGCTCTTTTGGGGCTTCAACAGATTCCTCTATGATCAAAAGATTTTTTTCAAACGCATTAATTCGTTCTCCAAGCTGTGCATGCAGTTGGCACTGTAGGTCTTCATCGGACATAGGAAGTATGCTTAACGCTTGAAAAAATATTGAGTTGGCTTCTTTTTCTAAATCTTTGTATGTTCTCAACTCAGACAGAAGCAAATTTTTCTGAGATTGGGTGTTCATCTTTTGGTTTTCGACCATGGCAAGCCATGTTTGAATTGTAGACAAAATGTTTTCGTATCTTTGCCAACGGTTCAAGAACTCTCTCAACTGATGCAGTTTTTCTTTATGAATGAAAATTAACTGTGAAACCTTGCCGTTCAAAGGTTCAGGTAAATATGCAAGATCAGGGGAGTTTACAGTCTTCTTAATACCCTCTACATCAGATTTCAGATTTATAAGCTCACTATTAATCTCCTCTAAGCTGACCATATTTCTTTTCAAAATGACAAGCTTTTCAAACACTTCATCTGCTGTTATAGAAACCAGTGAACTCATGTCTACTTCAATCTTTGCTACAAGATTATTCATGTCATTCCATTTTTCATTAACACTTGACCATTTCGAAATCACCATATCTATGTTGAAAACATGCTCTGTTCCCTGCTTTAGTATGTTTAGACCTCTGTTGTTAATTGATTGATGACTTTCTTCGTAGAATTCAATTAACTCTTTGCTCAGCATTTCCTGGTTGGAATTGAGAATCTGGAGGCAGTGACTCAAGTTTAAGAAAAATTTCTTTCGTCTCCCAAGTTCATCGTTCAAATGCTTGATATCAAGAACAGTAATATCATGTGAGAAAAATGATTCAGCAATCATGAAAATATCTTGAAACTCTCTCAAAGTATCTTCATAATCTTGTCTGCTAAGGATAAGTGTGATGATTTTTTCTCTATCCTTTTGGATCTCAGACTCCAAACATTTGGATTCATTAAGCAATGTGAACAAATTCTCTGGAACCTTGTTTTCTGGTAATGTATCTGTAAGTCCTTTTGCTGTGAGAATAAGATAAGCCAACTTGTTCCTATGTCCTTTACTACATGTTTCTAGTTCAGACAGGGCTTCAGCAGATTCTTCAGATACTTCATCTTTTTCTTTTAAAGATCCTACATTGTTTCGTAAATCCTTTACAAGACTTTCAACCATTTGCAAACCATCCAAAAATTCATCCCATTTTTCTTCCGATTCTTCAAGTTCATTCTCACTATCCTGGTGAGACAGCTTGACAATTTTGAACTGTTCTTTTAGTAAATTCAAACAAGAGGAAACTGTAACTTGAGACTCTTCGTTGAATATCTCTACAGCTAACTCTGTTACTTCAATCAACTCATCTACTGTTTCTTCAATGACTTCTATTTCATTTTTGATGTTCTTCAGTTCTTGTTTCTTCTTCTGGATGGAGCTAATCTTTCTTACTTTGAGAATCTTATACTCAACATTGTCTAACCATTTTGAAACTGTTTCAACAATTGTAACTATCTTTTTCTGAACAATTATTACTTTCCTTTTCTTTATGTTAGATCTTGTATTGTCTAGGTCTTCAAAAATACTGGATTTAATTTCTTCAATTGATTCGAAGGTCTTAGACTCTGTTCTAGTGTATGTATGATCAAAGCTTGATTTGGGAATGTGACTTACTCTTTGTTTGATTATATCTGCAATCAAAGCTAGTCTTATCAAAGACTCTGGGCTATTTTCCTCTTGATAAAACTCAACTTCCTCCACATCACAAGGCAGCTCTTGATCTTTATTGGTTTCTCTCTCGAAATATTCTTCATTTGCATCTATTTCCTTGGGCTTTGCTTTTATCTGATCATGGCCAAGTTCTATATTGGGTTCCACTGTGTCTTCAATTTTCAATTTGCTCAATGATTTATTTGATTCACCAAATTCAACATCTCCAAGAACCTCAAAACATTCTTCTATTGTAGTTTCTGTCTTTATTTGAAGTGAAGGTATATCATTTAAAATTTTAATTTCATCATTGCAAACTTCAGTGTTGAGATTTAATACCTTGAACTTTGCATTCTCTATTACTTCATCCACAGCCAATCTAGCCACATTCAAAACCTCTGGACTAACTGACCTGAACTCAGCTGAAACTGGGACATTAAGATTTTTCAGTGGATTCTCAAACAGAGTTCTTCTGCACTGAGAATCAGAATCAGAAATTGAAATTTGAGTTTTTAGTTGAGAAAATGGGCTTTCCAAGTATCCATCAGATTCATCAGGACTTGGAGCACCAGGTCTCAGAGGTAATCCGGCTACAACAGACCATGGAGTCATTACTGCTGGAGTTGGTGGAAGTGTCACATCATCACTTTCATCATCTTCTTCTTCCTCTTGATCAAAATTCTCATTGGTTTTATTTTTCTCCTTTATTTGATCTGTGTTCTGTGATTTGTCATGATTGTTCTCATTAATCTCTGATGTAAGAAGCCCTTCAGAAAGATAACTTTTCTCCTCAGTTAACTCTTTCTGTTGATTTACATCCATAGGCTTTAGATTTATTTCCGATGTTTCTGCAACATCTACAATCTGTTGAACACTTTTTTCGATTCCCATTATTAGTTCCTTCTTAAACTCTTCTGGAAGATTTTCTAAAAGGTCTTTTGGTAAGTTATGAATTAGATCTTTCTGCTCAAGCTGAAGATCAATCAACTCTTCCATTAGATCCTCTCCTGAATTCATTTTTGATTCAGAAGAATTCTTCAATTCCTCATTTTCTAGTTGAGAAGTTTCTTTGTCATCTTCTATCCTGACTATGGTTTCTTGTTGGTGAGATAAATTCAAAAGTGAATCTTTCAACCCTGTCTCAATGACTTTTACTAAATCACTAGGTAATGAAGATATAAGTTCTTTGGGCAGAGATGGTAAAAGCCTTGTTTGTTCCATTTGCATTTGAATTAATGACTCTTTAAGATTTTCAAGTTTTTCATTTTGTGTGAAATCATCAATTTCTTTAAGAATCATTTGAATTTCTTCATAAACATGCTTAGCTGCATCTTCATCCAGTGTATCCACTAATTCATTTATTTCCTTTACAATGTTCCTTTCTTCATCAGGAATGTTAGAAATGGCAGGGATCTCTTCCTTGCTGTCATCACATAAGTCACTCAACATTTTAATTCTCTGGCTTGATACTTCAGTCCTTAATGCTTCAGCCATTTCCTCCGGCAGATTGGCCAATAAACTTGTTGGTAGAAACTGTGATAGGTTGGCTCTTTCATCCAATAGCTGCATTAAGGTTTCATTTTGATCACTAATGGAAAGTTGTTTTTCATCAATTTTGTCTGATTCCACCATTTCTTGTTGACTTGGTACAACTGTTTCATTTTTTTCAGACAAAATTTTCTCTTTCATTGAAATTTCTCCAAATAGTTCAACATGTTCACTTTCTAGTGATGGTATCTTCAATTTATCTTCATTAGCATCTTCAAGCTTGGAAGTGCTATTAAATTTCTCTGATTTTTTATCTAAACTGGCATAACCTTGGGGTTCTGGGTTTTCAGAGATGGGTGTATCATTTAAAACTCCTAATTTTTCTGCTGCTGCTTTTGTTTGTTCATGTTTTGTTTCTGCATCATTAATAACTGCATGAGGATATTTAACAGAGTTTTCATATAGCTCAGGGAGTGTCACCTGGCTTATATTAGGAAGGAAAATTTCCCTGACAAGATTTGCTTGATTATCCTTCTCCTCCTCCATGGTAATTATCTCAGCACCAAGAGAATCTGTTTGATAATGAGAGAAAAATTCTTGCTTAGTAACAGACTGCGTGGTCGTTACAGATTCGAGAATGAAATTGCTGGGGAGCTGAATACTATGGGAAACTGTTATATTTTCACCAGTAGGAAGATGATAAGTTGATGGAATATTAATCAAGCTTGAATCTCCATTGTCTCCAATATCTTTATGTCCACTGTGCTCATGTTGGAAAGAAATGGAATAGTAGACTTCCCCTCCATTCTTGAATTTTTCACATGCATTTACAGCACTTTCGCTATTTAGAATATGTTCAATCTCCAGAGCAAACTCTCCTATAATATCATCTTGGGTGAGTTTATCTTCATCATAAACTGTGATTTTGATGACTGGATCATCTGTAACAGCCATATTGACTTCGAAATTCCATTCTGGATTTGCAGTGTTCTTTTTTGTTGTTGACCTGAACTGAGTATGCCCATGAGATATGATAACATATGGATCCCCCTTGCCTAGAATATCTGACTTTGGTAGATTTTTGGCCCCATGAATTGTTAAAAAAACAACTTCTTGACTTTTGTGTTTAAAAGGTTCCAAAACATCTGAAGTGTCTTGAACTCTGTATTCGACAAGGTCAGGTGAGACTGGGGCGCTTTCTCTGTCTTGTCTAGAAGGAAAACTATTTAATTCTGATACATGCCCTGTTGAAGTAGATATTACTGATACCACTTTATCTAAAGTTTTGGGTATTGATACCCCTGACGTCTGAATCATAGAATCAGAAGATGAGAGTTCTAGTAATGAAACTAAGCCATGTGATACAGATGTTGTTGTGGTTTCTGTAACTGATACCAAGCTGAGTGATACAACAGATGTAGAAGTTACAGGTACAGACATCAACTCAGTTTCTGGTATTGATAATACATCATCAGAATCAGAGAACATCACCGTTTCTGGTACCAATGACACACTATGAGCTACATATGAAGTTTTCATTTCAGTTACAGATATCCCACTGTGTGGTATAAGGGATGTTGTATTTTCTGGCACAGTTGTAATCATCTGTGATTCAAAGGATGCTGCTTTTTCTGATTCAGTTGCATTACTTTGATGCTCAGAAGATGTTTTGGTTTCTAGTACAGACATAATACTGTCAGATACATGTGTAGTTTCTGGTACAGACAAAACAATGTGTGATACTGTGGATGCTGTGCTTTCTGGTATAGATGTAACACTGTGTGATACAGGGGATGTTGTAGTTTCTGGTAGAGACCTAACACTTTGTAATGCATGGGATGTAGTAGTTTCTGGTACAGATGTAACACTGTGAGATACAGGGGATGTTGTAGTTTCCGGTACAGAAATAACACAATGTGATACAGGAGATGTTGTAATATCTGGTACAGATGTAACAGTGTGTGATACAGGAGATGTTGTAGTTTCTGGTAGAGGCCTAACACTTTGTGATGCATGGGATGTAGTAGTTTCTGGTACAGATGTAACACTTTGTGAAACAGGGGATGTTGGAGTTTCTGGTACAGATTTAACATTCTGTGATACAGGGGATGTTGTAGTTTCTGGTACAGATGTAACACTGTGTGATACAGGGGATGTTGTAGTTTCCGGTACAGAAATAACACAATGTGATACAGGAGATGTTGTAATTTCTGGTACAGACGTAACACTGTGTGATACAGGAGATGTTGTAGTTTCTGGTATATAAATAACACTGTGTGATACAGGGGATGTTGTAATTTCTGGTACAGATGTAACACTGTGTGATACAGGGGATGTTGTAGTTTCTGGTACAAATGAAACACTGTGTGATACAGGAGATGTTGTAGTTTCTGGCACAGATGTAACACTATGTGATACAGGGGATGTTGTAGTTTCTGGTACTGATGTAACACTGTGTGATACAGGGGATGTTGTAGTTTCTGGTACAGATGTAACACTGTGTGATACAGGGGATGTTGTAGTTTCTGGTACAGATGCAACACTGTGTGATACAGGGGTTGTTGTAGTTTCTGGCACAGATGTAACTCTGTGTGATACAGGGGATGTTGTAGTTTCTGGTACAGACCCAACACTGTGTGATACAGGAGATGTTGTAGTTTCTGGTACAGATGTAACACTGTGTGATACAGGGGATGTTGTAGTTTCTGGTACAGATGTAACACTGTGTGATACAGGGGATGTTGTAGTTTCTGGTACAGACGCAACACTGTGTGATACAGGGGATGTTGTAATTTCTGGTACAGATGTAACACTGTGTGATACAGGGGATGTTGTAGATTCTGGTACAGATGTAACACTGTGTGATACAGGGGATGTTGTAGTTTCTGGTACAGACGCAACAATGTGTGATACAGGAGATGTTGTAGTTTCTGGTACAGATGAAACACTGTGTGATACAGGGGATGTTGTAGTTTCTGGTACAGATGAAACACTGAGTGATACAGGGGATGTTGTAGATTCTGGTATAGAAATATTAGATATTTCTAATCCAGTTGTCGATGTTTTAAATTCTATTTTAGATGCCAATAGCATTTCATTATTGGCTGTAGTTAGTAATCCTTCTTCAGTAGTTTTAGTTGATAGTTCTACTTTAGCAGTTGCAGCTGTTATTTCTACTTTAGCAGTTCCAGTTGTTAATTCCATTCCAGAAGTTTTAGTTGATAATTTTTCTTCGACAGTTGAGGTTGATAGTTCTCCTTCAGTAGTTGCAGTTGATAGTTCTACTTCAGTAGTCGTAGTTAATAGTTTTTCTTCAACAGTTGAAGTTGATAGTTCTACTTCAGTAGTTGCAGTTGGTAGTTCTACTTCAGTAGTTGCATTTGATACTTCTGCTTCAGTAGCTTTAGTTGAAAAATCTGCTCCAGGATTTGCAGTTAATAATTTTACTCCAATAGGTGCAGTTAATAGTTCAATTGCAGTATTTACTGTTGAATGTTCTACTTTAGTAGTTGCAGTTGATGGTTCTACTTCAGTAGTTGTATTTGATAGTTCTACTTCAGTAGTTACAATTGATATATCTGATCCAGTAGTTGTAGTTGATAGTTTTTCCTCAACAGTTAAAGTTGATAGTTCTACATCAGTAGTTGCAGTTGATGGTTCTACTTTCAAAGCTGCAGTTAATAAGTCTACTTCAGTCGTTGCAGTTGATAGTTCTACTTCAGCAGTTGCAGTTGATAATTTTACTTTGGTAGGTGCAGTTGATATTTCTACTTTTGTAGTTGCAGTTGATAGTTCTACTTCAGTAGTTGCAGTTGATAATTTTACTTTGGTAGGTGCAGTTGATATTTCTACTTTTGTAGTTGCAGTTGATAATTCTACTTCAGTAGTTGCAGTTGATAGTTCTACTTGAGCAGTTGCAGTTGGTCGTTCTACTTCAGAAGTTGCAGTTGATAATTCTACTTCAGCAGTTGCAGTTGATAAATCTACTTTAGAAGTTGTATTTGATAGCTGTACTTCAGCAGTTACAGCTGATAGTTCTACTTGAGAAGTTGCAATTGATAGGTCTACTTCAGTATTTGATAGTTGTACTTTAGAAGTTGTAGAGGACAGTTCTACTTCAGTATTTGCAGTTGATAGTTCTACTCCATAAGTTGAGGTTGATAGTTCTACTTCAGAAGTTGTAGTTGATAGTTGTTTTTCAGCCGTTACAGTTGATAGCTCAACTCCAGTAGTTTCAGTTGATAGTCCTAGTTCAGGAGTTGTAGTTGACAGTTCTACCTCATTAGTTGTAATTGATAGTTCTTCTCCAGTAGATTTTTCTTCTTTGAATGTTGCAGTTAATGGTTCTATTTCAGCAGTTGTCGTTGATAGTACTACTTCAGTAGTTGCGGTTGATAGTTCTACTTCAGCAGTTGTATTTGTTGTATTTGATAGTTTTACTTCAGTAGTTGCAGTTGATAGTTGTACTTCAGTAGGTGCTGTTGATATTTGTACTTCAGTAGTTGCAGTTACTAGTTCTATTCCATTAGTTGTGGTTGATAGTTCTACTTCAGCAGTTTTAGTTGATAGTTTTACTTCAGTAGTTGTAGTTGATAGTTCTACTTCAGCAGTTGTAGTTGATAGGTCTACTTCAGTAGGTAGTTCAGTTGACAGTTCTACTTCAGCAGTTGTATTTGATAGTTCTACTTCAGTAGGTAGTTCAGTTGATGGTTCTACTTCAGTCGGTACTTCAGTTGATAGTTCTACCTCACTAGATGAAATTGAAAGTTCTACTCCAGCAATTGTAGTTGATAGTTCTACTTTAGGAGTTGTAGTTTGTAGTTCTACTTCAGGAGTTGCAGTTGAAGATAAAGCATCTATATTTAATATTGCTTCTGATGACTTTTTATCAACTCTAATGATTGGTATATTTACAAACCAATTCTTTTTAGCCTCATCTTCTTTATGTTCTGGAACAACTTCTAAAATTCTAGAAGAACTATGATCAACCTCGCTGATCGAATTTAGCACATCTGAAGTTTTAACAAAATCTGGGGAAGTTTCAGTATTAACTCTTACAATAGGAATTTCTACTGTAGAGGCAGAAGAGGTTTTAAATGCTGACACTGAGATGTCCACAGATAATTCTTGTTCTGAGGGGATATAACTCTGTTGTGCATTAATAAACTCTTCAATTTCTATCGCTTTGGCATCAAATGATTCATCTGAAACTTCAGTTGGTGTATGGACTAAACATGTTTCCATCTCCGGCTTTAATGTCAAATCCAAGGGCTCTTCCTCATCAGACAGCTCAGTGATAACCACACCTGGAGAATCAAGTTCATCAATTTTATCCATCCGAATAATAGGAATTTGAACCCACTCATCTTCAGGTCTCACATTATCTCTATTAGAGTCATCAATAGTCTCCTCTGTAACATGCTCAACCCCATCAATAATTTTAACTTTTCTAATAGTTCTCTTAGTAGTTCTGCTTACAACCCTTTCAACCACTAACTTCTTTGTTGTGTTTTCAACCTTCTCATCAGTTTTGGAAATTTGAAGCAACTTCTCACTTTGACTCTGAAGTGACTCCTTTTGTATATCATGTTGAATAATTGTGTCAGCAAGTGATTGCGTCTCTGAACTCTCCATCTGGAGGAGAATAAATCCAGATTTACAGTTTTCTAATTTAAACCATTTTGGTCCCTGCCTAGTTTGATTTATAAAATCTGTTATGTTCAAACAAACTTCCCCCATACTTTCATCCTTCCCTACTCTCTCCCAGTCATACACCTTGAAACTTATCAGCTGATTATCTTTAGTTATTACAAGATCATATTCTTTGTTCCAGTTTGGTGTAAGAGTATTTTTCTGAATATCAGTTTTGATATCTTTACCCTGATAGGAAAATACGACGTATGGGTCAGATTTTCTAAAAGTATCCATTTTCTGGAGTTCCTTACCACGTATTATTTTTACTCTTACGTTCCCTTGGAAAGGTATAAAAGACTCTGTGTCTGTTGTAACTGATTGAATTGTGGATTTGGATTCCTGAATACTGTCAGGGTATTCATCCATCGAGGGTAAATTCATTCTAATTTCTGAAGTACTAAGAACATCCAGCTTAACATCAAGAATAGGTTGATCCAGTAACTCCCAGTCCTCATGATCCAAGACTTCCTCTGGTTCATGAACAACACCGGTAGAATAACTTTCAGAGACAATGCTAGTTACATTTTCAAGATCAGGCAAATTTTCCAGATTCTCTGAACTCTGTACAGATTTTAAGGGTAGAATTGTTGTAGATCTGATCTGTTCCATTCTTCTCTTAGATTCAGATTCCTCAATAACATCTGAGATCTCCTTCTCTATATCGAACCCCTCTGGATACCCTATCACCATTTCCCGCAGCGCAGCCTGAAATTAATTCAAAACTAGTCTCAGAAATATCTTTATTTTAGGTTGAAAATAACATTTTACACCACAGCAGTAAAATATATACAATATAATTATATTTCATACTTAACATGTTAAAAATTGTATACATTTCACCATAAGAATATTATTTTACATTAAAGTCATGGCATATCCGGTGTTAAACATTTCTTCAGTAAGACTTTTTTTACGAAAAAAATGCGTTAACGTGAAATATATATGCTTTCTATGAGCAAATTTCGCTTTATAATAAAAAAGTTTTATCGACTAGATTACAAATTTTAAGATTGAAAAATTGCTCATATCGGCATTAAAAAAGAAAAAAAAGAAAAGAAGAAAGATACTTTAAACAAAGATAATTCGAAAACTGCTGTAAAGCTTTGGGTTAAAAGTTTAGATCTTTGTTTAGGAATATTTTCTAGAATTGGTTGCAACAGAAAGTGTCTGGAAACAACTGAAAGTTGTATCAATTTTAAACTTTTCCATTTGGAAGACGACAACTTTTTCAAAGACGACATCCAAAAACATAAAAATTTTCGTGCATTTCTTATATTTACATACATACATTACATGACCCATTATACATTCTACATTCTTCAGTGTACAGTGCGCAATATAAAGATTAGAAATGTGGTGGAAAAAAGTGATTAAGTGAATACTGCTTTACTGAAATTCAAGTAAAGAAATAACAGGCGCATTGTTTGGTGACTTAAAAGAGATATTTGAAATATTTTCATAAGGTAGAACCAGAAAACTGTGAAATAGGAAAACGACATTAAACCAATGATTAAGTGCGTTTGATGTTCTTACAAAGCAAATAGTTTTACTACAGTGAAACCCTTAATAACGAATACATGGGAAGAATTTATCAAATGTCGTCTTGACAAGTTTTCAATGAGTTTTATACTACAGGGTGTCTCACTGTCCCACATCATATTAGACCGAGAATGGGTCTAAATTACGATTTTCGGGACTAATTAGGAAAATTTCATTAGAATGAATCATTTTGAAAAATAACATAAGGCTTATTTAAGAATTTTCTTGCGGAAAATGCTAAGTTTTTCGAGTATTAAGGGTTTATTTTGGTGTTAAAGATTGGAGATAATCTAATATGATATGGGACGCTCTGTATATTACGCAAATTTCAGTATTTGCAAAAATAAATAAATAGCCATGAATATGCGGGAACAGTTTTAAAGAGTTCCATATAATCATTTAATTAAAAAACTAAATATCTGCAACATTCCATTATCAGAAAGTGAAGAATACGACATTTGATGAATTCGTTCGATGTATTCGTTATTAAGGGTTTCACTGTAGTAACTTAATTAATTTACTTATTGAGTAAAATTGGTCAGCTAAATTTACACTGCACAATCGCTCTGTTTTATGTTCATAGGACTATTTAAAGTCATTAAGTAGTTATCATAGAAGACACTTTGAAAGTCGTCTTCCTATTCTAGAGTTGTATGGTTATTACTGTACCAACCAACACGCCTTGAAATAAGTAAAAAGTGAAAAGAATAGAATAATCCCAATGATCTAGTTTACAGCATATAAGAAGCATGCAATTATTACAATACAATTTATAAAACAAAGACGACTAGAAACTTATTTGTGTTTAAGAACGGAAAATTATTCTTTACTTGGTCCATTAAATATCTTAAGTTGATAAATGTATTTTTAATATTTCTTAATTTTTCGAATTGATGATGCAAACTATTACTAAATACTAACTATACGTAGCAAGACTGTCTCTTAAAAAGTTTCAAAAAATTAAACTTCAAATTTTTTTGGATTAAAATATTTTAAATTAAGAACTTAAAAGAGACATCTTTGAATAACTACCCCTAGACAAGGAGCAAACTAAACCCTCCACCGGAGCTCCATCTATACCTGGAGCTGAGCTAGCCTGCCGGCCAGTCCGACCTGGGTCCGGGACATTGTGTCCTGGAGACCCCCCAGCCTGGACACCATCTCCTCAACAAACCCGGATACGTCCGGGTTGGAGGAGAGCTGGGATACATCACGTGACAGTAGGGAAAGCTGGTCAACCCGAACACGGAGATCCTCTTCAAGAACCTGAAACAAGTGGTATTGGTGGGGTTCGATACTTTACTAGAGGTCGTAATTAATAAATAAATACAGAGAAATAACTGAAATAAGATATACGTAGAGTTTATCTTTATCCTAAATGAGACCAAAAGTACTTTAACTAAATAATTCCACTACTTTTCGCTGTTCATTATATCCCACCTCGAAAATGTCTGTAAACCTTTTCCAAAAGGAAATTTCCCCTAATAAACTGATTACTCGCCTCAAATTAATAATCCCTATATCTTTGCAACCTGATGATGTAAAATTTTACTACTTGATCTAATTTATAGTCTGACACATATCAAAGGTATAATACATCAAATTGAAAATATACACTGTATATATTATACAGGGATCATACAATTAAAGTTTAAGGAGAGCAATCAGTTCTTTTACAGCTGAAAAAGTAAATATTCGAACAGTAATTGATGGGTCGGGTTGGGTTGAAGACAAAGATTTATGGTTCTATAGTCTATAGTTTTGACCTGAATTAGTAAATAAATACCTGGCAGCCTCTAATCTGATCTCTAACAACCTTAAGGCTGGTTAGACGGAGGTCAGAGGTCAGGGTAGCTTGAACTTCATTCAGCCAAACCTCAAGGTCTATCAGGAGGGACTAGAAATAACAAGGTAAAATAAGTTTACATGGTTTATCAATATTTGCAGTTTTCTGGTTTCCTACAGTGGGACGCATAAACCTGTTGAATAGGAGGACGGTAAGATTCAATCAATTTGTGACTTTTAAATAGTCTAATGAATATAAAACACAGTTGTGCAATGTAAACAGACCCATTTTAATCTATAATTTAACTTTTAAGCCAATGACCAAACTATTTTCCTTAAAATAACATCAAATACAATTATGATTGCTCAAATGTCGTCTTCCTATTTCACATTTTTATGGTTTCACTGTACCTGATACTTTTTAATCTCGGTCACACGTCTCCGTCTCTCCAGGATATAATTGTCAAGACGACCTCGCCTAGACTCTGCCTGGGTCCCTAGACTGACCAGCTGTGTCTTTAGGCCGGCCAGCTCAGCAGCTACAACTTGTAGATCGGATACTCCTGCACCATGCTCAGTAGTAGCGCTCTACATTGGTAATAATAATTTTAAATATAAGTTTAATATTTTTTTATATAGAAACTCTGCTTGAAAATGATCATTATTATTAATGATAAATTATGATATTATAGATTATTATTTGTTCCTGAATTCTGGTTTCTATCTCAGCTGAGTCTCTTGTCAGATCCTCCAGTTTACCAACAGTAAACTAGATTATCAGGATATAGGATTAGATAACAAGGAGAAGAGGGGGGACTAGGATATCAGGATAGGATCAGATAACAAGGAGAAGAGGGGGGACTAGGATATCAGGATAGGATCAGATAACAAGGAGAAGAGGGGGGACTAGATTATCAGGATAGGATCAGATAAAAAAGTAAGTACTACGGGGAAATATTATGGAGGGGGGAGTAATTGGTCCAAAAGATATAGAAAGGGAATAGAAAAGAAAATTAAAGATGAATTCAGAACAATGAAGAGGAATGGGGTTTACCTTGATGATTCCAACTTGTCCCTCTAGCTGATCATCAGAGAGTAGTTGAAGTTGTTCATCTACTGATCTAACTCCACTACGGAGATCATCCAGCTTTACCTGAAACGAACAAATTAATGTTAAATTATGAAATGAAATATAATTTTACATGAAATGGAAAGATTGAAATTTTGAAAATTCGATTTGCATTTTTTGCGATTTTAAATAATTAAAAAATGTTTTAAATGGAAAAAATTCATGAAATAAAATCCATAATCAACAATTTTTAAATCAGATTTCTATAAATATGTCGAAAGTTTAAAGGAAGTTAATAAACACCTTCTATTTGTAGAAATAAAAACTAAAATAATTATACTGAAACGTTTGTTTGTAGGTTATGTAATTATTATTGTACATACTATAGGTAAAGCATATATGAAATACTTTGTACGTACATATTTATAATTCTAAAATTAAAATTTTTTTGAGTAAAATAATTTGTACTTTAATATAAAATATTTTAAAATATATAGATATATGTGTAATATATGTTTATGTTCATATTTCTATGGACCTAAAATATTGAGTGCAGACCTTTATTTCAATTATAGCTGGGTCGAAGGAAACCTGGAGAAATGGTTTGGTGGAGAAGTCAGATATCCTATCCATGAGAATAGTAGAGGGAGCAAGCAAAGATATCTTTGGACTAAGATATGTACTTTCATCCGTCCAACAGTAGGTATCCATACTCAAATCCTGATTTTCAACTCCTGTCGAAGATTTTTCTTTCTGAGGTATGTTTTTAGTTGTGTTCTTCTTCATTTTCTTCTTGTGTATTTCATCATCTTCATCATCGTCATCTTTCCTGTCATTTGAAGGTTTTTGAGTGGTACCTATCTTTTGCTTTGGCTTAGAAAAAAACTTATTTTCTGCATCATCATATAACGATTTGTCCAACCAAAAACTGTCCTTGGAATAGTTGAGAAAATGTTTGTTTTCAGGTTTAGCAGAAGACAGCTCAGAAAACTCTTGTTTTCTTTCTTTATTTTCATTATATCGAGTTTCAGAAGCTTCAATATTTTTATCAGATACAGCTTTAAGAGAAGTTGTGTCAGAAACTAATTTTTCGTCGGTTTTCTGCTCAGTGATCGCTCTATTTCTTCTACTTATCTTGCTTTCTACAACTTCAAATCCATCCTCATCTATTAGAATATCTTTTTCCTCTTCATCACTTTTACAAACAATTATTGGCTTAGCTGAAGGCAGCTCTACTCTAGATTTTTTGGGAGATTTAGCTCTATTATTTTCAATAACTTTGGCAGTTATCTCCACCCATCTTTTTTTGCTAATTGAGTCTGTTTCTTCAACTTTTTCCTGAATCTCCAAATCTTCTTCATTGCTACTCTCCATTGGAATAGTTTCATCATTTATCCAAGCTGTGCAGGAATTGTCTACTGGAAGGCCAGCAAAGCTGTTTGTTGCTGGAGTTGTTAATAGCTGATTGTCAGCTAGTTTGTCTCCGGTTGAGGCCTTTCTTAGAGGCCGTTGCACAGTAAATGCCTCTTCCATTTCTCTTGAGGTTTGGCGATTGAAAGCAATTCTTTGTTCAATTGGAGTTGATACTCGATCCATTTCAACGGCATCAAGCATTTTGGATTCAGTACAATGAGAATCAGTCTCGTCAATATGAATTACAACATCAGAGTTTAAATTAGCCGGATAATCTTCATCTTTAATTTCCATAACTGAATTGGCAATTTCCATGCTTTCCTTGTCAGAAACAATTTCATTTATAAACTCATTGACATTGGTCTCTTTACAAGTTGATATTTTTCTTGTTCTGAGCTCCATTGTTCTAACTGCATGTTCAGGGCTAATCAAGGTTTCTTTTTCATTTCTTTCTAGAACAGGGGATTCAAGACTGACTTCATGAATGCAAACAACTTCTGAATCAAAGAGTGTTTGATAATTTGAAACATCTGGTTTATTGTCAACTGATTCACTTGGAATTTTGGACAAAACTGGTCTTTGTGAATCTTTCAGATCTTTCCTAGACAGAGAATTGCTATTACTATTGTCTGAGAATGTTGGGTCACTACCACAGCTTGTGTTAGAAGTGGTTCTCCTTCGCTTCTTCTTTACTTTATTCTTTATTCTCCAATACACTTCCTCTTCAGGTTGAACTTGTTTTTCCTCAACTCTACTTTCCTCCTTTTCTTTCCCAGCAAGTTCAGACTTGTTCTTGGACACTACTTCACCAAATGGAGATGTTTTAATCTTAGATTTTTGCTTTTCATTTTCTTTAATTGCTTTTCTCATCCATGAAGGTGCTAATGATTTTTCATTTAACCTTGATGATCCACTTGATTTCTCAGTTTCATGACAACCAACTGATCTGTCTATAATGTCAGGACAAGAATCATGTTGAACACATTGTACATCCATTTTCCATTCCTGTGCTTCACTTGCGTGCAGCTTTCTTCCAAGACATGTTTCCTTTGTTGAAATTTTAACGTCAATTAAATAACCAGTCTTTGCATCAACATCTATTTCTGGTCTTACATATTCCTCCTTCACAGCTAGCCAGGGATCATCAAACTTTACGAGCTCATTTGTATCTGTGTTTATGACACATTCATTTGATGTCTTAGAAGAATCAATTTCCAAATCTGCAGTATTTATCATTCCTGAGTCAGTATTTGGTTCAACCCCACTCTCCTCTTCAGTTAATTCTTCTTCAAAAACCATTGGTTCTTCCTTATACGGTCTTGCACAAAGAGGCTGGTCAAGTTTGTCAATTAAATCGATTGGTAATTCTTTTCTTTCCGTAATTTTCTTTTTGGATTTGTTTTTGGTTTTAACACATGTGTAGCCTTCACTGTCTACTTGGACTTCCATTTTTTCTTTCTCTACAATTTCTATAACCAAAGGAGGGCAGGGGGTTTCTTTCAAAATAAGCTTGTGAGGTTCAGGGCTTCCTGTTTGCATGTTATCTCTTTTGTTGTTTGAAACAACGAACGCCCAAGAGGTTTTTTCAGCTCTTTCACTTGGTTCATGCAACTGTAATGGAAATTCATCAAACTGTTCATCATCACAAGAGAATCTTTGAGCTTCACTCATAGCTGACCCTCTACCATCTGTTTCAATGTGAGTGATTTCATATTGTTTGCATAGGGAGCTGTAGCATTTCTTCTTGCCATTACAAGTTGGAGAGTAACAATTTTCATTTAAACATTTGGCATCCTGATGAACAAAGGTTTCAGATTCTGTGCCTTTACCTGGTTCACTATGATGAATACTCAGAGTTGATTTAGAGCTTGCAGAGATTAAATTTGTTTCAGACTTGACTGCATACTTCTCATGCTCTGTGGGCAATGATAATAAAACTATCCCATTTTCATCTTCATCTGAAGAATTCATTTGTACTGGTTCATCAATCATCCAGTCAAAACTTGATTCTAAGCTAATTTTTTGAATGGCTTTTGATTCAGACTTATTCTGTACATTTTGATCAAAAATCAAATTTTTGCCTTCTTCAAAAATTATTTCCTCTTCATCTGATGATTCTATACATCCAACATCATCAATCATCCAGTCTTCACTGATTTCTGTTCTAGAATAATGCTTCTGCTGTTCAGTTTCATATGTTTTTGTTTCATCTTTAACTTCTGTATTTTTCTTCTCATCAGGTTCTGATAAACTGTTAGTGCTGATTTTATTCATTATTTTTTTTTTCTTTGTAAAAACTTGCTCATAGCCCTCTTCATCAACACAAGTTGCAACTTTTAGATGTTCATCTGCAGCTACTATAAGAGTAACATGAGGACCTGGAATTGAAATAACAGCATCTGGTTTTTTCTGTTCTTCTTGCAAGGTATTTGATAACACTTCTTTGGCTGTTATACTAGAATATGTTGGTTGTGGGAGAGCTAACATAACTTCATTCGGCTCAATCAAAGATTGTGTTTCTGTTATTGAAGTCAACTTACCCTGATTTAAAGAAACATTAGATTCAGCATCATCTCCTTCTATGTCTGATGACTCTATGATCCCAACATCATCAACCATCCAATCATCAGAGATTTCCTGACTTTTATAGTTTTTACAATTTTTCAAATCTTTGTTTATTTCTGTCATTAATTGCTGATCCATTGCTTTGATTGTTGGCTTAATATTTTCTTCTTCCTCATCTGAAGATTCTATAGTTCCAACATCATCAACCATCCAACTGTCACTAATTTCTTTTCCAGACTGTTCTGATTTAAAACCTGAATCTTTCTGTAAAATTGCTTCACTTATTTGCATGTCTTCTGAAGATGGAAATAAACTATCGCTGACTTTTCTTGTCTGCCTTTCTTTCTTGTTAACAACTGGCTGATATCCATCTTCATCTACATTATTCTTGCCTTTTAAATGTTCATCTACAGCAACTATGAGAGTAACATGAGGACCTGGAACTGAAATGACAGCATCAGGCTTCTTTTGTTCATCTTGCAATGAATTTGATGATACTTCTATGGCTGCTATGCTAGAATATGTTGGTTGTGGAAGAGCTAACATAACTTCATTCTGCTCAATTGAAGATTTTGTTTGTTTCATTGAATCTGATTTACTGAACTTGTTCTGAATTAAAGAAACATTAGATTCAGCATCATTTCCTTCTTCGTCTGATGACTCTATGATCCCAACATCATCAACCATCCAATCATCAGAGATTTCCTGACTTTTATAGTTTTTATAATTTTTCAAATCTTTGTTTATTTCTGTCTTTGATTGCTGATCCATTGCTTTGATTGTTGACTTAATATTTTCTTCTTCCTCATCTGAAGATTCTATAGTTCCAACATCATCAATCATCCAACTGTCACTAATTTCATTTCCAGACTGTTCTGGTTTAAAACCTGAATCTTTCTGTGTAATTGCTTCACTTATTTGCATGTCTTCTGAAGATGGAAATAAACTATCGCTGACTTTTCTTGGCTGCCTTTCTTTCTTGTTAACAACTGGCTGATATCCATCTTCATCTACATTATTCTTGCCTTTTAAATGTTCATCTACAGCTACTATAAGAGTAACATGAGGACCTGGAACTGAAATGACAGCATCTGGCTTCTTCTGTTCATCTTGCAATGAATTTGATGATACTTCTTTTGCTACTATGCTGGAATATGTTGGTTGTGGTAGAGCTAGCCTGACTTCATCCTGATTAATTCTAGATTTTGCTGAGCTATCCTCATCATCATCATCTGACAATTCCATGGTACCAACATCATCATTCATCCAGTCATTGCTAATTTCATGGCTAAGCTTTTCTTTCTCCTGTTTTTTGTCAATTTTAACTTCTTTAATGCTCGGAATAATATCTTCTTCATCTGAAGATTCTATTATTCCAACATCATCATCCATCCAATCATCACCAATTTCAGGCCTAACGTTTTTATTCTCCTGTTTTTCATCAACCTTAACCTCTGGACTGGTCTCTGGAATAATATTTTCTTCTTCATCTGAAGATTCTATTATTCCAACATCATCATCCATCCAATCATCATCAATTTCAGACCTAAGGTTTTTATTCTCCTGTTTTTCATCAACCTTGACTTCTGGACTGGTCTCTGGATTAATGTTTTCTTGTTCATCTAAAGATTCTATTACTCCAACATCGTCATCCATCCAGTTATCACTGATATCAGGTTTATGATCATCTTTGCAAATCTTTTCTTCTACCTTATCCTCTTGAACATATAGCTCAATATTGTCTTTATTTATTGTATTATTTTTTTCCCCTTTCGAAGATTCTACATTTTCTGCAATATTTTCTTCTTTCTCAGGTTTTTGGTTGACATCAACTTCAGATCTTAATTGTTGAATTTTGTCTTTGCTAGTTGGAATTGTGTTTTCTTCCTCGTCTGATGATTCTATAGTACCAACATCATCAATCATCCAGTCATTGCTAATATCTCTATAAAGAGTTTCTGTTTTAGAATTGTCATTCGCCATTTTAACATGATCGTCCTTGGTGTCTAATTCTCTCTTATTCCCTAGAACATGGGCTTTTAAATTACTGCTCATTTCTGGCAGAGACTTATTCTGAGTTAGTTTTCTGCTTTCTTCACTGGATACAGCATTTTCCGGCTCTTCATCTGATGATTCAATTGTTCCTACATCATCTATCATCCAATCAGTGCTTATTTTGATACTTTCTTTTTTTAGATTACTTTCATCAATGCTTTCAGGCAATGCCTTTTGAGCTTTGATTGCTTCTTGGTCAATTGATGTTTGAAGGTTTAGAGATTTAGCATCCTCATCCAAAGTTTTAGTCGACATTGTATTTTTACATGTATCCTCATGATCACCAAGATATTGATGTTCCTGAATTGTTTTTACCGAAGTAAACATATCTTTCTCCATGTCAAATTTGTCCAAAGCTTCTACCAATACTTTTTCTTTTAGATCTTCCTGAATTCCAAGAGGTGATACAATTTCAACTAAAAAGTTATCTGCAGGTGACAGAGGGCCATCTTCAAGGCAAATAATCTCATCAGAGTTATTACTAATTGTATCATCAATTATTAAAGTATCTTGACGTTGGGAATATTTCTTTACTATTGGCAATGAAACATATGTTGGAATGTTTTCATCTAAATTTAGTTTATTCAAATCAGTTCCACTTTCATCATCTGATAATGTGCCACTTAGCTCTGATTTTTTGTCAGTAATAGATTTTCTGTATTTTCCTTTCTTAAAAGATCTTTTACTTTTAATTGAATTTTCTCTGGCTCTTAATTCTTCTTCCATAACCATAATTTCATGTAGAGCTTGGTCAATATCATCTTTGAACTTTTTCTCGACTACTTCTTTCTTTTTCTTTGATAAGCGTCGCTTTAATGTAGCATTTTTAGATGATTGTGATTTATCAATATCTGCAGCAGATTCTGATAGAATTTCTACAAATGTATCTGATGCAATTGGTTTAATATGAGCTTCCTTAGATTTATTCTCCTTTGAATTTGGATTCCTTTCCTCCTTGGAATTTACTTTTGGCATGTTTTCAGTAAGGTTTGACATGCCTGAATTTTCAGGAATGTTCTGATTTTCCTTCGATATTTGCTTATTTTCATTGGTTATGTCCAGACTTTCATCCAGCACTCTCGATTTTCTTTTTTTCTTAGAATTCCTTCTCTCCAAATCCTGTTTAAAAAGTAGGCCTGGTATTCCTAGTTGAATATCAAGTGTTTTGGAATCTTGAGTATTTGGATTTGGATGTTTTAGGGTCAGTGATTCTGATACATTTGAAACAATAACTTTCTCTGCTGGTTTATTGATCTTCTTAATCTCTTTTTCTATTATGATTTCATCTTTTGTTTTTTGTTTAAAAACATTCCTTACCATGGTAAGCCCTTCAGATAAGATATTTGCATATGAACGAATATGACTTATTGATGGTTTAGGTATGATTTTATCTTTTACTTCCTCTTGAAAATCTTTTGGAATAGGCTCATTACGTATTGTATTTTCTAGACATGGTTCTAGTTTCAAATCCAGTGTATGTGCTTCCTCATGGCAAACTTCAAGATTTGGCATTTCAGAACTTGTTGCTTCAACCTCATCTGTTTCATTTTGTTCAACAGTGAAGAAGGAGTTGGAATCAATAAACTGAAATGAGTTTTCTTCTAACTGTTCTACAGCAGATACTTTTGAATTCTTTGTCTCCACAATTCTGACACAAATTGAAAATTCATTTATTAAAAAATGCTTTGCTCATAATTTAGAATGTAAGTGATGAATAAAAATGTAATATTAGAATTTCAACTGTAAATTTAACTAAAATATAGGTTAAATTTTTAAGCCATATGTAATTTAAAATGTAAAAAATTAAAACAACTTACAACCTCTAACGAATTTTTTACTTCTTTAAAAAATAAAATATAAAATTTTGACATTCCTAGTGGTTTCTACAGATGCTTTCTCCACAGAGGTTTCCATGTGTGTATTATCATTATTACTTTGGTCTTGTGTATTAAATGATTTTAAATTCATGTCAGTTGTAACCTTCTCCTGCTCAATGGTTTCAATCTCTTTCAAATTACTTGACGGACCTTAACATTTTAGAATTATTATCAACAAACAAAAATGTAAAATATTCATTTTATTTATTAAATCATTTTTTTCAATTTGGATTTATCTAGGATGTTAAACTCAGAATACCTTTTATAGCACACTGATCTAAGTCATTGTTAGATCCCCCTTTCAGCATATCAGCGAAAGACAAGCATTTCCCATCTGGTGTCCACATAGTCATTAAGGATTTTGATAATTGATTTCTGGATGTGGCAGAATCTTGTTTAGGAAGAGACTGCGCTCTTCTAGTCCTGCTATCTGTCTGTTGTTTGATCTCCCTCTGTTTATTAATCCTCCTGAGACTAGGAGCTTGTGTTCCTCCTCGTCCATGTCCTCTATAGACTCCCTGATCTCCTCCTGAATAGGTTCTTTGTCTCGGAGTTCTATTATATCTGGGCAATGTTCCCGACTTTTCTCTATTCTCCTCCTTTGATTCTTTTCTCCCATAGGATCTTGGCAGTGTGCTGGGTTTATTATCATAAACCTTTTCTCTTGAAGAATGGGTTCTGTAGGTTGTGTTGTAAACCCTTTCTCTTGAACTGCTGACAGCTTCACAGCTGTTATGAATGTGTTCTCTTGAATCATAATAACTTGATCGGGACATGTAGTTCCTACAGACATAAACAACATTGTTAAATAACAAATTGCCAAAATAATTTTAAAATCAGTTTGTAAGGATTTACATTAGCTGCTCAATGATTTAAACAAATGTTGTGAACTCTCCTGTTGGTGAAAGTTCTTGTGGAATAAGCCAAAACATCTGGACATGGTGGTCCCTTTTTTTATAAGAGATTAAAATATTAATCTTAAGTTTGAAAAGATCTTGTGGTCCCATTTATCAGGAGATTAAAGTATTAATCATAAGCTTGAAAAGATCTTGTGGTCCCATTTATCAGGAGATTAAAATATTAATCTTAAGTTTGAAAAGATCTTGTGGTCCCATTTATCAGGAGATTAAAGTATTAATTAAACTATTAAAATATATTAAAATGTGGTTTCTTTTATTATAAAAGATTAAAACATTGATGATCTAAACTTTGGAAAGATATTCAAATATCTAATTTGATTGTATTTAGCAACCATTCGAACATATTTCTTTCTCTTTATTCCTGTCTTTGTCTGGCTTTTGGTAATGTATTTCTATCTCTGTTTATTCCCTTTCGTTCCTCTCTTCTTCCTTGAAATTCTTCTTGTGATGGATTAGTTGTGTTTTCTGATCAGAAAAACAAAAGTGTTAAATCCAATAACACAAAATTTCACAAATAAGAAGAATTCCAAATATTGAGAAAGGACATAAAATCTGTGTTTGATTAAAATTTTTGAAGAAATGTGTAAAACACTGTTTTGTTAAATTCCTGAGTCGTCATGTCTTCTTGGGCCTGGAAGTCCCGACACAATGTTAGAATAAGATCTGGAGATATCCTCTTCCATTTTCCACTTTAAACATTTATAGATGGAAAGCTTTAATGCATAAGTGATGATGTGTCAAATTTTGTAATGGGAATAAACTTTCAACGCTACAGATTCAATTTTTATGCCTTGGAAAGCATTTATCATCTTTTAGAAATCTGACAGGTTTTTTATGAATATAAAGTTACATCGTCCCAGGCGATTTTAAGTTTTTTTTTTGAGGTACACAATTTTCATTTTTTGTATATATTCAACTTGTTTGTATATATCCAATAAACGTCTAATTCCAATTAGGCCTAATCAAAAATTGTCAACAACAAAAAATTTCAGAAAAAAGGATGAACTTAAGAATGAAGACAGCAAACAGATAGAACTAATTGAAGACGGGAAGGAGTCTTATATTTACAAATTTCTTTCCTGCAACCCGAACCCCATTCATTCTTTATTTGATGTCCTGATAATGTTCAACATGAATGAAAACTTTTCTTCTCCGAAAAGATGAAGACAGCACTACAAAGGCAATCAGTGAAAGCATGGATGAGAATGAGAATGACGTAATAAATGAATGCTAACACGTTTTCCATTGTTAATCCCTAGATACTGAGCACTGGTAAACTGTGAACTACGTCTTAGTAAACATTCTTCAAGACTAAGGAGTGTTCTTTTATCATTCTATACACTCATACTGTACACAGCAATATCATTACAGTCACAATAAAAATGATTTTGAAAACCATAATTTAACTTCTTATCAAAAATTTTAGTATTTCTGTAATCGTTACATATCATGGTTCTAAAGAAGAATATTATTGTTGCAGCTCTCAAATAATCAAATAGAACGAGATAATTTAGTTGTCTAAGCTGTTTCTAGAAAATTTGGAATTTTACCATTAAAAATATTTATTTCCTTTAAATTCCGAGCATTTTCTAGGTCCCCGGCCAGAGAGTATGAGGACCGGTGAACACGTTTTACAATTTTAGTATTTTATATTCGAGAATGACTCACGTATGTTTTCAAAAATACCAAGTATTTGTTAAAATGATAAAGCAAACACCCCCCCCCCACCTCTCTTGTGCATATCATATGCTTAACAATTGACGTCATAGTGACATTTACTAGACTTGTTAAATATGTTTGAAAAGTAGCAAAATATACATTTTACGCATAAAGAAGTTATTTTTTATCTAATCATGCCATGGCTTAAAAAGTATTTTTCAGTTACAGGTTCAATATGTTCAATATGACGTAAAAAAATTGGCGTATTGGCGTTGAGCCATATGAAGCAAGGAACAATATGTTTTCTAGAAAATACACGACAAAAATTTTAAAATTTATTCATCAAAAATCAAACTTTCTAAACTTAAAAATAATGATCACAGTAATAATACAAAATTGTAGAAAAAAGTATATCAATAATGATAATAAAAATAATATTAATAATTCGAACCAACATTTATTAAATCAAGTAATAAAAGAAAAAGTGTATTGGGGGTCAGGATTCAAAACTTTACCTCCAATAATAATAATAATAATAATAATAACAATGATAATCAAGATTAAAAAATATAAGTGTTTAAAATTAAGAGAAATAAACTGTTGTTATATATTGTATAACTGTGTATATTTGCTAGCCTAGAATTAGGTAATGAAGCTGCTCGGCCTGAAGATCACGTTGGAATGCAAACCTTGGCTAGTCTAGCGGTCAGCTGATCTTAGGGGCACACAATTACAGTTTAGGGGCAAACAGATATTGCTCGCAATGGCAAGCAAATACATTTTAAGGGCCAACAAATACATTTTCAGGTGTATAGGTTGGTTCGTTTTCTGCTGGGGCATAGGTCAGCTGATCTCATGGGTACACAAATACATTTTCAGCTGGGGCATAGGTCTGCTGATCTCAGGGGTACACAAATACATTTTCAGCTGGGGCACAGGTCAGCTGATCTCAGGGGTACACAAATACATTTTCAGCTGGGGCAAAGGTCTGCTGATCTCAGGGGTACACAAATACAATTTCAGCTGGAGCATATCTCAGGGGTACAGAAATACATTTTCAGCTGGGGCATAGGTCAACTGATCTCAGGGGTACACAAATACATTTTCGGCTGGGGCATAGGTCAGCTGATCTCAGGGGTACACAAATACATTTTCAGCTGGGGCATAGGTCAGCTGATCTCAGGGGTACACAAATACATTTTCAGGTGCCAACAGATACTACTATCATTTTCAGGGGAATATATTACCTGATATCAGGGGCAAACAGATACATTTTTAGGAACTTCAGTAAGCTAATCTAAGGGGCAAACAGATACGTTTTCAGTAAGATAGGTCAGATGTGGCAAACAGATAACATTTAAGGGGGCTATATATGCTAATCTCAGGGGCAATATGTTAGCTGGTTTTAGGGGCATAGATCACTTGAACTCAAGAACGGAAAGATTCTGCTTTTAGGTCTCGGGGGCATTAACAGATAATAGAAAATGCTCAGGAATATTTGAGAAAAATGTTTTACAAATCACTGTAAATACATTAGGTTCTCAGATACATGGATTATTTAGAGGGTCAGACAAATATGTAAAAATTATAGGAGTCGGTATTTTTTCTTTTTTTTCTGTAGGTTTGGCTTCTGTAGAAGATTGATAAGGTTGAATGCAAGAATAAAATAAAGAATATATATGTGTGTGTGTGTAGATGAACTATAGTATATTAGATTACTACCGGGTATTTAGTTCAAGATTATAATCAGAAGATAGGGATATATAACGAGGTTCACAGGTTTTTTACTTCATTGTCTACAAAAAGAAAGAAAAAGGAGGATTTCTTGAGAGTACAGTGGGGATTCGGATTAATGGGATGGTTCAATTTTTATGAATAACAATTAATACACAATCCTTTAAACTTAGGATTACAGTCAAGTCTCTTACCCTTGAAAGATGTTCCTGAGAGCCAGAATATACATTGAAACCAACCGATGAACCGGTTTTAAAGTGAATTTAGCAGATTTCTTCGTTACTTTGAACCAAAGCAGAACATATCGATAAGAATTATTACAAGTAAACCGTTCAAGTTAAAAAAAAATATTGTATAACATGGAAATGAATTCAATTCTGTCCCTTTTTAATGCGTTTTTATAATTCAGTTACAAAAACACGTCTACCATAATTTCTTTTTTATAAAAGTTATATACCTCCCCCCCTGAGTCGAACCTTGACGAGGTTGACCTTGAAACATGATGAAAACATTAGAAAGTCTCCGCTCAGCAAAATATATTCAAATCCTCGGTTGCCTGGGGTGAAAAACTGCAGCTAATAAATAAATATTAACGATTGGGGATGGTAAATGAACCGAGTGAACAGAGTATGAAGATTGAGAAACTGTGATATAACGCAATTTCAAAGGCCAGCTCATAAAAAGAGATAACTTAAATGCTTGGGTGGTTTTAAAAAAATAACAAAAATTAAAGAGCTTTACAAAAAGGATCTAAATTTTAGCCAAACTATCCGTTATTGTTATTTGGTCACAGGCTATTTCTTTTCAAAAAGGCCTTCCTACAAGTTTTTCCTCTACATCCACTACTCTTTGCATTACAAAAATTCTTTAAATTACCTTTCCTTAAAAGTTAAGAATCTAAGAATTAGAGTGATATGTTAAATAGTTCCAGCTGTAATAATAAGTATATTTTTAAGGGTGAGTTCTGAGAAACCCAAATGACCTCTTGATCAGAATAATATATAAAGAAATATTCTTTGTATTTCTGAGGCCCAGGAGTATTTCTTATTTAAAAAGGCAGTTTAGCCTGCTTGAGGTATAGTTATCTCTCTTTAAGACTAATTGACCCATCTGCCTGATAGATGTTCAGTAAATATAAATACGATACTGCCTTTTTAAAATCAGAAAAAGCACGTGAGGGGTTAAGGAATGTGAAAGGCGTCACAGGGGTCACTAAACTAACAATTTGGGATTTAAGAAGATACTATATTATTACAACAAGAATATATGTTCACAACAAATACAACAGGATTAGGCGAATCAAAATATATCAAATAGAATATATAATAATGGATCTTCTTAAATCAAGTGAAATCAAAGTTAAACTTTCATGTTGGCAAATTTCCAAAATAAAACTTCAAGCTGTAATTCTACTTGGTTTTGAACACATTTGGTTGGGATTCCGCTTAGCCTTGAACACTGAACTTGACACTTACTCCAATTATTGGATAATTTTTTCAGGGTGTTATATGAACTCTCGGGCCTTATTTTCAATCAAAAAGTGTCATATTTTTTAATTCTTTTCCCTTTCTTAAGATATTTCCGAAAACCCACTTGAAACAAGTTATGAAATATGTATTTTAAGGTAAATTTAACATGCATCCGGCCTTATGATATATGTGCATTGATATTTACCTATACAAGGACTTCAGAGCAGATTTTTGCTAAATTGCAAAAAAATCGATAAAATTTAAAGTTTTCAATCAATAACCTCGTCAGTTTGTTATGATTACAGAAAAAACTGAATTATCGGAATTGTTTAAAGTTTACTAAGATAAAATACCACTTTTTTAGTAATAACTTTAGCATTTGATTATTACTTTACTTGACATTTTAAAACAATGACCATTTCATTTTTGTTTGCAGATTTCGGATTTATTGGATGAAATTAACATTTTTAAGGTCTCACTGATTTCACTACAGATTGTGAAGTGAAATACTAAAAAATAAACCAGTAGACAAGCTAGGCATACATAATAAATATGTCTTGTTGAAGCAATAATTTTCTTGATAAAGTTCATAGAAAGTGTCTGTTTTTTATACCCCACACAGAAGAACAAATATTAAATTAGATAAAACAATCCAACCTTTAATATATAGGATAAAGAGCGATGAGTAAATTAGTTAATGAATTAATAAATCAATAATTTTAAAATTTAATTTTTTTATAATATATTCTTTATATAGTCCTTTTTATTAATCAGAAATAAGAGACTCTAAATGTCATAATATTTAAAAAAAAATAGCGGATTATTTAAAATCTTGAAAATCTATTATTTAGATTATTTTACAAACGATGTTGTATGTAAAACTAGACGTTGGGACCTTAATGCAAAGGAATTGATTCTTTGCAACAAACTCTGATTCTCCAGTCCTTGTATTGTTCAAACCAAATGTCGTAGACCTTAGATATTTCAAACTGTGAATTATGTTAGCTCAACTTATCTCAGTTTGAAATATCAAATGTGTACAACATCAGGTCGCTAAGATATTGGAATTCGAAAATTTAAGTTTGTGGCAAAACCTCAATTCCTTTATTTACTTAATGAAATTGCACTGTTGCGGTGCAATTTCTAAATTAGGTTAATTGCACCAGGTTATTTGAGACGCAAAGTTTGATATACAAACATACTTTACATGCATTGCAATTAGGATTTAAAAAAGCAATAAATCATAATTCCTCTCAATAGTGAATTCTTTTTTAACTTACTTGTTTTACTTAATTCAATCGGGTGGGGGGTGGGGGAATTCAAAATAATTCATCTAAACATTTCTTTAATTTTTCTGTAAACTATAAACTATAAATTATAATCATAGTTAAATCTAGAACTAAACAACGCTTCCCTCAAACTCTAACTTTCCATTCCTTATTTCTTTGTAACCTAACATGGTAGACTTTTGACATTTCAAACTATTAATTTTGCTTAGTGTACTAAGTAAAATTGGAAATATCACTAGTTTTCACCACCAAGTTGCAAAGATTAAAGGATTACAAAATTTGAGTTTGGGGTAAGTGTTGACTGTTCAGTTAACATCTTAAAAAATTTATTTATTCCACAACAAAATGGAAATGAAATATATCAGCTCTATTCCTTGAATCCTATTCTCTAACCAAACATAATAAAGATAAACTTGTAAATTTATTTCAAATTACAAAATATAACAATTTTATATAAAGAGCAGCGACTAGAAGAGGTTGGCTGGATTAGATTTTTAACAGCAAAAATTAGCACCATTCGGTTAGAACTTAAAAAATAGTTCATTTTAACATTAATTAGCATAAAACAATTATAATAGAAATTACTAAACAGATATATTATAAAAAGTGAAGTATCTGAAACTTCATACAATTAGGAAATTGCATTGATAATTTGTATGGCAAAGTTTCAAATTAAACAATATAGCTTAATTTTGATAAATATTTGGTATTAGTTAATTCTGATTCAATACGTTACCAGCCTTCGAATGCAAGGCCAAGAACACGTTTATGACTAAAATTTTTTCTAAGATTAGATTTTTAATCGAAATGTTCTTTTCGACTTTTTGGACTAGTGGAAAAAAATGTTCCTTTAAGATCTGGTCGGTCTGAAATTTGTGTTTGCCGTGATATTTTTTTTTGATCGACACAGGTTTATTTTCATTTGTTTGTTTACTATGACGTAATTGAATCCTGATCGGGAGTTCCTCGCTGGTTGATTAGATTCATTCGCTGGGTAAATGCTGTGATTTTGGACTGGAAACCTTTTATTCTCTCTCTACAAGCCTATTATGCAGATATTTTTGAGACAAAATATTAAAGTATACATTTTATGACCAATGTTAGTAAATACTTATAATTTATAGAAATATTTTGTTATGTTTGTGTAAAGCTATATCTAGTAGTACAATATAAATCAAATATAATAAACTTTACTATAAATAGTTGTAAGATGCAGGTATTTATTGTATATACTTATTAAAAAACTGTTAACTAATATCAAAAATGTGGAAATAACAGTTAGAAGTAAAACAAGACAAGAAAAGGCAAGAAGTAAGGGACTCAAGCGTCTCGACCAAAGAACGTTTACAAAACAAAATTTTCTAATTAGTCCCGAAAATCGTAATTTAGACCCGTTCTCGGTCTAATATGATGTGGGACACCCTGTAGTTCTTAAAAGTAAAATAAAAAATATACGAATATATTTCTTAAAAGTAAAATAAAAAATATACGAATACATTTCTTAAAAGTAAAATAAAAAATATACAAATATATTTCTTAAAAGTAAAATAAAAAAAATATGGTTCCTTATTGGGAGTGTCAACGTAATTTCAAGTTACCCTCAATTTGAAAAATATATGGTTCCTTATTGGGAGTGTCAACGTAATTTCAAGTTACCCTCAATTTAAAAAATATGGTTCCTTATTGGGAGTGTCAACGTAATTTCAAGTTGCCCTCAATTTAAAAAATATATGGTTCCTTATTGGGAGTGTCAACGTAATTTCAAGTTACCCTCAATTTAAAGCCTTATAAAGGTAGCCGAGCAACGATGACGACAGTTTCCTTATTTTTCTAAAAATTGATAACATCCAACTGTGGTTCCTCTATAAAACTGACTTGCAGATTTATGCAGCAGATAAAAAGAAAAAAATTGGCAGAATATAACATTTTTCATGATTTCTCGAATAAAGGTTTAAAGGTAAACCGTTGTAAATATTGATGGAGTATATATTAACCCTTTATGACAAAATATAATAGAATATATTGATAAAATATTAGAAAAGTTATAGCTTGGAACTATGTAATATATATACTGCACACTCCAATTACAGAGGAAATTTTATTTAAGATAAAAGAAGAGGGATTATAAATATATATTTTCCAACCCTTTATCTTCCAAGGTTAGGACGGATTTACGATAACTGATTAGAGAGCTGGGTTCTCGGAGCACAAAATCTGGGAAATCTTAATTTATAAACTTCTTCTTCATCTTCTATATATTCTTAGAACTTTTCTTTAAATATCTTTATTGGACAAGTAATATTCTTACAATACGTTAATATTGTGTTAAATATGAAAATATTAACATTTTAATTCAAAATATTTAAACGTAGTTTTCTTTGAAAAAAAATCAAGAATTTAATATTTGTCATATTGGATTCAAAATTTTAAAGTTCCAACAAAATTTTGAAAAGAGAGAGTAAATACAAAGAAAAGGTTTAGATTGAAAACTATAAATATTTTTTGTTTATTTTTAAAACAGACAAAAATCTGTTTAATTATCTTTATAAGTTATATTATTTCAGAATTTAAAATTATGAAGGAATAAAGTATGGATTCTGAGGTTGCAATATTTCTTGGTAATTAAATATATGTCAATTTAGATTTTAATTTGTATTCTTGGGGATTGTCAGGCTAACCGATACAATCCTACATTGAGTCATATTTTGATCATAGCGTCCGAACTAAATGTTATATTTAGAAGACTTAAAAAAAATCTGACAATAATAGCTCTGGGCAATATGGAAAAATCGGATAATACGGTTTTAAAATTTTAGTTTTTGCTATTTTTTTTATAAGAATATAAATGCTTTCTCCCCTTTTTCATTTGTGCCAATGAAGTGCTACAATAATTGCAGCAAACGTAGAACTTTTTCTGACATGATTTACAAAAAAATCATTTTTTGCTTCGAATTAAAAAACTTATGTTAATACTTAGTATAATATGTATTTACTTGAATGGAATTGAAACTTTGATTTATTTAGAACAAGACAAAATTTAGCCTTTAATGATAATAAAATATTGCAGTGATATTTCTGCTGGCGTCTTCTGTAGCAACGATTGCAATATGTTGTATGGAGCTTAAATCAGTCTGGAATAGTTATAGGTAAACAGTAAATATACAGAGATATCCACACAACTAGAGGCCGAATTTAAAGAATTTGAGCCGCGGCTTAAATATGGTTGGTTCCACTTAAAATTGTATTAAAGGAGTTGAGTTTTTGCCACAAACTCTGATTTTCTAATCTCTATATCTTTGGAACCCAATGTCGTATACCTTTTATATTCCAAACTGTGAATTATGTTGGATCAAACAGTCTAAGTTTGAAATATCAACGGTTTACACCATCAGTTTGCAAAGATATAGAGATTTGAAAATTGGACCCATTTTGTTTATATTTGAAGAATCCAATATTGAATTACATACCGATTGTTCTGCTACTGCCCTGTCCCTGTCCTTGGCTAGATAAGCCGGACTAGAGACAGTTCTTAATTCTCCTTCACAGGACAATATTTTCTGCCGTAGAACACCAATCTCCTAAAATAAATATTTATTTATATCTAGAGCTTTGTCGCGGGTGAAAGTTTTGGTACAAGTAATTACAAAATAGATTTAAAAACACAAAGTTGAACATTTGTTGTGCATTGATGGTGGCAAATCTGCTTTATTTTGAAATTTGTTTGTTTTTAAAGTATTTGATACAAACATTTTTCTTCTGGCGTAAAAAGCGAAAATAAATGTTTTTAACTTTTTCACGGGGGGGGTTTTAAAACTGCGTTCTTTCATGTAAACATATGGTTTAGATCTTCTTAAAATCGTTTACTTGATATTGATTAAAGCAAAGGTGAACAGTTTTTTTATATTCATTTACATTAAAGCTGAAAAATTAAATTATAAAATGAATTAACATTCTAAATTCAAAAATAGATAAAAGCTCATACAGTTTTATTTACACAATGATTGACGATATCATAAGGATAAAAATACAATATTTTGAATTTCGTGTTTTTACACTTCAATAAATTTGCTCAATGTAAATATTTTTAACTCGAAATTCACCAACAAGTTTAAAGGAAAGGAAATATTCTTTATTTAAGGCCCTCATAAAATTAATATTTTTTATATTGTGCAGTGAGAAACAGAAAACAGTAGAATTTTTTTCATCTTTTATCATAAAATGTTGCTAAGAATTTTGTAATGTTGAATAATATTTTGAGATTTCAGTGCAATACAATATATGTTATAGTCAATGTTTTAAATAAATATTTATGTAAATAAGATCTATCAATGATTTATTTGTTAAATTCTGACTTTGATATTTCAAACAATGAATTCCGCTAAATAAAATTGTCAAAGAACCAAAGATTAACAATCTGGTTGCAAAGTAAATAGAGAAACGAGAATTAGAGCTGAAGTCGGAAAATCAGGTTCTTTACCAAAGTACTGTAAAAAGATTATGTTTTTACCTGATGATATTGATCCAGCTGAGAAAGACAAGACTCTAGGACCTGGGTCTGATCCTTGATCTCCTGGTTCAGCTTCTCCAGGTCCGAGTCTATCTCCCGTCCCAAGACATGAATGTCCTGGTCTCCTTCCATCTCCTCTGTGAAATGAATCTGTAGTTTCTCCAGTGACATCATTGCCCGCCTGCGCTGTATCGTAATATCGTTCACCATTTTCTCCCGGAGATTCAGCTGGTCCCGGAGAGGACGTTTTTTATTTTGCAAAGACTCCAGACTATCACGGGCTTTCCCAGCCCATACTCTTGTATCCTTCAGCTTTCTCTCACACTGATCCCACTCCTCGGTCAGCTCCAGGAGCAAAGCGTTCCGTTCTTGTAGACCAGACTCTATCTCCGACTTATCCTTCTCCGTATCACTCAGCTTCTCCTGGAGATCTCCTGCAGATCCAACCGAGGTTATCTTACCGAGTTCTCGCGTCATTTCCTCGACGTTCTTATTCACGTTCTTGATGGACTTAATGGTAGCGTTGTAGTCCTAGAAATTGTAAAGTTAATTTAACATTTTAGAATGTAAAGGAAAATAATATTACAGTGACGTTTAGCATTTAATATTATCATTTTCATTTAATATTTATATTTGGCATTAAAAAAATCTGTTGTAAAGGAGCTGAACACTAGCCACCAATTCTAATCACTATATACTTTGCAACCTGATGTCGTAAACTTTTTTATCAAACTTTGTATTCTGATAGATAAAACAGTCAAAGTTTGAAAGGTTTACTCCATCAGGTTACAAAGACAAGATTACAATGATTAGAAAATAAGAGTATGTGGTGATTCTTTAGTTCCTTTACATGACTTTGTAAATTTAATCCAGTTGTGTAAACTTGAAATATGTAATTAAGGAGATCTTATTTAGTATTATCTTAATTTGAATGCTTAAAATAAAATCTTTCTAAAAATTGTCGTTCATAAATTAAGCACTCTCAAATTATTTAGAAGATACTTTATAAAAATAAAAAATAGAAACAAATAATGCAGTTGGCCCACCTGAAGTTTGAGTTTGGCTGAGCTGAGACTAGTAAAAGTAAGAGGTTCAGTAAGGAAAGTTTTCTTTTCCTCAATCCAACCCCGAACCATTGCCTCCATACTCAGGAACTTTTGCCATGCGTCAATGGCGTCGTTTGCAGCATTCTTCTTCTCCTCGATCAGCTGTTTTAACTGTGTCAGCTGATCAGATAAATTAGATATGGTTGATTGAACCAGTTCTTTCTCTGGTTGATTATTCGTGTTGGCGATGATAATCTTTCCATTGGTGGTTAGGTTGTCGAGCTGCTCAGTAATACCGCCCACCTCTCCTTGGATCTGGTTCAGGTTATCCTTCAGCAGATGAGGTTGAAGATTTCTATCCTGTATCTTGGATTCCGATCTAGAAATCCAAAACTGCACTTCCTCAACATCAACCTTAACAAAATCAAATCAAATCAGAACTCTTAGATGTACATAGTGAACTAGGGATTTTGAGCTGCAGGCACTATTGTATTGTGGATAATGGATATGCTTGATTTGCTATTTGAAAACCTTTTGTATTTGCTATTTTACACGCTATATATTTTATATTAATTAACACTCTATATATTTTAAATTAATTAACACTCTATATATTTTATATTATTAACACTCTATATATTTTAAATATCAAAGTATACGAAAGCCTTTCACGCGATTTTCTCCGGATTATGACTAAGAGATGAAAACATAACTAAATGTATGTCAATACAAACAGGATGTACTTCGTTGTAGTTTATGTGAGTTTAGACTGTCAGAGTGTTGAATCTTTGCAACCTAATGTCGAATATAGACCAATAAGATATTTCTACTAAGAATTATGTTTAATCAATTAATCTAAGACTTATCAACGATGTACACCATCAGGTTGTAAAAATATAGGGATTAAAAAGTTTAAGTTTACGGCAAAGGCTGAATTCCTTTACAATTAATTTTTTCCTTATTAATAACTTTAGAGGAAAATGTGTAACAAAGAATTCTGCAGATTTTCTAGAATTATAATTGAAAAGACGACATTTGAAGAATTTGAAGAAATCTGCTAAGAAATTCAAAGAAAATAAGAAATTCAATATAATAATGAAAACGAAATAATCGATTTTAGCATTGATTTATTGACAAAGGAATTGAGTCTTTGCCACAAAATCTGCTGTTCTAACCTATATCTTTGGAACTCAATGACGTACAGCTTAGATATTTCAAACTATGATTTCCATTAGATCAAATAATTTAAGTTTGCATTATCTTGTTGCGAAGATATAGGGATTAGAAAATTTAAATTTGTAACAAAAACTCAATTCCTTTCTTTTGAGAAACATGTTCCTAACCATCTAATTAGATTTCTGTATAATTTTTACTTTATTTTTCGTTGTCGTTATTTAATAATTTAAAAAAACTAATTCTGAAAACGTATCTACTCCCAAAGTTGGAGTTTTGAACGTCGAATTTGCGCTCAAACTCAGGATATACAGATCTTTAAAAAGTTTAATATGTCTCAAATGAATCCGAAAGAAGTTTTCCACAGCATTGCATACTCAATTCAACTACCTTACATAGCCGGTCACTCCCTTTAAACATTAGACTTAAGTTTTCAAAAAACAATTCTTTCATGGTTCTTAATGCATGAAAAAGATAATAATGAACCGTGGAACATTTCCACATTGATCCAACTGATAAAATTGTTTCATTGCACATTCTATAAATTTGGAAATAATCATTTTTTCCCAGCAGCACTAATCCAACTTGTTCTCTACCAAGCTTAATAATACCCCCCCCCCCCCCTGGTACACAGGGAATACTGTACAATGTTCATATATTAGATTTGGCTATACAATTACAAATGTTCACACACTGCCTCCCGTCAAATGCCATATTTATATTATTTTTTTTATGTCAAATTGTACTTGTAAAGTTGTAAACTACTATATAAATCTAGTATCTCACCAACGCCTTACAAATAGTTAACTGTAAGATTCACATAAAAAAGAATAAAAATAAAAAATAAAAGAAAATAATAAGAATTAAGTTTAGGTACACCGTACACTAGAGCAAACTAAGAGTAAAAACGTAAACCATGGGTAAATGTAATTATACAAAGGGTATACGATAAACACTAAAACAAAGGAATATCTTCAAGAATCTGATAATTTAAAAAATTGAAAATAAATACATTTTTTTATATGCATTTTAACAAAAATTAAAAAATTTAACACTTTCAATTCTGATCTATTTAAAATTGTACCGTGACCACTTTTGTAACGGCCAGGGTAGGCTGGACTTTTAAAATATTACTTTCAAAAAAGGAATTGAGTCTTTTTCTAATCCCAATATTTGTGTAACCCAATGTATATTAGATGTTTCAAACTATGAATTCTGTTGGATGAAATAATTTAAGTTTAAAATATAATTGCAAAGATATTGTCTTTTTTCTTGCTTGAAAAGTGATTAATTCTAACAATTTCCTTAATTATTTCTGTCACTTTACAGAGAGCAAAAAATTGAAAATAATCACTTAATGTTTGCAGTTTCTATTAAGATAAAATAATTTACCTGGAATTCATATCTAACTGTTCTTGCCCTCTTGTGTTGACCTTCCAACTCCTCTAGCTGCTGTAACAGCTGCTCAGCAGCTAGCTCAGTCTTAGAAAGCTTTTCTTGAGTTCCCTGCGGGAGCAGCTGTCCAAGCTCTGTAAGCTGCTTTCTTGTTGATGAATGAAGCTCCCTGGCACTGCTGCAAGCATCCTCTAAATCACCTCGTATTTCCTAAAAGTATAATTTGTAAGCAGACTTCGCATGTTTAGAGAATGTAAGCTTGTTAATTTTGTTCAAGCTCAGCTTTTATCGAATTTTTCAGCGGAAACAGATATCTCCAGGACGTTTATACAAGATTAAAGGGAGTGTTCGCGAAAACTGAAAGGGGATATAGGCTTACGTCGAAAATTTTTAAAAACGACTTATACCGAAAAACATAGTGACCAAACAAATTCAGAAAGTTGAAATATTCGACTCGGATCGTAAATAATCAATTTAATTCGGAATTCCAAACAAATCATTCAGATATTACAACCTATAATCATTGTTTTTTCCGACGCATTCGTATATAGTTGATTCTTAATAGTATTTTTTATTTGTTTTATATACATTATACAATGCACTTACAACGACGTTTTTTTGTCCCCTAGGTGACTCTGCCACGTGGAACTATGCAGAAACATCGAGAGCAAAGACACCTGGCGGCAAACTAATCGTCGTTTAAATTGCAACATACATTCTTCGGTATAAGTCGTTTTTAACAATTTTCTCCGTATAGACGCAACAGATAGAAGTAAGATTAGTAGCAATCGCCATCGAATATTTTTCGACGTAACCCTATACCCCTTTTCATTTTTCGCGAACACTCCCTTTAAGTAGATTTCTATTTTAATGAAGTCAGGTAAAGACACAACGCATTGAATTTCCAACATTCAGCTATTATCAAACTGTGCAGACACGGTAACCATTCGTCAATTAAATCCCAGAGGGGAGCATTGAAACATATGCTCTCCACTGAGAAAAAGAAAAAATAAATTTAATTTTTTTAAACCCTCAAAAATGATTTAATGCATAGCATGAACAATCTTATTATTTTTCAACTTTATTATTCCATGGAAAAGTTTCTACCCTAGAGCTTTAATTTTACTCTTAGATTCTAGCTACATTATGAGCCCGACCAAGATATCCACCCCTGCCTATCCGTCTAGTTTCATGTACAGTGTTGCACGGTGATCTATATAAATAATCAGCTGACCCCTCGGATAATTCGCCATGTTTACCTCAGCAGCTGCAGTATTAATGGATGTTGCAGGATTTAAACGATTTAACGCATTTTCTTCGTTATAATAATGCAAATTCATCACTCAATCAAACACGGGATATTAGTATCACAATTATATCACAAATTACGATAAATCACAATCACATGTACACAGAGGTTCTTTTCATAACAAGAACTCATTTATACTAAAAGTGTGAAACTGTTACACGAAGTCAGAAAATTTTCTAAATCCGGGAATAAACTTTAACTAAAAAGATTTAAATTTAACTTTTATCAAAATCATAATTGGATTCTTTGTTCCAAATATTTCCCTTGTAATTCTGTATGCAGTAAAAACAGTTTCTAGAGAATATTTAACACTGTATAGTGCATATCTGGCTTAAAATCATATTTTGGGACGAATGCCAAAATAATTAGATTAGGTAAAGAGGAACAATTTCATTTAATGCAAACAAAATTATTACGGAATTTTTAAATAGTGAAAATAAATGACAAAATCTCGGCTACGTGGATATTATCGACCAATAAGGAAAAACACAGCGATATTTGCAATAGTTTTCTATTCTTGATATTGTTGAAAAAATATGAACATTTTTGATTTAATCTAACGGGTTATTCAATTGAAAATTTAATCCATACAAAATATTCTTTCTTTGTATAAAATGACGAATGGATAGAATTGAAAGAGAATTTGAAAGAAGATATGTTGTCTGATTTCTCAATTCTTATTCAAGTCAGAACACATAATCCCTCTCTCATCTACTAGCTTGAATCCTTTAAAGGGACTGTAACCGTAATTTCAAGTGGCCCCCAATCAACAATTCACAACGGTTATACCCTTTGGTTTATTGAGGACGATCCTTGTTTTTCTACAGATATAAAAGTTACAATTTCTGCTGAGGAGGTTTTATAACCCCTATACATGTGCAACCTGATGGTGTAAACTCTTGATATTTCAAATTTAGATTATTTGATCTGAAAGAATTCTTGTTTGTAATATCTAAGGTCTACGACACTGGGTTGCAAAGATATAGGAATTTAAAAATCAAAGCTTATTGCATATTCCTATACTTTTTTGTTTCTGATGGACAAGTAAAATTATCCATTTCAGATAATTTTTAAAATATTTGCTCTGACGAAAGTTTAAAGGGTACTATTGTGAATCGGACATGCAAATCTTTAAATAAAGGGTTACTTGAAATTCGTCGACAGTCTCTTAAAGAATAAGAATAAGATATAAAATATAGAACTAGCATGACTTGAAATATAGATTTCCACAATCTAGTAGGAATACCAAAAGGAAGGATCCAGCTAAATCATGAAAATTAAATTACATCTGATTGAAAGTAGTTTTTACCCATAAAATACATTTGATTAACCTTCGATCGTAATTACATTGAAATACAAATAAATTACATATAAAATGTTGTTATTTTGTATTTGTTTATGATGACATCAACATGTTTGTTTATTGTCGAGAACGTCAATTTGTTTGTTCATGTTGGTGACATCAATGTGCAAGACCGTAAAATGGGGGGGGGAATACATCAGTCTAGTATATATATATAATATATATACATACATCAGTCTAGAATATATATATAATATATATACATACATCAGTCTAGAATATATATAATATATATATGCACATCAGTGTAGAATATATATAATGTATATATACATTAGATTCCAGGGGAAGTAGGTAATTAAAACAGTGCTTAGGATTCGGAAATGTTAATGGAACCGGATCCAGGGTGCGAAATATCGAGAAAAAAAAACATTTTTTCTTCTTAAAAAGGTTAATTTCAAATTTTAAGTGTCAAATAATAAGAAAATAATAAGAATAAAAGTTAGAGGAAACAAAATAGGCCAATTTTGGAATTTTTTTTGGATTAAATATTCCCAGCTTTGTCTTATACCTGTCTGTGAGTAGATTAGCTTTCCGGTCAACTCCTTCCAAGTTGGAGATTTCAACACTTACAAGCTCTACACGTTCCTCGAGCTGGGATATTAACCTAAAATAATATAATTGTAAAGAAACATTCCTCATTATTTTTTTTATAAATGATCTACTCGTATATATATGCATTGCAAACCTCCATGCATAATAAAAATCATGCTTTCAGTGCAACATTTTAACAAAACCAACATTCTTCTTTTTCCATGTTAATAAAAATCTCTGATATATAAAAACTAACGACATTCAAATCTTTAAACTATAGAGCTACATGGTTAGTTCAAATCTTACAAACTATATAATAAAAAATAAGTTGATTTAATATTCTAAACTAAAAATAAATCAACTAGAAAACTATCGTTCTAAAACTAGACTGAGACTCACTTCCGAAATCTTTCTCCTTGCTCAATGGCCGAATGAAACGACCTAGAAAGACTTTTTATGAAAGCTTGATATATAAAATTAATGATGGAAAAAGGTCTGTAACATCTAAAGAGCTTTAACAGTGGAAAACTTAAAGAAAACCCTCAATTGTAAGAATACTATAAAAACTCGTATTATTTACCATTTGCCTTTTCATATCAATAAAAATCTGAAAATATTGTATCCATAGTCTTAGAAAGGAATTGAGTCTTTGCCACAAACTCTGATTTTCAAATCCCTATATCTTTGCACCCCGAAGTCATAATCCTTAATATTTCAAACTATGACTTCTGATGGATCAAATTTGCTTTTGTTGATTTCTTTTGTTGCAAAGACCCAATTCCTTTGAATATAATTTTAAAAATATATGTATATTTGTATTTCCATATTATATACATATCTGTATATCAGGATATTTGCTGATAAGAATATATCTGTACATTTGTTTCCAGTAAACAAATCAAATATATATATTTCCAGATAGTTGTATCCAGTAATTCAAGATATTTCCTGTTCAGTATATATCATGTACATTTGTATCCAGTAATATTTGCATATTCAGATTAGCACTGAACTATTTGTACTTTTGGAGTTTGTTTGTTTATTCTCGTAGAAATATATATATATATATATATATATATAGATATATATATATATATATATATATTATATATATATATATATATATATATAGTATATATTTATATATATGTAGTTGGTCCTGTCTGTAAATATATTGGTCCACTGGGTCTCATCTATATATCCCAGTTGGATCCTAACCTACCCTCTTCAACACAATATATCCTGGCTACTCTACACTTGTACAGTGTACATAATAGTTCATAGTATTATTCATTAGTAGCGTACATAAATGGAAATATTGTAAAACGATATAAAAAAAAATCCAATATCAGACTCTTACATTATACAATATTCGGAGCCTAGCTACTACAATATGAAAATGTTAAAGTTATATACCAATCTTTACACACTGTTTAGCGTAAAAAAAGTAAAAAAAAGAATGAAAGAAAGGTACCGGATGGGAATAACGGGGGAATGAAAGGAAGGTATCGAATGGAAGATGGGAAACGGATGGGAATAACGGGGCATTAAAGGAAGGTACCGGATTGAAGAAAGGTACCGGATTGGAATAACAGGGGGTATGGAAGAAAGGTGCCAGATGGAAGAAAGGTACCGGATGGAAATAACGAGGGCATGAAAGGAAGGTACCGGATGAGAATATCGGGTGGATAGAAGTGAGGAGTGTAAGAATAAGATTGGAACAGTGTATATTGAACCTCGAAAAAAGGAACAGTGAACTCCCAACAACCAATATTCCAGTTCTCAACTTAATAATATCTATTCAACTTTTTTATTACAATAAATCCATGGCGAATAAAATAAGATAATTAAGGAAAGCGGTGAAAAGGGCAACTTTTTACTTTTACATTCGGATGAACATTGGCATATTTCTATGCAGTGAACTCCACAGTTTTAGATAGTCATATATGCAAGTTTACATTTAAAAGTATAATTTTACTAAAAAACAATTAGTTTTGTTTCTAAAATTGAATGATAAAATAAGTGGAAGCAAGGAAAAATTTCTTGTTTAATTAATATCTTTAGTTCCAATTATTAGTGTTAAAAAGATAAGAACAATACGAATACTATTTGTCTACATGCTTTCATTAATAAATTATTCTTAAACTAGGACCATTAATGTAATGTAAATAACAGAATGTTTTTAACACATTGTTTAAACAGACACCTAACAAAGTAAACATTAAACATTAGCAAAACAACCTAATATCTTAACTATAGATTGAGTTAAAAAGTTTAAAGAGACTTAGTTCTGTAAAAGATGCTGAAATAAACAAACGAATATACAGAGCGTCCCATATCATATTAGATCATCTCCAATCTTTAACACCAAAATAAACCCTTAATACTCGAAAAACTTATCATTTTCCGCAAGAAAATTCTTATATAAGCCTTATGTTATTTTTCAAAATGATTCATTCTAATGAAATTTTCTAATTAGTCCCGAAAATCGTAATTTAGACCCGTTCTCGGTCTAATATGATGTGGGACACCCTGTAGTTCTTAAAAGTAAAATAAAAAATATACGAATATATTTCTTAAAAGTAAAATAAAAAATATACGAATACATTTCTTAAAAGTAAAATAAAAAATATACAAATATATTTCTTAAAAGTAAAATAAAAAAAATATGGTTCCTTATTGGGAGTGTCAACGTAATTTCAAGTTACCCTCAATTTGAAAAATATATGGTTCCTTATTGGGAGTGTCAACGTAATTTCAAGTTACCCTCAATTTAAAAAATATGGTTCCTTATTGGGAGTGTCAACGTAATTTCAAGTTGCCCTCAATTTAAAAAATATATGGTTCCTTATTGGGAGTGTCAACGTAATTTCAAGTTACCCTCAATTTAAAGCCTTATAAAGGTAGCCGAGCAACGATGACGACAGTTTCCTTATTTTTCTAAAAATTGATAACATCCAACTGTGGTTCCTCTATAAAACTGACTTGCAGATTTATGCAGCAGATAAAAAGAAAAAAATTGGCAGAATATAACATTTTTCATGATTTCTCGAATAAAGGTTTAAAGGTAAACCGTTGTAAATATTGATGGAGTATATATTAACCCTTTATGACAAAATATAATAGAATATATTGATAAAATATTAGAAAAGTTATAGCTTGGAACTATGTAATATATATACTGCACACTCCAATTACAGAGGAAATTTTATTTAAGATAAAAGAAGAGGGATTATAAATATATATTTTCCAACCCTTTATCTTCCAAGGTTAGGACGGATTTACGATAACTGATTAGAGAGCTGGGTTCTCGGAGCACAAAATCTGGGAAATCTTAATTTATAAACTTCTTCTTCATCTTCTATATATTCTTAGAACTTTTCTTTAAATATCTTTATTGGACAAGTAATATTCTTACAATACGTTAATATTGTGTTAAATATGAAAATATTAACATTTTAATTCAAAATATTTAAACGTAGTTTTCTTTGAAAAAAAATCAAGAATTTAATATTTGTCATATTGGATTCAAAATTTTAAAGTTCCAACAAAATTTTGAAAAGAGAGAGTAAATACAAAGAAAAGGTTTAGATTGAAAACTATAAATATTTTTTGTTTATTTTTAAAACAGACAAAAATCTGTTTAATTATCTTTATAAGTTATATTATTTCAGAATTTAAAATTATGAAGGAATAAAGTATGGATTCTGAGGTTGCAATATTTCTTGGTAATTAAATATATGTCAATTTAGATTTTAATTTGTATTCTTGGGGATTGTCAGGCTAACCGATACAATCCTACATTGAGTCATATTTTGATCATAGCGTCCGAACTAAATGTTATATTTAGAAGACTTAAAAAAAATCTGACAATAATAGCTCTGGGCAATATGGAAAAATCGGATAATACGGTTTTAAAATTTTAGTTTTTGCTATTTTTTTTATAAGAATATAAATGCTTTCTCCCCTTTTTCATTTGTGCCAATGAAGTGCTACAATAATTGCAGCAAACGTAGAACTTTTTCTGACATGATTTACAAAAAAATCATTTTTTGCTTCGAATTAAAAAACTTATGTTAATACTTAGTATAATATGTATTTACTTGAATGGAATTGAAACTTTGATTTATTTAGAACAAGACAAAATTTAGCCTTTAATGATAATAAAATATTGCAGTGATATTTCTGCTGGCGTCTTCTGTAGCAACGATTGCAATATGTTGTATGGAGCTTAAATCAGTCTGGAATAGTTATAGGTAAACAGTAAATATACAGAGATATCCACACAACTAGAGGCCGAATTTAAAGAATTTGAGCCGCGGCTTAAATATGGTTGGTTCCACTTAAAATTGTATTAAAGGAGTTGAGTTTTTGCCACAAACTCTGATTTTCTAATCTCTATATCTTTGGAACCCAATGTCGTAGACCTTAGATATTTCAAACTATTAATACTTATAGATAAAATAATCTAAGTTTGAAATATCAAAGGTTTGCACCATAAGATTGCAAAGATATTGGAATCAGGAGATTTTAGTTTGTGGCAAAAACTCAATTCCTTTTTCAAGATTTAAGCGCCGGCGCTCAATTGAAACCGGTTTTTGGGGGATTTGAGACGCGGCTTAAATTCATTAAATTTGGACATAAGAAAGATATGCATATGCATTTTAAGACATTTGGTTTTAACTTATTTTATCATTTTTTTTGTAGCCCTGGGCAGGTTCATTTTAGTACTATAACGCACTTATTTCTATCTCTGTTTAAAAGGAGTAATTGACAAAATCCTTATCGAATTTTTCGTGAAAGCATGAATACTTAGCTTCACAGTGGTGAAGAGCCCTTTTATTTAAAAATACATTAATCTGAAAATCAATGTAATTGTGATGAAATGTTTTAAAGGCATTTTTTTAAATTTTCAAAATAAACCTCTAATCCAATTACCGCGCAACTATATCTTCTTGTTATTTTTTTGGAAAATTTTTCTTTCTCTCCTTTTCTAATGTTGTTACTCTAAACCATTTATCCATCCAATATATTTAACCCTTGCAGTTCTTCTCATTCAGTCTCAATGCTTAGTTTAACTTATTCCTATATTTTTATCTTTTCTGTAAAATTCGGAAATTTTTGTGTTTGTTTTTTTTGCAGCACAGGTTAAACCAGAACTTCAGAGACATCGACAGAATTCATAAAATGTCGTCTTGACAATTTTTCAAGAGGTCTTATGATATTACACCTAAATCTCAGTAATTGTAATAAATAACTATGAAATATGCAGTAACAGTTTTGAAGAGATCCATATAATTATTTCATTAAAAAATTAAATATATCTGCATCATTCTATAATCAGTAGGTTTAGAAAACGACATTTTATAAATTCGTTCGAAGTCTTCGAAATTCTGGATTAAACTGTATATAAATTCCGAGATTGAATTTATCCATTCCGATAAAATGTGAGAAATTTGAAGAATTACAAATTTGGATTTCCAATAGCAGTTCTTCTGATCAGTGCAAATATAAAGTAGATTTTATTTGTCAATTATATATTCTTAATATTGTCAATCTAATGTTTTTAGTATTTTAATTTAACAAAATCTATTCTTATATATGACTTTAGTGTTTAGTAAGTTTTCCAGTTACAAAATATTTTTAGCACTTTAAATTTCTTTTTACAGTTTACCGCAGCACTTGAAATTATACAGTAAAAAATAAATTGAAACTACACAAGAAAATGATAATATCTTGATTTTTGTTAAGGGAGACTAAAAGTGGAGGTTTGGTTGAACTCGACTGCACCTGTGACGTAAAGAACGGCACTAAACCTTTAATAAGACCTAACAAGGAAGAAACTCTGCAAGTTCCGCAAAGGTAAATATTTAATTCAAGTTTTTTTAAATCTACAACATTTTGACCCACAAAATCATGGAAAAGATAATCGACTGTTATGATTTTAAATAGTCTAATGTACACGAAACTGCAATTGTGCGGTGTAAACAGTCCCATTTCACTTATTAAGCTGATACGCAAGCTACAACCAATGGGTCCCACTTTATGCTAAAACTGGCAAACATATTTTTTTAAAGAATTGAGTCTTTGCCACAAACTCTGATTTTCTAAATCCCATATCTTTACAACCCGATTTCGTAGACCTAAGATATTTCAAACTATAGGAATCTGTTAGATAAAATAATCTCAGTTTGAAATATAACAGTTTTCCAACATTTGGTTGTAACGATAAAGGGATTTTGTGACATAGACTCAATTCCTTTTAAATGTGTCATCTAATTGTTTGGTGGCTAAGTAAATGAGTTTTTGCCACAAACTCTATTTTTTAATCCTCATATCCTTGCAACTCGATGTCGTTAACCTTTAATATGTCGACTTATGTTAGATCAAAAAGTTTAAGTCTGAAATATAAAAAGTTTGCCCTAACAAGCTGCAGAGATATAGGGATTAGAAAATTTGAGTTTGTTTCTTTAATGCTCTAATTAGATTTATCTGTATTTTCAAGGAAGCAGTATCCGTCCCCATCACCCCCACTCAAGAACTTCTCCCCAATACCTTCTCCCAAACCCTACTCCCCCTCCCCATCCATGTCCATTAAGAGCTCAAGAATGACTGAGCCAATACCACTTCATCATTTGCATCATAGGAATAGGTCTCTTGATACATTAACAAATTACAAATAGTTTATTAACCCAAAGCCGCAAACTTTTGGTTGAATTGTAGCGATAAGATCAATATACTTGAAGGAAACTTTTAAAATTTGGGGATTAGCTTGTTAAATAATTGAACATTTAATTCTGACTGTTAATTAGTCAAGGCTCGATATGATATGTCGATTTAGACTAAACCCTCGGTAGGGGGGATAGAAATGACCCAAAAAATGTGATTCACCAAAAGATGTCCTATTTTGCCAGAGAGGATAATGGAGTTATTCACCATATGCCCAGAAAGTAAGTTCATAATTAAACCTATATTTTTTAATGGATTAATACAAACATGTAAATATGTGTGGAAATAAATAAATTGGGCCGACTGCTATATCATTTATAACACAGAAATGTAATATAAAAAATGCCCTAATCCACACTACTAATGTTAAACATTAATATTCCTTTTCTCTGAGTGAGCAATATTCAAAATTACTGCTGGAGTAAATCTTTATAATCGACGTTTATGTAGTTTTATTTTCAACCTGAATGTTTTTTAGATGAAATCCTAATTTTGATTCTAAAATTTGTTGGGAAATGTTTATTGCATTTCTTCATAACCCCCTTCCTTCAATTTCATCGGTACCCTCCCCCCCCCCACACCTTTATTTGATTTTGAGTCACCAGATTTTTAGCTTTTTTTCTTATAGTATTACAATGCTGATAATTTCTACCATTACTCCATGCTAAAATATTATTTTAATTTTGGGGATTTTAGATAAACCAATCATATTTTAGATAAACCAATCATATTTTAGATAAACCAATCATATTTTAGATAAACCAATCATATTTGTTGTTGCTGCAGTGCTGTTGAGTACGAAGTACGGGATAATCTAAGCATGAGGGATTCTCTGAGAGACAACATGAGCATGAGGGATTCCCTCAGGGACAACATGAGGGACATGATCAGGCATCATTCAGCTCAAAGAACACTTGGGTAAATATATAATTGTAATAATTTAAATGATTAGATCATCATACAAGAACATGACAACGTGCCTTCAAGTAACCCTCCATTAAAAGCGGTGAATGCCTGATTCACAACGATTCACTGTCAAAATATTGGCAAATCTTATTTTTCTTTAAAAAAATTAACTTTTGGCCGTGGTGAATTGACAGAATTCATCTAGCTTAAAGAAAGAAAAAATAGTAAAGGTAAAAGGTTATTGACGGGAATTGTACCTCTTTAAAGAAAGAAAAAATAGTAAAGGTAAAAAGGGTATTGACGGGAATTGTACCTCTTTAAAGGAAGAGTTCCTTTAATATTTAAATAGTAAAGGTAAAANCAAAGAGAATAGAATATATATTAGAATGGAATTTAAAAGAAAAAAGTGTAAAACGGCCATTTTGTTGTACTGTTTCCATACTGCAGGTGTACTTCACGTATTTTTGCGCTATATAACAGTTTGGGCCCTGGAACATCATTTTATAGAAAATCTAAAATGAATATTAAAAGAAAACCAAATTATGAAATAGGCTGGTTTCATAATTGACCAATGATCATTTCACATAGACTCTATGCTTTTCACGATGATTTTCCGTTATAAATATAAATCAAATGGTGTTTTTTATTCACCTAATTAATTTTATAAAGTTTATTTAACAGCTTTAAAAAATTCGAAATTGAAATGGATAGGTTAGGGAATATACTGTATTAATGTACTCTACTGCATATAATTTGTGACCATTTACATGATTTGTACACTTTGAGCTCCCTTTCAGACTAAAAGGGACTGAAAAAATTCATACCAAGGGATTTTCTAAATTCCACTCTAATATATATTCTATTCTCTTTGGTTTTATTCGCTGAATTTGGGGAAATAAATAAATTCGTAGGTAAAAAGTACAAAAAATCTTGCCTTTTTAAGTCCAATTTTTCATTTTTTCCCCAGATCTTCAAAATTCTTAAAAATATACAGTATACACCCCTGTCCCATTATCGACCTAATGAATAGCAACCCACCGAACAACAACCAGAATTAAATAAGCTAAACAATGTAGAATAAAATGTGGAATAGAAACGATTAAGTAGAGAAAACCCACCCCTTCAAAAGTAACGGACACAACCCTTAATCCTGGATTACGTCATTGTCAGCTCACGCAAATTAAACCAAATCGGTTAAGCCGTTATTTCGTATTTGCAGAACAGACAAACATAACCAGTAAACAACTGTAATGAAATTGAGTCTTTTTTACAAACTCTGATTTTCTAATTCCTATATCTTTGCAACCTGATGATATAAACCTTTGATATTTCAAACTTTAAATTCTGTTAGAAGATTAGGGATTAGAAAGTTTGAGTTTATTTTCCGATGGTTTAGATAACCCTGTACGAGCACATAATGGATGATTATAGAGGAAATTCGAATGTAATGAGGTAGCCTAGGTAGAGAGATGAATATAGTTAACAATAGTTTGATTATGTTCTTAGTTTGATAAACAGTGAATGAAGAATCTACAGTTTAAACTTGACTTGATCAGAACTTGGTTAGTTTACTTATATACAAACCTTAACTTACACACACTATACACAATATACAATACATAGATGGGATAAACTGGATTCTAACAAAATAAAGAACTTTCATTCTAGCTCGCCTGTCTAGTCTAAACAAAAAATCAGATTCCCATCAGGTGTATGTTCACTGTTAGGAGCAACTTTTGTTTCAGAAAGCACTAATCCGTAATCACGACATGCTTTTCTCTCCGTCAATGTGCCAAAACGCAGAAATACGCATTTTTCACGATTTAATTACGCGCGTCAAATTAAAAGTATAAATTAAGTAAAACCGCGTCTTAAACAAAGAATTTGAATCTAGGACACCAAGAAAATATGAAATACATTTAAGCTACTTTGTTAGTTTAAGCCAAACTAAAATTTGCTTTGTGGGCTAAAATATCCGTCTAAATGCTTACTCTCTGAGCTGAAGTAAATATTCTCTTGGACTGAGGTTGAGCATTTTTATGTAGGAATTCCCCGAGTTCCCATCCTTCGTTAGAAATACATGAATCATTATTTAATTTTAAATGTTGTTAAGATAAACTTGATATTTTCTACCTCAAATCCTTCATCCTCCTCTGGGCTCTCCCTGACCACCTGGTTATATTTCTGTTTACGGGGTTTTAAATGAACTCCTTCATCAGATACATCAAAATGTTAATGACCCGAGTTAACCAAAACAGAAACTTTTGAAGATGAAAGAAATTAGTGCCTGAAATAATTCTTCTAGAAAAGTATATTTTTAAAACTCCAATGTGGGTTTTTACCAAAATAAGCCGGTTATAGAATAATAAAAATATTTGCTTTTCATGCAGAGCTATCTTTTTAGATAATTTTCTATTATTAAAAAACCCATGGTTTTAATATTAAATCTGGAATGTTGGCAATTTGCTTATTTTCAACATTACAGAAAGTTGGTGTAAATTGTACACCAAGAATTAAAACTGTGTATATTAAAATATCGTTTATAAAAAATTGTTATTATGAATTCAGTTCCATTTTGTTTGAATTCCTGTCTTTTTGAAATATTTTCCAGTTTCAAATATTTCTCTATGAAGTATATTTGCCCATCTTTTCTCTTGCTTGGACCAATCGTCTTTCCCTTTATAAATCCAGAATTTCAAATATTTATCATTCCTTTTAGAATAATGTCTTCTACCCCCTGACCCCCCCCCCCCTATATTAGTTCAATTTTCCTGCTACGTTAGTGAGAAATCAGAGTAATTAATATTTCCCCGAAGTAATTGAAAGAATCTGGAAAATGATTATTATTAGAAAGATAAGAAATTTATAAAATGAAGAGGATCAAATAAAAGAAAAATTCTAAACTAGAAACTGTTGAAGGAAAAAGAGATGTAATATGTAAATTCTTGCATATTAATTCCCAAAGTTCCCCTCAAACAAAGCTTCCAAAAATGTTGAAATAAGGGAAACGTACTTGTTTGCTAAACCAAAATCAGTGACCAAGGAACGGATTACTTTCCTCCAAGTATAATTTTTTCAAAGCCTTATATATTTGCAACCCATGCTGTCGTAGATCGTGATATTTCAAACAACGACTTCTGCCACCAGGTTTCAAAGATAAAGGAATGAGAACAATATTGAGGCGAATGTTTAGTTCATATGTCGAATTTAATAAAGATCAATATGTTTATTTATTTTCCATTAGTGGCCTTATCTCTGTATCTATGTATCTCTGTTTTCTGTAGAAAGTAAGAAGTTAACCCTGGGCTAGCAAATCGCAAGGTCGGAGCAAAACTGCACAAATCTTTAAAAATGAGTATTTTTATTCTGAAATTCACCACTTAGTCCGCCTTTAGATTTTCTTGGCATTTGTTAACAATCTGAAAACACGTTCTTTCACAGTTTACAAAGTATTTCAACTCCAAACCAACTAAAAGATTTCATTTTTTTGGTTGAAGTTTTTATTGCTTTTCTGATAAAAACGTTCTGTAATTTAATCATTAACTTTGGGTTTATGATGGGTTTAAAGAGCAGCTAATACAAATATTTTTAAGTTAGGAAGAAAAGAGAGGTAGGGGAAGGGGGGGGGGCTGATGTGTTATGAGTATTGTATATCACTGTATAAACACTGCATGAACTAAGCCTATAGAAAAGGAAATGAGTCTTTGTCAAAAACTCTGATCTTCTAATTCCTATATCTCAGCAACCTAATGTTGTAGACCTTAGAAATTTTAAAGTATGAGCTCTGTTGGATTAAAATATGAAAGGTTTACACCATCAGTTTTCAAAGATATAGAGATTATAAAATTTTAGTCTATGAGAAATACTCAATTTCTTTAGAAATATATGAGATATACTATTTTACTGCAACCATTTTATGAGATAATTTTGTGAAAATGTTTTAACGCTTTCAGCTTTTTCCATGATTTATATTCTCTGTTTAAAGTTTAAACATAAAATATCAAAAATCGAATTTTAATATTCTAAATAAAAAACTTGAATATCAAATAAGTAAATGGTTATTTTAAAATGATATTTAAAGTGTATAATGTTGAAATACTTTGGTGTCCCTGAATGTCCCTTAATAACTAATAATGGATGGAGAGGGTGGAATAGTATAAATCAAGATATAAATAAGAACTAAGAATGGATGGAGCGGGTGGAACAGTATGAATCAAGGTATGAATAAGAACTAAGAATGGATGGAGCGGGTGGAATAGTATGAATCAAGATATGAATAAGAACTGAATGGATGGAACGGGTGGAATAGTATGAATCAAGATATGAATAAGAACTGAATGGATGGAGCGGGTGGAATAGTATGAATCAAGGTATGAAAAAGAACTAAGAATGGATGGAGCGGGTGGAACAGTATGAATCAAGATATGAATAAGAACTAAGAAGGGATGGAACGGGTGGAATAGTATAAATCAAGGTATGAATAAGAACTAAGAAGGGATGGAGCGGGTGGAATAGTATGAATCAATGTATGAATAAGAACTGAATGAATGGAGCGGGTGGAATAGTATGAATCAAGATATGAATAAGAACTAAGAATGGATGGAACGGGTGGAATAGTATAAATCAAGGTATGAATAAGAACTAAGAATGGATGGAGCGGGTGGAATAGTATAGATCAAGGTATGAATAAGAACTGAATGGATGGAGCGGGTGGAACAGTATGAATCAAGATATGAATAAGAACTAAGAATGGATGGAACGGGTGGAATATCATGAATCAAGATATGAATAAGAACTGAATGGATGGAGCGGGTGGAATATCATGAATAAGAACTATGAACAAGAACTAAGATTGGATGACGTGAGTTGAAGGAATCAGGTTATGAATAAAAACACATGTTTAGTGTATATTGTGTAAACTGAACTACAGTATCTCCCTCAGTAGAAAGCCTAGAACTAAAGTTCTCAATCTAGATTTTCATTGAAGTAAAACAACTTTCGTCCAAATATATCCTGGGTAGAGTCTACACAGAATATAAAATCAAGTGGAGTAAATACAACTTTGAAATATAAAGTAAATAAAACTATTTTTAAGACATTGCTTTCACATACATCCATACACGTTACACATTACACAAGACAAATTTTTGTAATTTGTAATTTGTAATTGTAATTGACTATTGCACAAGATTTAAGTCTGTTTAAAATGTCCTTAAGTGGAAATAACTGCACTTTAGTTTGTTATTTCTTAGGCGAAATGTGCAAAAACTTAATTTACTTTAAAATCCCTTTTCGTTATTTAATTTCATTATCTGCTTGTATATTGTTAGATTTACTAACGCTTGTAATCTAAGTTTGAGGGAATATTACTATAGGGTTTACTTTCTAAAGAGAAATAGAAGAAATTCTGTAAAAAAAAAGTATCCATCTAGAGAGGAAAAGCTTTAAAGTTGAAGTGCAAATGTTCTTATTTTAAGGGGGGGGGGGGATAATAAAGTTTTCATTCGAAATATCTTCAAAGTAATTTTCTATTTTTTTCTGGAAGAATTCTGTGAGAGTTGCTAAGCACCAATTATTTTCTAAATTTCTTTATTTTGTAATTTAACGACATCCAGATAACCTGGTCTTCTTCCTTATTAGTGTTCCTTTTCCTACAGGGTGTCCCAATAAATATGGGAATCAAGCGACGAGGGATAGAGCATTACAAAATTTGGTATACATTTTTTTGAAGTTTGACGATTTCCTTTTTATAACAAATTGAAACTGGGTAAAAAAATTCTTCATAACTCCATTGGATTCAAAGGTACAAAACAGGTAGACCACATTTTGGAAATCCCAAGAACAGTAGATAGAATATGGAATTTATTGTTTTTGTGTATTATTTGAATTATTCAATTCAAGAATGAATTAAAATAAAAGACTATTGTATACGTTGTCACCAAATTATTATGTTTATTGGAACCCTCTGAAGTTCTCAAGTATTCCCTGTCGAGAATACTAAGCCACAGAATCAGTTAAAGTTAGAATAAACTTTGGAAAACTTTTTTCTCATTCTTTCTGTTTATTCATCCATTAATTCATCCTTAAGCAACTCCATACTATTTATTATTCCCCTAACAACAGTTTTCTTTTCTCAAGTCATAACAATAACATCTAGAAGTGTAAACAAACACTGAATCTTATGTACTTATGTACATAGTATGTACAGGGTGTAAAAAGACATATAATTGGAAATAGCTCTAAATCTAACTACAAAAATAGTTAGTTTCAAGCATAAAGATTAAGAGTATTTGTAAAAAGCAACGAGGTTATAGTGTATAGAGTGATGATGTACGCTAATCCTTTAATAATTGTATAGGCTATCAACTATACCGAGAGCATGCTACATATTTGTTTATTTTATTGTTTCTGGCATAACCTATAGTATATCAATATAAGTAAACAGTTGAAAGTGTACAGTACAGCTAACTGAGCACACAGGTGGAGAACTATCACCCCCCTGGTAACAACGCTAAATATACCGAATATACTTCTATTTATCAACTCTTGGTCGGTATATTTATATGAATATACAAATATTTTTACATTATATATTTGCATATACTTATATACCGTGATATATACTGAGTATTGTATATTATTGTGTTGAGTATATAATTAATGTATTGGCTAGTATAGACTGTATTTTGAATTCCCAGTAGTGCATACACAAATTGGTATGTATGTTATTATGTATAAAATACATATATATACATACACACACACACAAACATGAACGGGCATATCATAATTATAATTCTGTACTGTATATACATTGTAATATTATGTACAATGTACAGTGTAAATGCTTTACATCTATAGTATATACATTGACTGTACATCTATAACGTTACATAATAAGGTTTAGAAGAATAATACAGACTTATATAAAGGTTCGGTCGATCAACTTAAGATAGAAAATAATGTATTTCAAATCAAATTCTGAACATTTTTTTACTCAACTTTAAAACTTTAAACATTTTATTTTCGATGAGCTAACTGGATTGAAATATTAAAACACTAAGATCGAAGTGATGAAATAAAAAAATAAAAAGGTACTTACATTTTATACTTGTTTGTTACACTCGTCATATTTATTTCTAATTCCTGCCGAGCCTTTCCATTCACGGTTCCAAGGTACCTTAATTTAGAGTATTATTAAATTATTAAATTATTAAATTATTAAATTATCAAATTATCATTCAATTAAAATTTAAAATGAATATTGAAAAAGCAAGAAAAATTTACAAAGGTTTCGGATTGCTTATAATATTTGCTTTGAATAGAATTTGTGAGATTCAATCTATGTAAAGGGCCGGTCATCCACATAATATTGGATCGTGAATTGCTCTCTAAACTACGATTTCAAGAATATTTAAAGAATGAATCATCTAATAAATTTGTAAAGGCTAATATGAAAATCGACATGAAGAAAATACAAGATTTTATGAGTATTCAGTGCGTATAGTTAGTTCGGAGTTAAAGCAACTTGTGATAATCCAATATAGAATGATGGGCAGCTTAAAGAATTAGTAAATCTTTCTCCGAATTTTGCTCTCATTTGACACACAGAAAAAAAACAGAAACCTACTACGCAAAGTATGTACTGTACTTTTCGTAGATGCTTCTACCGCGTATGAATGGGAGGATCTCGAAAAAACGCATTAAAAAATAGCTTTTGTTAAAGCTAGTTTTCTGAAAAAGTCATTTAGAAGCATGAATATTCAATATAAACTATCTGTCTATCCTGTCTTACTAAAACATTAAAAGGTGTTTTGTCCTAAATTCTATTGTTTTAATCTCCTCCCACTAAAGTACGCATATATATTTGACGCATTGGATTTAGAGATTTTTTTAATTTGGTATATTTTCATCGCTATTGAACCTGCGTTTGTACTTTGTATGTAGTGTTGGCTGAGAAATGGGGTCATTTAGTTTTTATCTTGTTAGAAAGGTCGCATGTCAGAAATAGTTTTAACGTTTCTGTTTACCATTTATGTAAATCAAACGTAGTCTTAACGTTAAAAAAAAATCTGATTCAAGTGGTATACTTGTAATAGGTTTGTATAAAAATCTGATTCAAGTGGTATACTTGTAATAGGTTTGTATAAAAATTACGATAAGACCGAGAAAAGTAATTTTAAATTAACGGCAAATTACGTAAACGTAGATAAGTTATTATCAAAAAACGAATGGTTTCTTCAATAACGTTAAATAAACAAACAGTTTACGAACGAATTAAAAAAACATCATCACGTGCCCAGCCCTACATCAAGCTACACAACTCGCAGAAAAAACAATGGACATAAAGTTTTTGCTCTAATTGTAAAACTTGTAGCTAGTTTCAAACAATGTAGAGCATAAAATTCAAACAAGATTAGAGTACTTCGGCTTAATGGCATGCATTTGGAATTTTAAAAACAAGAGTAAACAAACAGAATATTTAATGAAACAGAAAATATAAAATCATTGAATAAAAAACATGTTAAAATATTGTTAATATAAGATAAGATAAAAAATGCTAAGTAGACTTAGAAAGTCCCAATGACATGAATCGTCTTTGATAAACAGCTGGCGTATATTTATCCTCGAATATTTTACTTAAAACAATTATCCATTATCCCGGGATTTCAAAATTCTGTTCAACATTTTTGCAATTGAAAATAACGAAAGATGTTTATAAATTCAGTTTTAATTCCAAAAGAAGGAAATTTTATATCTCAATCAAGATCAAAAAAGGTCGAAACCGATGTCATTTAACTCCTATTTTATTGTTTTTAAAAGAAGAGGGGGGGGGGTAACTGTAATGATTAAGTTTCTAATGATTGACCCACCTGATCACATTTTCTGACAGAATTACAACATCTTTATATTTTCCCTCCAAACCCCTCACCTCCTCCATTACTCCCTAAAATACAGAAAAATTAACGCAATTACTCAAAAATAAAAAAAAAAATCTTCTGGTTTGTATTTGATAACATTTTAAAAAGCAAATAGATAAAAAATATTCAGATTGTCAAATCAACTTTAATGAAGTTTGATTTTGCACGGTCTTGTCAATTAATACGATGACAAGACATATTTCTTATTTAACGTTTTAACAGCAAAAACTAAAAAGTTCATTTGATAACTGAAATAATTGGAAAATTCAAATTCATGTTTTCTGTTAATGTTTACAAAATTTACTTTAACAAAAATAAAGAAAGCTTAAATCGTATTTCTATTAAAAAAAAACGTGGTAAATCTGACAGTCTTTGCTCTAGACATTGGTGTGAAAATTAAAACTGACTTTGAAGAAACATGAAACAATATAATAAGATGATGATAATCTAAAGTTGATCCTATCAAATGTTTACCTTTAAAGCTTTCATTATGTCCGTCATTTGTTTGATGCTTGTAAAACTTGTTTCTATATTTGCAAACTTGTTGTGGTATTGGGCTAGCAAGGAATCAAATCCCTTGTATTTCGCATCAAAATCCTCCCACTGTAAAGCCAGGGTTGCAAGGTTTTCTTTCCTCTCCTTTAAATCAGCAATTATATTCTTCCAGCGCTGATTAATCCCAAGAAGCTGATCGGATATCTTATGCCGACTGATTGTGTCAGCGGAATTTTCCAGGGTTTTACCCTCTCCTGTCACTTGATCGAACTCAGGTTTCTTTCCAAGAACTGTTTTGATCTGAGCATCAACCTTCTGTATGCTCGTCTTCACACTGGACAAGGAGGAGGGACGCTCAGGGTCAAATGTGAGCATCTCAAGGACGGACGTAATCTTATCTATGCTCTCCTGGTACACCTTCCACTTCTTGATATTCTCCTCGAACTCCTTCTGCTTCACGTTGGCAGAGTTTAGCGTGTTCTTCACTAACTGAGTGAGGAACTCCTGTTCATGGTTAATCTTCTCCTGGTCGGTTTCTCCCAAGGAAGCCCAGATCCTGTTTGCTGTGTCGTGAATGCTGTGCAAGAGTTCTCGTAATCGTGTTTCCTCGCTAAAATATTTTTTATGTTCCTCCAGGTCTACTTCAAGGTTGTTAAAATCAACCCCAGAGTCGAAAGGTCGTAACTTGATCTGAGCTTCTTCAACCCAGTTGTTAAGACGCTCTACTAAGCTATCATATTGCAACCTAAATCAAAACTATTTCAACAACTCAATGCTATTTAATGAATATATTTTCTTATTTTTGCATTCACACCCCTTTCCTCTCCCCAAATCCCAAACCCCACATTAGTCTATAAAACCTCCTAAGTCTATAAAAATAACAAACCTTAAGTTTTTATTTTTGTCCAAATATATTCTTCTGGATTCTAGATCACGAGGTACAGTTTGTATGAGTGCTCCAGCTGAACTCAATAATTCAAATATTCTCGGAGAAAGGTCTGTTTCCTTCCTAGCAGCCTCGTTTACCACAATAATCTTCTCAATAGTCTCCATGACGGTATTGGTCAGCTCCTTATGCTTCAAGATGTGTGATTCAACATCCTCCACCGTAGTCTTCAGCAATGGTTGAGATTTAAACTCACATTCTTTTTCATTTATCCAGTCAATATAGTCCTCTAGCTCGGTAAACACCTTGTTATGCTCCGCAACTGATTTTATATGCTCATCTCGTTTCTTCTCAATGGCACGCTTTAGTGTGAGTATCTGAGTTTTTAAAGACTGTAGCTGTTGAGTGATCTGGTTTCTGTCTGCAGTTGAACCCTCGTTGGCTATCTGTTGACCTTTGTCTGATGCTAGAGCAAGCTGGGTCTCACAGTCCTTCAGCTTTGAGATAGAGTCTTCATATTTACTCACCTTCTCTAATGGCTGAATGCTTGATCTCTCAATCTCTTTTACCACCTCAGTATGCTTGATTATAAAGCTAGTAATTCCAGTGATCATAGTCATAAACTGATGACGTACAGTAATAAGGTTTCTAATCTTCAGCATTTGGTTTTCTATCGCCCCAATCAACTCTTCTTGCTGATTCAATAACGCCTTCAACTCATTTACGTTTGTTCCAGCATTCTTCTGCAGATCCTCCATCTGCACTTTGAAGTCTTTAAGATTGCTAAGAATCTTCTCATAAGCGTCAAGTACATCTTCTGCATCTTCTACCCTGTATCCAATGGGTTTATTTAGAAGTCTGATCTGTCTCTGAATTTCTGTGAGATGATTAACACTGTCTTCAATCTTTTGTGCAGTAAGCTTATAAATACTGATGTTTCTGACAAGATTCTCGATCTTGGCTTGAACAGTGTCTGCCACGTGATTCTGTTTATCACAAACATCATCCATCTGGGACTGCAGAATAATTCTGTCCGCATCACAAAGAGTATTCATAATTTCCTTTGCTTTTTCAAACACTTCAGTGACTCGTTCTCTGTTTTCTTCTTCATCCCTCTTTAGTTTTCTAAACTTGTTGTGGTGCTCATCAAGAATAGCAATGTTGATATTTCCTCTAACCTCCGTGGAAAGAATAGCATCTGCTTGATCCAACCAGGCAACACATTTATCAAATTCCATTTCAAACTCTCTCCGAGATTCAACCCTATCCTCTAAGTAAATAATTCTTTTCTTCATTCCTTCCTTGAGACTGGAGAGAAGAGAGTTTATTTCCTTGGAGTATTCATCAATTTGTTTCTTCATTGAATCATCTCCATTCTTCTGAAGGTTGATGATACCAAGCTTAACTTGAGATACCTTGGATTCCTCAAACTCTGAAACTTCATTTAAATCTTTTTTAATCCTTGCAACACGCTTCTCCACATCGTACGCCTTTAGCGGATCAAATTCAACTCCCCTGGTAAACTCTGAAGTTTTAATCCTAAGCCAGTTTTCTACATCACCAAAATCTGTTTTGAACTTTTTCTGGTAGTCTGAGCTATCTGTGAGTTGTTTAAGATTATCTTTAGCTAGGTTTGCCAAGTGTGAATGCTTAATACTAAGTTTTTCCAGTTTCCTCTTCAGCTCGCTACACTCACTTGACTCGAGATCAGAGGAGATAGTATCAATCTTGGTTTCGAAAGATTCAATCACCATAGACTTGTTATCAATCTCTTTTGTTAGAGCCTTGAGTTCCGACAAGCGATCTTCAAAACTAAGATTAGACCTTGTGTTCAACTCTTCTAGTTTATTTTCCATCCAAGCCTCTGCATCTGCAATATCCTGCTCGGTCGTCTTAAATCCAATCTGAGCCATCTCAACCAGCTGTTTCTTCCTCTCAATCCTCTTCTTAAAGTCAACCATCCTTCTCTCAACTGCTCTGGTTTGTTCCAGAACCTGCTGTTGGTCCATCTCTCCTACCTCTGCCAGAACATATTTAGATTTCTCTGCTAGGACAGTAGACCTCTCTATATTGTCTTCATAGTTTCTCACCAGTTCTAGTAGCTTCTCCATCCTTGTAGAACTGTTCATTTCATTGTTTTCATCTAGTTCTGTCAGATTCTTGCTGATGCTTTCAAACCATGTCTGTGAGTCCTGGTAATAAAACCTGAAATCCTCTACTACAGCCTGCTGGTTGTACCGCTTTTCCAGCAACATGGAGATGTGTTCGTCTAGAGTATCCAGAGCTATCTTCAGATCATAATCCTGAACCTCCTCCCTGCTTGCAATATCCTCCAAAACGGCCTGCTTCTCCAGCAAGGTCTGCTGCATGTCAGTGATCATATTTATCTCCATCTGTGCAGCATCAGGTCTAAATTTAGAGGGTCTAGTAAGAAAGTCAGCTACGCTGTTTTCAGTGGTTTCTATCCATCTGCTAAGTGAATCCTTCTGCTTTTGAATGTCACCAAATTCGTTCGCCTTAGAACCAAGCTCAGACATTCGCAGTTGAACCTAAGAATATGATTCTTTGTAAGATTTAATAAAATAATTGAGTCTTTGCCACAAACTCAAATTTTCTTATTTATATATATTCAACCTGATGGTGTGAACCTTTGATATTTTAAACTCAGATCATTTGATCTAACATAATTTATAGTATGAAATATCTAAGGTCTACGACATAGAATTGCAAAGGAATAGGAATGAGAAAATCAGAGTTTGGTGCAAAGACTTATTTCCTTCGTAAAATAAATTGGTGAAAAAAATCTAAATAAACAAACAACACTAAAAATCAAATCGAAAATGGTTTCATTATTTCAGATTTGAAGAATAAAACCATTCTCGATTCGAGCTAAGTAAAAAAAATGAATACTGTACAAAAGTCTACCTCATTGAGAAGCGTATCAAATCTCTCAATGATATTCCGTGTCTCTACTTGTTTAAGTAAAGCCTGTAATCTCTGTGAGTATGTTGAGTCTGCTCCAAGGGAAAGGTCCTGTAATATTAGTTGGATACCACACAAAAACAAACAAACAAACATTAGTTAACAGTTAACACTATTAATACTTGACATTGACACATCCGAAAAATAGCACAGAAAACTATTGGAACAGTAGACCATTCGAACAGTAGACTATTCACACAGTAGACTATTGGAACAGTAGACTATTGGAACAGAGACCATTCGAACAGTAGACTATTAAAACAGTAGACTATTAGAACAGTAGACTATTGGAACAGTAGACTATTATAACAGTAGACTATTAGAACAGTAGACTATTAGAACAGTAGACTATTAGAACAGTAGACTATTAGTGCAGTAGACTATTAGAACACTAGACTATTAGAGCAGTAGACTATTATAACAGATGACTATTATAAGAGTAGAATATTATAACACTAGACTTTAAGAACGGTAGACTATCATATAATAGTATTCTATTCTATACTAATGTTAGTATTCTATTCTATACTAATGTATTCTATTCTATTCTGACGGTTTCAGAGTAGAAAGTTATTAGAAAAGGGGTCTTTACTAGAAGATTATTTGAACCAGAAAAGAATACAAAGAAAGTGGGGAAGAGATTGCAAAGTGCAACATTTCAAAGGGATAGTTTAGGATACATTTCTTGATTAAAAACTAGGAATGTGATGTGTTTACGGTTTAGAGAAAAAGAAAGAAAACTTTTCAACAAATATCTAATAAAAGGGGATTTTCAAATATAGCAATAAAGAAAATAGCTATGAGATTGAATTACATCTTTAACAGAACATATTTTAAATACATATCTTGGCAAAAACTGAGGGAAAATTTTTATAAACCACAATTTTGAAAGTGTTGAGAAAAACTGAATTTTTCCGTCACTAGTGTTCCCCAATCTCCCCCCCCCCCCAAAAAAAAAAATATATATTTATTAAATTTACTTATTGACATTGTTATCATATATTTAAATATGAATATATATAAATATGTAGCCGACCCATTGCTTACTATCATAAAACCCGTAAGATTTTTTTCAGAATTAGAATTTACAAAAAATTAGCCGCCCTCCCTCCCTTCTTGGTCTGCAAGAAGGATGCATGTCGAGGAGGAAGACGAAAAGTAAATAAATGAGAATGTCTCAATTTCCTCGGTTTAAAGGTGATAAAGTTAGAATCACACAGATTTTAAAGAAATAAAATGCACTAGCTAGTAGCTAAGCTTCGAACACTAAAACGTCAAAATAGGAAAAATAAAAAAAGATTACGGTTAACATTCATAACAGAAAACAACAAAAAATTGGGATTTTCGGGCAAAGGTTAAAATCAGGCGTGGTAGGTAAAAAATTAGCTTGCCTTGAATTATGAACAATGTACATATATATATATATTTTCTTAAAAATTCAATTACCCACTGTTCAGAATTTGCACGTAGCAAAAATAATCTTGTTATTTAGAGAAAAAAGCTATTTTTTGAAGGGGCGGAAAGGAGTTGAGTCTTTGCCACAAACTCTGAATTTTTAATCCCTATATCTTTAGAACCCAATGTCGTAGACCTCAGATATTTCAAACTATGAATTGTGTTAGTTCAAATGATCTAAGTCTGAAATATAAAAGGTTTACACCATTAGGTTGGCAAGATTTAAGTATTAAAAAATTTGAGTTTGTGACAAAAACTCAATTCCTTTCCCCGTTGGTTTTTAATCCAATACCGCAAAAAATCATCTCACCCCCCCCCCCCTCTCCCATCGTCAAAGGAAATGGGGGGAACTATATACCTCTTATGTACACTGTACACTTTACATTATACCGTCCTTGTATGATAATGTATATACATTATTAACATTATACAAACCCGTCTATGAAAAACAGAAAGTTGACGAACCTGATCAATAAGATCCTCTAGAACCTGCCTAGTTTCTGTCTCTCTCTGTGTATTCACCTCCTCTAGAGGAGTAGTTGGTCTGGAGATACAAGCTGTAGCCGCCTCACAAGCCTTAACATTTATAAATAGAATTAGAAAATAAACTTGTACTGTGAAATAAATGAATAATTAAAAAAGCAGTAAACAAAGATTTTAAATTGCTTTAAAAGAAGCTGGTATCCAATTCTGTGTTCGCCTGCGTTCAGGGTAAGATACCCCAAACTATATATAACAATATTTAACCCTGAATTTCTTTATAATCTTATACGTTAAACACCACGAAGTTCTGGTATATAGAGTGATGATGTACGCTAATCCTTTACTAATTGTACAGGCTAGGTCAATCTGCTTATTACAGTTCAGGGGTGATTTCTGAAAATATTTAAATAGAGAATTTGTTTTCCATGTAACTATTAAAATCCACTACTCCTTTATCGTGTGCAGGATTCCATTTTCACAGGAAGACAACTATTACAGTCCTTTACAGAGCAATATTTTATCATTAATAAACTGTTCTGAGAAAACTGAGTAAAATTCAAGATACAAAACCTCCTCATACACTTGTATTTCGAAAGCGTACTACATATTTGATATTTGTACTGTATGAATAGGCCATAATCTCAACATACAGGGTGTCCCACGAAACAAGACATTTAATAAATAGCTATTTTTTGTTAAACAAATCTTTTGCTTAATAACATTTTACTTTGAAATCAATTTTAATATAATATTTTTATTGATCTTTGGTATCAAACAACTTAACAAATTATGGAAAAAGACATTCTAAACTATTCACCAACTGTCATGTTTCGTGAGACACCCTGTACTTTATCAGTAAACTGTCCCAAATGTACACTCAGGCCAATACACACGGAGAGGTAGCTAAGATCCAGCCCCCCTGGTTAAACATTGGCTAATTAAATGTCGTTAAAAAATTATATTTTGAAAATAAAGAACATTTTTATTATTGTTCTTTTTTTCTTGTTAGGGGACTGAAACCAAACAGTCCTGCCTGGACCCGAGAAAATTTTTGCAAGAGCATTCTTACACAAAGGTGAAATACATGTTAAGTACTTTCTTAATACCTGAATGGCGGTAACAAGCCGAGATTTCTCATTCTGCAGCCGGTTGTGTATTCCCTGAAAAATAAAATAAAATTAAGCCAATTTTATTACTTAAACAAATACTTCTGCTTGGAGAAAATAGCTTTTTTTTAGTTCAAGAGGACTTTCTTAGAAAAAAAAAATATCCTAATCTCTTATTTATGTTTCTTTCTGTACAAAAGTATACTTTGTAAAATTCTATTAAAATCAGAAATGTCAAAGGAGGCGTTAATAAAAAGTGCCCTGCGGCTGCGATATCTTGAAAAACTTACATTGCAAAACACAAAACACATATGTTTTCTCTTTTAATACATTTCCACAAAATGTAAACTTGTTCCTTAATAGTAAGTTTGTTAAAAAAATTTGTTGGAATCTCTAGAATCTCACCCTGACATTTTCTAGCTCTAAGTTGACCGTCTCGAGTGTGAGAGCAGGTCTGGTTAACTGCTCCGCTATCTCAGGTTCCCATCTTCTAACATTCTCCAGAATACTCTCTAGTGTATCCTCGTATTCCTACAACATTTTAATAATTATATTTGTATTCAAGTACAAACCTTGAATACAAATATACAATTAACTTGGAAGTATTGTCCCTTCTTCTCATTAAAATATGTTTTTTAGTTGCAGATTGGTTGGACCTAAAGTAGTTGCAGAAACATTTGCCAAATTTTATCATTTAATGCAAAATCCGGGGGAAGAAAACTATGCTGAAATAGTATGTCGTCTTCTACGTGACTGTGCTAAAAACAGAGTACAGGGTTACCCGCAAAGAATGAGACTTCAGAGACGATTGTACGGATTTATACTGTCAGTTTCCTTAAATTTATTATTACCTGCAACAGTAAAATTCTTTCTTTATTCGCCAAATCATTTAATAAAACATTAAAAGACTATATTCAAGGTAGAAACTTGAAATACCCTTGGGATTTTCAAAATTTAAAGTTTTAGGTTGTCTTTATAGTATCATCCTTTGTAGGTAACCCTGCATATCTTAAATTTTAAGAAGAATAAGGAACTATTTAATTAGCCTAACATGCTTTTACTGCTTTAAAGGCAAAAAAACAAGGCGGTTTAAAATATTTTATACCTTGAATTTATCCAGTGAGTCGTTAAGTCTATTCTTAATCTGAACTCCAGTCTGTTGAAGGGAATTATAACTCTCCTGGAATATTATAAATAAAATCAATATCAATCTAATGTTCGTTTTTTAATATTTAATTTGAAATCTTCATGATCTCAAATACAACCATAGAGAATAGAATATATAGAGAGGAATTAAAAGAATCTCTCGGTATGAATTTTTTCAGTCCCTTTCAGCCTGAAAGGGAGTTTAAAGTGTACAAATCATGTAAATGTTCACAAATTATGTGCAGTAGAGTACATTAATACAGTATGTTCCCTATACTATCCATTTCAATTTCGAATTTTTTAAACTGTTAAATAAACTTTATAATGAATTAGGTGAATAAAAACATCATTTGATTTATATAGTTATAACGGAAAATCATCGTTTGTAAAGTGGAAGGCATAAAGATTATGTGAAATGATCATTGGTCAATTATGAAACCAGCCTATTTCATAATTTGGTTTTCTTTTAACAATAATTTTAGATTTTCTATAAAATGATATTCCCGGGCCCAACAGGTTATATAGCATAAATATGTGAAGTACACCTGCAGTATGGAAACAGTACAACAAAATGGCCGTTTTACACTTTTTTCTAGTAAATTCCTCTCTATATATTCTATTCTCTATGAATACAACTCTTGGTAAAAAGTATTTTTTTCTCCCTAATAAAAAAATAACAAAGTCGCAAAGCCGTAAATGAAATTCGGAATAAAATAACTTTTCTTTCTGTTGAAATTAAATTAAGGATTTTAGATGTCATAACTATATCTACACTATATACTATTCTCCTATCTTTGATAAATCAACAATGAGACTTTTAATTGTAAGTTTCAAAATGAACTGTTCATTTCGTTGATAATTTGTAAATTTATTTTTTACATAAATATATTGAATAAATAAAGTTCTCACAATTACTCCTAATAGTACGATGAATTGATAATATTGGGTATAAACCACTAAGTTAGGTTTACCTGCATATTCTGGTGCTGTTTCTCAATAGTTTGTTGAATATCTGGGTTAGTGTGTTTATATCTAAACACAAAACCAATTGATCTTGTGAGATTTAAGCTTAAAAACTATATGAAAACTTTAGAATTGTGAAAATCGAGATCAATGCTTTGTCACCTTTTTTTATTAACCTTAAGATTATTTTAATCTTTATCCAGGACAGTTTTGAAATTTAACTAATCAGAATGGTGGATGCAGAATCCCAAACAAGCATGTTTGTAAGAAAATAAACTTAAAAATAATTTTAAAATTAAACATTTGGTAAAAGAAATTAAATTTTTGTTTACAGTTAGATTTGTGTTCCTGGCTATCTGTGAGTTGCCAAGATTTCTAACAGTATCTAAACTGCTCTGGAACTTGTTTATCTGATCCAGAAGAACCTGGTGCTGTCCTAGCTGCTCCTGAGTTTGCTCCCTACAATTACAAAGTTAATAATAATTGTAGAAAATAAAAAAAATAATTTTCTTAAGGAGACTGTGATGGTGATTTTTAGCACCCAGGGAGCAAGGAATAGAAGGGAGAGACAACTGACGCGGTTCGCCCTACCATATGATTATACATGCTTTGCAGACGGTACGAGCTGTTTGGTTTCTTTAGTAGGGCCCTACAGGAAAAATATGTATTGGAGAAACTGGTGAAAGAAAATTGAGCCAATACATATTTTTCCTGTGGGGCCCTACTAAAAAATCAAACAGCTCGATATAAAATGGAGTACCGTCTGCAAAGCATGTATAATCATATGGTAGGGCGAACCGCGTCAGTTGTCTCTCCCTTCTATTCCTTGCTCCCTGATAACACCCCTCCCTTTATAGAGTAGCATGTCCTATTCGCAATGGCACCAAATAAATATCGGATAATCGACGACGGAAAATGTTGCGCAAACTGTAATTGTATACTGGAGTGTACAATATGTACAGCGTGAACTATATTTGAATAATGGAGTGAACAATATGTACAGCGTGAAATATAATTGAATACTTGAGTGTACAATATGTACAGCGTGAACTATAATTGAATACTGGAGTGTACAATATGTACAGCGCAAACTTCTCGCAAATGACTTTACACGAAAATCTCGAGTATTAAAATAATTTGAATGAAAAAAATAAATTTCCTGCGATTCAGAAATTGAATAATAATATTTTTAAACCCCTTCAATAATTTACCTTGTTGTAATGTACAAGCTGTTGTGTGCCATGAGTTGAAATGAAATCTGTAGAAGCCACTTTTCCGTCTCTTGCATCTGATGGTGGTAGGAATTGTACTCTTCCATCTCCTTTTCAACATTGGTCATAACAATCTGGCATTGATCAAAAAACATTGTCAGCCTCTCTTCTAACTTCAAGAACTCTTTATACACACTTTCATCTTCAGCCTGGTTGGAGAGTTCCCTAGCCTCCTCCTTGATGCTCATCATCACCTGCTGCTTCTTCTTTATCTCATCGAGAATATACTTTTTCTTCTGCAGGGTCGTCTTCATCTCTCCCAACTGTCCCCTGGAGTCTAGAACCTCGTTATTGGTAGATTCTGTATCAGAGAGCCAAGTAGAAATCTCCTTGACTGTGTCATAGTAAATATCCCAGCGTTGAACAGCGCTCTTCATTACAGACAGCTGGCTGTTTATTAACATATTCAAGGAATCGTAATTTTTTTTCATTTCCGATATATCTGCTTTCATATCTGACTGATGAGCTTCGCCTACAGAGGAAATCACTCTAGATAGGTTCTCAGAAGTACAATTTATCAGATGCTGACCTTCAGTCATTCTTGAGGCAACATTTTTAATTAATTCAGTTCTTTGCTTTACATCCTGTGCATTTCCATTAGGATTAATAGAATCCTGCACGGTTCCCAGGGCGATACTGTACCATTCTTCAAAGTCTTCTTTGGCCCTGGCAAACCCTGTATGATCAGACATAGATTGTTCAGCCCTGTTGACTAAAGATTGCGAAGTTGTATAGAGGTTGGTGTATGCTGCTTGTGCATTCACAGTCTCATCTCTAACCTCTTCCAGAGAACAGTATTCCATTAAGATTTCACATTTGTCATTCATGGCTTCCATGTCATATTTCTGTTTGTTTGCTTCTTTTAATAACTCTCTCCTTCGTTCTAGGTCCTGCATAGTCTTATCTCCAGACTTCTGCTCTTTTTCTAATTTTGTCTGAAATTGTGAGATCCAAGAAGACATGGTTGATTGACACTTCTCAAACTCCTGCCAGGAATCAACACATTTCTTCATGGTTTTCTGATATTGTCGAGCCTGATTTCTTGTCTGATCCCAATCATATCTAAGCTGATAATCCTCCTGCTTGATAATATCTTTACCTTCATCTCCACTTGTATCAGAAGCTGCAGTGCTGTATCTTCCAACATTTCTGAGCAATGTATCTCCTTCAGGGAAATCATCTATAATCCTGGCCAACTTTGATTCCTTCTCAATAGCAGCCAGCTTGTTTCCATTTGGATTTCCAAATTCTTGTAAGTTCTGTTTAACCTTTCGAATGTAGTCAAGAGCCTCATTGTATGTTTCCTTGTAAGAATCATGAATTTGAACATGTTCACTCAAAGTTTTAATCATTTTGTCCACTTTTTCTTTTAGCACAGTAAATCTATTGATTGAAGCTGAATATTCAATGTTGGGAATATTAGGATGGTCGGCTATCTTAGCCTTTAGTTTGTTAACTGTTAAACTGTATGAAGCAATGTCCTTCTCAATAGTTTTATATTTTTCAAGACTAGCACGCTTTTCTCCCAGATCATTGAAAAGTTCATTCTCTGTTTTAACCTTGTTTTCAGTATCATCAAGCCATTCGTTCAATAGTTTGTTGGATTTTGTTAGATCCCCCAGGAGGTCAAACCTACTATTCAGATTATTCTTAACTTCATGAACCTCATTCATCAGACTCTCAAAATCTTGTTTTAGACCGGATATTTGAGTTTCAATGGTTTCAACTCCGGAAGGGTCTGTATTCATGATTACCCTCTCTTTTAGATCCTGCAAGTATCTTAGTTTATTCTGACCCTGTTCCATAAAAGTTCTAATCTCCTTGACACCATTAAGCTTTTCCTCCAATTCAGAATGAGTATTTTTGGATTGTTTATGAGTATTTAAGGTGCTTCTGGTTGAATTTATCCAGGATTTGAAATCATTTGCTAAAGCATCTTGTTGATTATGTTCCTGATATTGTATCTCTAGTCTTCTGACAACTTCCTTAGCCAATGAGAGAAGAGCTTGATACTTAGTTGTCAACTGTGTCACAGCATTGGATACCCTAGAATCTGCACAGTTCTCTAATAACATCTGACCTTTCTTATTCAAAATATCCAATTCCTTTTGCCATTCAAAAATAGACTGTAATTTCACTTGGAACTCTTCCAGTGTACTTCTTTTCTCCTGTGATGTTTTCTTGGACTTATTAAAACTCTTGACAGCTACCTCAGTTTTATCAATCCACTCCAAGGCTTCCTGATACAGCTCCTGGTAATCTGTCCATTTGACAATACCTCCCTCCAAGATAGATTTACACCTAACAAGATCTTCAGAGTACTGATCATATTCATCTTGAAGGTATGCAACTTCCTCTTCAATAATTGCCTGGTCATCCTCCCAGGCATACCTACATGCTTCAGCCGCTGCTCTTAAAGCTTTCTCTAACTTCTCCTCTCCAAGCTTTTTATCAGCTGTCAGAACTTTAAGTTGTGAGGACTTACTGGCCAGTGAATCCTTATCTCCGGTTGCTTCTGAACATTTATCAAGCTTTTCTTGTGATATCTTGAGCCAGGTCATAAACTCATTTCCTGCATCCATGAACTGTTCATGCTTCTCAACCATTTCCTTTTCTTTGTCATACATTTCCTGAGCTTGCTTAGACAAGCTCTGATACTTACTAGTTAAATCTGAGACTGGAGTCTCACTACTTTGTGAAGCAACAGTCTGAATCATTGGTTCGAATGCTTGAATATCCTGAAGAATACTATTGGTTCTTCTTAATGTTGCCTGCCTTTCACTTACAGACAATGTTGATATTCCAAGAGTGCTTCTACGTGTAATCATTACAGTTCGCTGCTGGGAGACTTGTTGAAGTCTGGATTCTCTGTCTGTGATCCATTCTTGTAATTTAGACATATTCTGCTGAGTATTTGACCATTGTAGAAGATCAGTCTCAATTGTTACCTTAGCAGTGGACATTTTCTTAAGCAGTTTCTCCCAGTCCGCCTGGAGGACATGAAGGGTACTATTGATTTTTTCTTTGCCATCTGACCTTGTATTCCTGCAAGCTTTCTCTCCCCAATCTATAGCAGCATGCAGATACTTTTGCCCCTCCTCTTGATCGACAATTAACTGGCGCAGCCTGTCAAGTTGGCCATGAAGATCCTCTTTAGATTTTCCTTCAGAATTCTGGTTTCCACGAATAACTTTCCAGGCACCCTCAATCCAGTTCTTTGCTTTCTTAGTGTTTTGTTCAAACTCAAAATGTTGATCATAAATGTTTTCACACTTTTTAAGAATATCAGATGCAAGACAACAGGTCATCTGGTATTTATTCATTGTTTCTTTAAGCTGATTAGAAACATTTGCTTCAAGACATGTTCCTTTCATCTGGTCTGCCATTTCACTGTATTTGTCTATTTCTCGTTTTCCAGCTATCATTCTTTTGTTTAGCTCATTCATATCCTTTACTGCCTTCTCCTTCTCTTCAATGTTTGAGAATAGGGAAGTTTTTGTTGCTTTAATATTGATATCCGCTTGCTGGAGCCAATCAGAAAGTCGTTCTGTTTCTTCCTTAAAGTCTCTGAACACATTCATCACTTTGTTCATTTGTTCTCTTTGTTTTTTAATGTCAGCATAGAGCATGTTGAAGCTTTCGATCATAGAAATGACTTCCTTCTTGATTCCTGACTTGCCAGGCTCTGCTGTAACAGCAGCAAGTACATCTCCTGTTTGCTGGAGCTGTTCAGCTAGAATCTGCCCCTGAGCCTCCTTGTTTATAAGATGGTCTAGAGCTTGAGTAACAGCTTCAACGAAGTTCTTGTCATTTGGTGATCTTTGTCTCATTGTATGAACTTTATCCCTACAACGCTGTATATAGAGAGCTAGATTTTCTTGAGCAGCTCTAAATCCTTTATGATCTTTAAACTGTAATTCTCTTTCATTTAGAAGTACTTTTATTTCATTTCCTAGAGAATCAAACATGGCAATTACAGATCTGGCATCCTCGGCAGATTTTTTCTGCTGACCAGAGGACAACATTTTCTCAGCAATACGTCTGAGATTATCAACTTCTATCTGCTCAATTCGGATTTTTTCATCCAAGTTCCTAAGAGTATCAATCTGGGCTCTCTTCTCATTTGACTGAGCTTTAATGGGTGCAACATCCCTGAACATTTTTTCCAAGTTTTGTGTGAAGTTTCTAAGCTGGTTTATCTGATCTAGGAACCCAGACCACTTACTAATTGAATCATCAACAGCAACCCTACTTTCCCCTAATCTGGTGACTAGTTCACTCCAGCTTTGTTTAAGATCATCCATGTCCTTGCAGATCTGAGCATGACCACTGGCAGCAGTGTTGGCCAAAACATTCTGCGACAATTCAACCAGATTTTGCACACTTATATAACCATCATCCTTCTGCAAGATCAGTTCATTAATGACACCAATTTTGGATTCTATATCCTGTTGGGAAAGCATGTTCATATCAAGAGACTGAGACAGCTTTTCGTTGATGTCTTGAATCCAAATTCTACATTCTTTCAGCTTTTCTTCATAATCCCTGTGTGAAGTGACATACTGTTGCCATTTAATATTTAGATCCTTTATTTTTGTTGAAACATTCTGATATTTAACAGACAACTCTGTGAGTTGAGAGTTTCTCATTGAATGCTCCTTGTGCAGCTGCTGAGCACGTTCTGTAACAGCATCTATCTCAAGTTCCTTTGCTCTCACTTCACCCTGGAGACATTTCAAGGTTTCCAGTTGGGAACATTTCTCCGTCAGGCTTGATCTTAAATCAAAAGCATGTAGTTTGGTGTCTGTTTCACGTAGCCAAGATAAGCATTTCTCTCTCATGTTTTCATATTCCTGCCATTGTTTTATCTTTGATTCCAAACTTTCAATTGTAGTTTGTACAGTTGAGAGAAGTCCTTGCCACTCCTGACAGGTGGAGTCTATATGGGTTCTTACATTGATCTGTCCTGTCTCAAGTGTTCCAGGAAGAACTTTCTCTCCGCAACTTCTTAGGTTTTCAACCTTATCCTCCTCCTGGGGTAGAGAAACTTGTAGGTTCTTTAATCTTTCCAGGTTTGCATGAAGACTCAGTCTTTCCAGAGTATTGTCTCCCCACATCTCAACAGTGTTAGCTGTAGCAGTCAACCAATCAGAAACATCCATCACAGCTTTGGTGTACTGATAGTGATCATTCACTATTCTTTCATATTCTTCTACATTTGCCATTGCCTTCCTGAGAATATCAGCATGCTTCAACTCTACAGAACTGATGAATCCCTCAACTTTGTCGGATTTTTCAGGGAGGTATCTTGACTTCTCTTTAAGATCCTCGAGCACTGGTTTTTGGGATCTGATATCCTGGAGTAGTGTTCTATAGTGCTGGAGTTGGGCTTTCTTCTCATCAAGTGTAGTTTTCAGCTGCAGTTCACCTTTCAGCTGTTCCTGAACCTCAACCAACCACCTAATATAAATGAATAAAGTAATTGAGTTTTTGCCACAAACTCAAATTTTCTTATTCATTTATCTTTGCAACATAAAGTTGTAAATCTTTGAAATTTCAAACTAAGATTATTTTATTTTAAAAAATCATAGTTTGTAATATCTCAGCAGGTCTACAACATTGAATTGCAAAGAAATAAGGATTAGAAAATCAGAGTTTGTGACAGACTCAATTCCTTTTTAGGACTTTCAAAGCACTAGTGTATATAATATATATATTATCATTATTATCCCAATTATTTTTGCAATATTTATGTATCAGGGTAAATATTAAATAACCTGTTAAAGGTAGAACTGCTTTCTTCATAACCAGTCCATTTAACCAACTTTGTTTGGAGCTCTCGCTCTAACCTGATATATTTTATAAATCAAATATTTCCAGTTCTAGAGAAAAAATATATAATTTGTATTAAACCTTAAAGGAGACAACTATAAGAACATTGTCTTATTTTTTAATTATTTACAACTACTTTACAGAAAAGTAAGGGAATTTTACTTTACCAAGGGTTCCCAAGACCAATTGTTGGCAAAATTGGTTGAGAGAACCTGTGGTTAAGAACATTTTTTTTATTTCCCGAAAAAGTAGTTGTACACAATTTTATCGCATTTTCAGATATAATGCGCGAACTTTTTATGAAAATTTTGCAGAACGGCTCATTTTACTTAATTGTCCCAAGTGACGTAAAGTAACATAACGTCCCTCTGTTGGGGGAATCATGGGTTGGTAATCTTGGTCAAAGGGCTGTAAAAATAATTACAGACTGTAAATAGCCCAACCTGGCAGGATTAAATTGGTACAATCAATAAATAATAATAAAAGTTTAGTAAACGGTATCAAACTACCTTTCAATTCGTTTCATATCAAAGTATTGGTGTTTGTAAATCTAAGAAACAATGATGTCAGTACTAGGAATTTAAATAGCAATACTTGGAATTCAAGTGATGTAATTTATTTACTCTGCAACTGAGAATTGAAAGCAACCTTTACCTTATAGGTTAAGATATAGGTTTTAAATGGGGAATCATTGAGGCATTTGCTCTTAATATTTTAGTAACATTGAAGAATAATATCCAACCTTTATTGTATTATTGATTAATTATATTGAAAGTATTTACCTTGAAACAGTATCAAAAATATCTTCTACTGAAGACTGTAAATCTTGAGCTTGAAGCCGAACTCCTTCCCTTCCTTCAGCTCCAGTAGTACTATACAGCCTCTCACCAGCTTCAAGGCATTGGTTGAGCAGCAGCATCGCTTCGTTCTTCTCCTCTAGTAGCTCGTCAACAATACTAGAATAAAAATTTATGTTTATTCTTTACACCTAATAATCCTGTAAATTAGGTTATTTCTGTAGAATTTTTTAGAGAGGAAGAGGAAATAAGGAATAAAAACTTTCATCTAATCAAACCTTTAAATTGTAGACAGAAAAATAAAGACCAAGTAAGAGAGAGTAAAAGAAAAGTGAGATTACAAAAAATCGTACTTGACGCCAAACTTTAATTGATTTAAACCAATTTCCTGGCCGTAGCTACTCAACTTGAAGCATTTAGCTAACCTAATCTTTTCCAGTATCTCCTCCCTGTTCCCTTGAACGTCTGAGTTCTTCTTGATCTTCTCCTCCGTCCTAGCCAGCCACTGAAGACAGTTTTGGTAACTGGTTTCATAATCCCGGTGCACCTGTACACCTTGCTCGCATTTCTTCAATATATCCTAAACAGGGTTAACAGTTTATATTAAATATCATGACAATGAAGAAGCATTTCATTCACTGCAGGTAGACGTTATAACGTGTCCTATTCACAACGTTAAACCTAAAAGCTTTGAATGAGATATCCATATTTCTGAGTTTTAAAAATATCACTGGTTTCTCTATAAAAGTTATAATGAAGGAATAAGTCACATTATTGATCCGATAAAGGTTTAAAGGGTACCATTGAGAATATGGCATGACCTAAAGGGGGGGGGGGAGGAGGACGTGTCACTTAAAACTATAACGAATATAATAAAAGTACCTTGACAGTAGCCTGCACTGTGTGATATCTTGAATTAATCTGTTGAACGTTCATTGATATCCTGGTCTCTCCTGAGAGCTGAGATATATCTGAACCGTCCTCGCTCAGCCGGTCAATTTCAGTTTCAGCGTGGCGCAGGTTCAGAACCAATGTCTAAAAATTAAATAATAGTTGCTGATTTAGGTAAAATAAATCAAAAAGTTCTAGATTATCTTCCTAATTTAAACACAAGATTATTAAATAATGATTAAAAAAAGCAAAAGGAAAACTTTTCTCGATCAAACTTAAAATCATCTTGTTAAACATAAAAATATCGAAGTTTTTGTGTGATTAATATTCAAAATAAATCAGATGGGTAATTTGTATCAATATTTAGAACTATTCAGATAAGACTTTTCTTGTAAGACAAATATTCTTTGTTTTGGGATGTTTATTATCTTCTTGTTTCTAAGGATTCTCAAGGGAATCATTGTTTAAATGCAATTTTAATTACTTTTCATGATCTGAGACTTACTTTTGAAAACATTTATTCCTGTTTCGAGGATTTTTGATAATGAAGACGACATTTTCATATTTTCCAGGAATGTTCGAAAATCCAGCGCCAGCGAAAATTATGTAAAGAAAAACAAAATCAAAAATATGATGAAATATCAACTATTTACGAATGCGTCGAAAAATAATCGATGACTACTGTTTGTAATATCTGAATGATTTGTTTGGAGTTAAATTGATTTGTTTACGATCCGAGTTGAATGTTGCATCTTTCCGAATTTGTATGGAGGCTGCGTTCTTCGGTGTGAGTCGTTTTTAATAATTTTCACCTTATAGACGCAACAGATAGAAGTAAGATTAGTAGCGATCAAAAGCGCTTTTTTATCGCATTAAGTCCATACCCCCTTTTATTTTTCGTGAACACTCCCTTTAATATGACATATTTATGAATGTGGTATTCACCTGTTCTAATTGGTCAGCTAGGTTTACAAAATCTTGAATATTTATTCCTCTAGACTCAACTATTCTCTTTGTGTCCTGGAATTTAGTTAATGTCTAATCTAGTTCCTAGTTTAGGTATTATTTATAACTGCTAATATTTATTAAACAAGTCTACCAGAAGAAACAATGGAATTGAGTTTTTCCTACAAACTCAAGTTTGTTAATCCCTATATCTTTGCAAAATAATAGTGTAAACCTTTGATATTTCAAACTTTGATGATTTGATCTAACGGAATTAATGGTTTGAAATATTAAAGGTTTTGACATGGGGTTGAAAACTAGAAAATCAGGTTTGTGGCAAAGATTCAATTTATTCCAAAAATATGTTAACATTGTTAACCATTGTATAATTTCCCTTGAAGTTGATTTAGAATAAAAAGACATTTTTAATTAAAAAATCGTGTCGTATAAAATTGCAATAGAATGTTTTTGATGTCTATTCTAGGTCCCAGCTTAAGTATATAAATTTGATATTTTCTAGTCTATAGTCTTTATAACAGGACAAAATTGTGTGTAAATTGTCAAGCACAAACACAATTTTCTCAAATTTTGTAATTAATTTCTAAAAAGTGTAAAATAAAATATTTTATAAAAATTTAAAAAATAGATTTCTTTAGAGCTTCAATAATCCTTTTGTTTACATAACTTTTAGCGGCATTTATATTCATATTCGTTGTAGATATACTGCATGAAATGCAAAACAAGGTTTTCAGTTTCTACCATGTAGATCAAAATAACAATGAAATGCACATTGTCAGATTATTTCGTAGAACTGTAAACCAAAAAAATTGTTCCTGACCTTAAACTTCTCTAGCTGCTCAACCTTCTGTTCTAGGGAAGCCTTGAAGGAGTAATTCTTTAAAGTATTCTCACACTCTGTCAACCAGTGGGTCAGCTTCTCAAACTATACATTATACCTCAGTTAGTAATAATATAAATTCAATATCTTTGATTGACCCCCGAAAGTACAACGTAATATTTTGAAACCCCCAAATTACTAATGTTTTTTAAATGTTGCACAAATTAAGGTTTTCAGAAAAATTAAAATCAATATTATAAGGGTATGCATCTTCAAAAAAAGGAAGCTACGTGTATAATTGAAATAAAAACATTAAAATCTGTTTTCCTATTTAATAGAACTTTGTGTAATGTAAAAGAAGATCCAAATTTACTATCATATATATGATAATGTTAAAAATGAACCTGGCTCTCATAGTCTGCCCATTGTCTCAACCTTTCGGATATTCCTTGCTTTACATCCTCAACTGCATTTGTGAACTTGTCAAAATCAAGCCTAGGCAAAAATAAATTTCATACTCGATATAAGGATTAATATCACTATTTTTAATATAATAATAATAATAATAATAATAATAATAATAATAATAATAATAATAATAATAATAATAATAATAATAATAATAATAATAAGAAGAAGAAGAAGAAGAAGAAGAAGAAGAAGAAATTATGACGAAGAAGATATGTTGATATACTTTTAATGGAAATGAGTTCTTTTCACAAACTCTGATTCTAATCTGTATATCTTTACTATGTCGTAGACATTTGATATTTCAAATTGTGAATTCTGTTGATCAAATAGTCTAATTTTGAAAATCAAAGGTTTACACCATCAAGTTGCAAATATATAGTTATTAGAAAGTTGGAGCTTATGGTAAAAACTTAGTTCCCTTCTTGCATATTAAACTAGATTGTTCGACAAACATGGCCGACTGTCATAATAAAATACTTTATCAATAAAATCAAATATCTAGTTATCATAAAGGAAAAGTTTTAAATTGCATACTTAATGTGAGAAAGGTCTCTCTCCATGGCATCCTTTACTTTGGTTGGCATCTTGGATTCATCCAGTTCTTGAACATGCTTCCTCAGGGTGGAAAGAACATTCTCACCCTCAGTCACCTCCTTCTCCATATCCCCAACCTTTGACAGTCTGGCCTCCAGGGCATGTTTACTACCAGTATAGTCTGTGTATACGGATAGTTTATCCCACATCTGTTTTTGCCAGTCTTGATGTCCTTTTTGCAAGTCCTGGTACTGTTGAATAAAGTCAATTGCTTCCTCCATTTTAGACACTGTAATCTTCATATTCTCCAGAAGGGAATCATATCTCTCATTCACGCTGGCAATACTTTCCTGTATCTCTTCAGCTGGAGCATTAGGACTATAACTGATAACAGCAGCTCCTTTCTCATTAACAGACTCGAGATATCTCTTGTGGGCAGTTATATCTTGAACCACAGACTTAAACTTTAATAGTCGTGATTTTGTTTCCTGGACTGAGAGCCAGTTGACTTGTTCCTGCTGGGACGCTCCCTCCATCCCATCCAACCATGATATGATGTGATTAAGACTGTCCTGGTAAGTAGACCAGTGTTGAAGCTGAGCGTCCTGTTTCTTCTGCATGTCTCCAACAGCTTTCATCATTCCTTCCCATTCTTCCCTCACTTCTCTTATTTCATTTCTAATCTTTTCTCTCCCGTTAGATCCGGTATCTGGATAGAGTCTTTCCCCAATAGCTGAAAAATTTGACAACTTTGGACCTCCTTGATCTTGTTCTAAAGAAATAAGTTTTAACTCTTCTACCTTTTTGTCGATGTCAGTGACCTTCTGAGCTCGGTCAAGCGATGCTTCAAGGCCAGATAACCAATCTTTAATTTCATTATGATGCTGAATGTAGTTTTCATGCTCTTCAACTATTCCCTGCCATTTAGATATCACCTCCTTACTAAGTACATGAAGCAATTGATAACGATTACTGATCTGAGTTATTACAGGTTTCAACCGCTCTACCCCAGAATTATGGAGAAGGTTGTGTGAGTTGTTGACAAAGTCATCTATAGTTCTCTCATAATTCATGACCTCTTTTCTGTTAACCAAATAGCTGGCAAGTTTATCTTTTTTCTCTTCACAGGAATTTTGGAGTTGCTGGTTTCTGAAGATAGTTTCATATTGTTTAAACCATTCCTGGTGTGTCTTCAAGTCTTTATTAAACTGATCCCATTGAGCAAGAACCTTTTCAACATTCATCTCAACACCTTCAATCAGTTGAATATGGGTTCTCCAAGATTCTTTAATCTCATTTAAGTCTCTCTTCAATTTCTCATTTCCTCTCTTGGAAGTGCTCCTGGATACTTTGACGCACATACTTTCAAGATCACTGAGTTTAGCTTCTCCTTCTCTCCGGTTATTTCTCAGGTCTCCAATAATTTCTTTTTTCCTCTCAAGGTCTGATTTCTCACCAGAGATATCAGCACACTGACTAAGCATATCAGACTGGTTAGTGGTGAAATCAGTGAAATGGGATATCATGACCTGGTATGAGTTATGATCCTCTACACACACTTCAAGTTTCTCCATCAGATCACCAGACTTTATTCCAATATTTTTGAACAAGGCTCTAATGGATTCTATGTAAACATTAAGAGATTTGTCTTTGGTTTGGTCCACAAGCTGTTGAGCTTTGGTGCAGACAGTTTCCACAAGACTATTGTGAGATGTAACCTCTTGATGAACTATTTTATGGTTCTGAAACTGTGCTCTCTTCTCTTGCAAGGATGCTTTCAGCTCAGTGTGCTGCTGCATATGCTTTTCTATATCTTTAAGCCATTTAGTCAGTTGCTCTTGAGAGCTTGTGAAATCTGAGAACTGCTGCAGACATGTATCAATTTTCGTTCCACTACTCTGCATTTCATCACTCAAGGACTCCCAGTTATTTCTCAGGGTTTGCAGTTGATCTCTGATAATCTCCTTTCCATCTGGAGAAGTGTGGGAGTACAGCTTCTCTCCCATTTCAATAATAGACTCAAATTTAATGCTTTCATTTGTTCTAAGTTCCTCCAGTTCTTCAATATTATTTCTTCGCTCCTGAAGAACCTTCAGATCTCCAACAATCTCAGCAAATTGTTTGATATCTTCTCGAACAGTGACGATCCAGCTGAGGAAGGATTTGTATTGGTCATTGAAATTGGCATGCTCTCTTACAAAGGAATCAAATTTCTTTGTCAATTCCTTGAGATTAATTCTCAGATTTTCATATCTGTGGTTTAGTTGAGATATCTTTACATTCATCTCAGGATCCAGTTCAAGGCTGTTTGAATGCTCAATGATACTGCTCACATCATTTGACTTTTGCTCTATGGTTTTCTGCAGGTCAACAAGATAATTATAATGCTTAGTTTTGGATTGCACATCACTTCTCATTGGCTGGTCTTTTAGTTTTCCTTCCATTTGTTTTATCCAACCAGAAATAGCTTCAAACTGAGTCTTAAATTTACCCAGCTTACTGTTGATTTTTTCCTGGTCTTCCTTAAATTTGTTGGCAGATTTTAGAGTAGCACTCCATGCACTTTGAAGATCTGTCAATTCTTTTTCCAGTGCTTTTCCACCCGCTGCAGAAGTTTTAGTAAGAATCACTTTTAGGGAAGCTTGACATTTATCAAGTAGGTTTTTGCTTTCATCCTTCTTGCTAAGAATTGTATTAGCAGACTCAATTCTTTTCTCTATACTGTCAAGATCAAATTGAACATCGGTAAGAATGGCAAGCTCAAGATTTGCACTGTTCAATAGATCCCTGGCTTGTTCAAAAGTTGCAGCATATGTTTCATGCTCAATCACATTTTGGTTCATTTGTTCCAAATTACTTGCATTTTTTAGCTGAAGTTTTTCGTAAGATTTTTCAGCAGCATCCAGTTTGTTTTTTGTATCTGTTTCACCAATAGTGGCAAACTTCTGTTTCAGACTCTCAAGTACAGAGCTATGTGCCATGATCTCTTGGTTAAGAGATTTAATAACAAGTAGGTTTGATTTCTTGTCAGATAGATCATCTCCGGTGATAGTGATTTCTTGACACTTTTCTGTCATTGATTCAACCCATTTTTGAGTTTTGACCAAGCTTTCTTCAAAAGATGACCATTGAATCATTATTGAGTCTATTTTCTTGTTCACCGAACTCATGTAATCAATATGGTTTTCCCAACTATCTCTTAAAGATCTTATTTCATTTCGCATTTTTTCTCTGTCTGCTGGGGCAATTTCAGAAAACAAATTCTCTCCAGCTTCAATTGCTTTCTCAAGGAGCTCATGGCCAACCTCTTTTTCAGCCATTACACATTTCAATTCTTTTATTTTAGCATCAAAAGACGCTGATGATTTTGTGGTGGAGCTAGCAAATGACTCAAATTCTTTTAATTGGGATTTTGATTTTTCAAGCCAAGCAGTGTAAACATTGACAGCATCCTTTTGCATATCCTTATTCTCAAATATTTTGCTCAACTTTTCAATATGGACAGCCAATGCATTGGTTGCCAATGCATATCTTGAGTTTATTGATTGTGTCTGCTGTTCAACTCTAGATTCTGGATTTTCTACCATTATCTCATTAGAAACCTTAGACAATTCTGTAAACTCTTCAGACTTTCTGGACATCTCACTCTGAATACGAGTTAACTTCTGATTTTCATCTTCAAAGTTTTCAAAGCTAACATGAGAGTTTGTTGCAAGCCTGATAGTATCTTCAGTTTCCTTCAGCCAAGAATTCAAGCATTCAGTGGAAAGTTCATACTTTCGCCAAATTTCAATATTTTTTTCTAGCACAATTCTTATTTTGCTAATTTCATTTTCTATGAAGTTTATTTGATCATTTAGCAAATTCATAGTGTTTTGTATTTCCTCCATTCTTTGTTCATCCACTATTCTTATGATGACCTTTCCACAAATCTCTAGTTCTTGTAGAACCGGCTTCATATTTTTAACTGTCACATCAATATCCTTCAAGGAATCAAGTTTACACTCTGTGCTGAACTTGTCTCCGGAAGGTTCTGGAAGACACCAAGATATTTTTTCTTTGAAATTATTATTAAACTTTGTCAGTTCTTTGACTTTATCAACATAATGCTTCTCTAGCACACTATAAAGAACAGATATAACTTTAGTGCATTGGCTGTTCACAGCATCATACTTTTTCTCAAGAATAGCAAAATCTTTTGCTAGAGTATTGTCACCAGATCCATACTCCTCATGAACAGACTTAATTTTATCTTCAATCACAGCAATCTTCTCTTCATAGTTAGATAGCTCTTCCTGGATATCTGTAGACTTCTTCAATCTATCGTAAATTTGTTCATCTGAGCCGGAAGTGTCTTCACATTTCAGAAGTTCTTCTCTTATCTTATTCAATTCTTCAATGGTGGCTTTAACCTCTTCTTTGATCATCAAGGAAGACTCACCTAGATTTCCTAGGGCATTTTCTAGATCAGAAGATAATCTTTTAGTTTCCCTGATCTCATCATCAATTGTAGCAACAAGTTTGTTTAAAGATGGTATTTCTTTATTTTGGTTAAGACTTTTTATTTGTCCAATTTTAGTCTCAATTGATGCTTTACTGCATAGATTACTGTTAAGCTCGGATCTAAACTTTTCAAGTCTAATTTTTGCAATATCCGAGTCAGTTACATTTGCTAGTGCATCCTTCATATTGGACTTGGCATCCGCCAACCATCCAAAAATGTCATCGGTTTGTTGTTCAAGTTGTTTCCAGATAACAAGTTGAGAATCCAAATTATTCAGTTTCTTGGTCAACCCCTCTCCTAGAAATCCAAACTTTTGCTGCACTTGGCTTAGTTCCTTCTTTAAAGGAGAGGTATCAAATCCTGGAACAGTTTGAAGCTCTGAGATTAGTTGGGTTTGTCTCTTATAGTAAGCTTCAAATGGTTGTCTAGTTTTCTTGAGAGCACTAAATGACTCTTTGCATCTGTCAACATGTCTGGCTGCATCTACTGTATTCTGAGGGACAACCTCATTAAGAGATTCCAGAATATCATCTGCCTCTTCTAATCTTGCACTCACTCCTTGCTTGCTCTCTAGACACTGTTTCCACATGGATATAAGTGTTTGAGACTTGGATTGCTGTTCTGTCAGAAGGTTTGTTACTTTAGTCCACTTGGATTCTGCTTCTGTTACTGCGTCCTGAACAGCTTTCATCTGTGATGGATCATGTTGCATCAGAAATCTTCCAAGCTCTCTATACTCCATCTTTAAGTGCTCATTTTTATTATTATCCTTTAAAAGAGATGTGACTGCAGTAGAGGCTTCCTCAAGAGCTTCCATGTTACTATTCTTCACATTTATTTTCTGAACCTTTGAGAGAATGACCTGGAGCCACTCTGCTAGGTTTTGTTCTGCTGTTCTGAACTCTTCCCACTTTGACTCCAGGTCCTGTTGTTTTCCTTTCTTGTCATCAATTAACTTTTTTAGTTTTACAATATTTTGGAGAATTTCTGCAACAAGGAGTAAAATACTCATTGGTTTCTGGGTCTCTCGTTCTATAATGTATGTGTTACTTTTCATACTTGCTTCTTCATCATCGGATCCTTCAATTTTCCTAGTCTGACATTGGACTGCAATATTTTCCATCTCTCCTGCTATAGTCTCCAACTCGTCAGGTGATGTTTGATGTGAATAAACAGACTGCTGAATATGACGCAAATGTGACATAGATTCTGAGTGCCAGTTCAAAAATGAAATCCATCTTGTCAAGGATGCTTTCTTATCCTCCAGAAGCTTGAGAGCTGAAGAATGTTTCCTCAGAATGGCTTTAAACTGTACAGTCAACTCCTCACTATTTTCCTTTCCATTGGAATTGTTAACTTCAACCTGCATGCGCTCCAGCATTGGTTTTTTGTCATGAATCTCCTGACTGAGAATATGAGTTTTCTCCAATGCAGCTTCAGTTTTATCTACTGGGATCTCATTTAGTTTGTCAATTTTCTGACTTATTTCTGCAATCCACTCATTGAAGTTGTCCAACTTTGACTGAAACTCTTGCTTAGCATTTAGGGCTTCTGACACAAATTCAATCTTATGCTGAGCAGTCTCTGCTAGAGTTGATATTCTCTGTTTGAGATCTGCAACTTCTGCTCTGATTCTACAAGATCCTTCTTGATTGAGATGTGAGCCCACCTTGTCCCCATCTCTAGTCAGGGTTATGATATCGGCTTGTTTTTTAGATATATCCTGCAAGGTTTCCTTCATTGCACCTAGAGCATTCATCAGTGATTCCATATCATTGTTTTTATCATCAATCTTACGAATAATAATTTCTTCTTTTGATTCAATCCAAGCTTTTAGATCCTCCATAAGGAGGTTGAAATGGTTCCATGAATCTACAAGAATTTCCATCTTCTGTGACCACTGCTCTGCAATAGTTTTAGCTGCTTGCCATCTTGACTTAAAGGCATCAACCTCATTTGCAGCACTCGTCTTACACTTGATCAGTTTACTCATCTCCTCAATCTCATCTATTTTAATCTTAGTATCATCAGCTTCTTTATTAAACTGTTTTGCATCATCATAAATATTCCTAAATACAAGAGTTACTAATACAACAAAATAACAAAATAAAGCAACTTCTTATTGGCAAATGATCCTACCTGGATTCTGAAATGGAAAAGGGTCTCGTCAGCCCAACTGCCATTTTAACTTCTGCCTGTTCCAGCCAGGGTTTCACAGTTCCTATAGCACTCTTGTATCGAACCCAATGCTGCAGATCCTGGGATACCTTGGAGGTCTGTTCATCAACCTCTCCATGCAACTCAGTTACATCCTTCTTTACTGTTGCAACCTCAACCTAGATTAGAATAATGAGATTGGTTAATGAGACTAGATTTTTTATTTCAAAATAGATCCAAAAAGACATTTAAAAGAAGCCATAATTCAAAGAAACTTAGAGACTTGTAAAAAATAAATACCTTGAATTCCTTTATTTCATAAATATCAGTTGAGCCTGCAAACAGAAACTGTGCATCCTTTTCAAGATTTTCCAGGGTTTTCATCTTTTCCTTAACCTGGTTCTGTAACTCCTTCGTCATTTTTAGCCTGTCCTCTGGGGACATCTCAAGGCTGGTAATTTGGCTCAAGTTCTTTTTGGCATTTTCAATAAAAACCTTCATTTCAACCAGGTTCTTATTGAAGTTTGTCCACTTTATGTTTAAATCTACAAGATGCTTAATCTTTTCATCACACTGAGCCAGCAGATCGTTGAGTCGCGCCTCTAGCTCAGCCATCTCCTTTGCAAACTCATTCTGTTGTTCTTTGCTGGCTACTGTTGCCAGAGTATCTGACAGCTCTCTCATCTTAATCATTAGATCATCAGAGGTTCTTTTGATATCCTCTCGCATGTCCTTGTTAATCTTAAGATCGCTTTGGATAGCTTTGTGGTTATGTTTGGGGATCAACTTCTGTAATTCTGTCTCGGCTTCCTCTAGAAGCTTTACCATGACAGATTTCTGGCATTTGTAACTGTTCCAAACCTTCTGTGTTTCTTTTAGTCTCTTCAAACTATTCATGGCATAGCCATAACAATCATTCCACTTAGCTTCTAAGCCCCTGAAAATATAAATTATGGCTGCAGGCTGCATTTCAAAACATGAAAATAAATTAATTTTTATTAAGAATAATTTCATTGAATCAAAGCATACCTAACATCTTCCTTCAAGAAGTCTGGAGCATTAACCTCACGAATCAAGTCCTTTCCTCTCTGGAGGAGAGATAAGATACTGCTTCTCTGCTTCTCTAATTCACTAATCATCTCCTCCTAGTTAAAAGTATTGTCACAAGAGTTAAACTTATTTGTACATAGATATTGGATAAGCAAAACTATTTTTTTTTTTTAGTCAAATCGGTCAAGATGAAAATAAGGTCGGCCATCATGCAGGACTAAATAGGCTACTCCCCCCCCCCCATTTGGGTTAATTGCAAGATATAATCAACTAACATGGTGGATAAATCTCTGTCTAAACAATTGACTGTATGAGGTACCTGTGAGCCAATGAGAAGGTTGACCGCTTCTTCTGAGTCTGGGAACGACTCCCTTGATCCAGAAATATGGATTCTCTCCAGTATACTGATAACCTTCACAATACACAGTTTCATATACTTCTTTGTAAAGAAGGGTTAATGGATATTACAATGTTGACGATAAATAAGTCTGCCTTTTGTGCACCTTGGGGGTTTTTGAATTTATAATTTTGGGTTTTGCATCTTGGATCTGAATATATATATAAATATTATTAAAAAAATCAATATTATCTTTTTTATTTACGAAAATATGTTTAATTTAAATTATCACATTCTCACAACAGCAAAAAAACATAAAAGGATTTCTTATTTCATCATAAAAGGGAAAAATCCTTTAAGTTTCAAAAATTTAAAGAGGAATTAATTTATATATATATATATGTATATATGTATATATGTAATGTATTTATATATTATAATTGGATGTAAATTTTATATACGCAAGATTTTATTATTTTATTGTCTGTGTTTCACATCAAAATAAGATATAAATTGCAATAAACAAAAACTGGAAAAACAGGGGAAAATAGAGCTTGATAATGTTGCCATGAAAACAATATTCATCCCTGTAATAGTGTTGGTGCTAGGATTATATTATGAATATTTACCCCGGATTTGGTTTCCTGCAAATAAAAGACAATAATTTCAAGAAAACTGTTTTTCTTATTATTAATAATATACTTTCTAGAACTAATTATCAATGATAGTTTTGGGGATCTTCAGATATGATTGCTCAAAACAAGGTTGATAGAAAGGCAGTTGAATACTTAATGACATCTAGTTAACGTTTTTAAGTTTACTTTTTACTTTTAACTGTCCTAAGTATGACAAAATATAATTCGAGTTTTTAATTTCTAAAACTGCAATTCTATCCATTATCAAAAAGCAACCACTACAAATATCTACAGCGCAAACGTAAATATTTTTTTTAAATAACCCCTTCCCCCCCCCTTCCCCCCCAGCGCCGTGAAACTTATATCCAGCCCTGTCATCTGTTTACTGTTCGATTAAAAACAAACTATTACCTTCGCTACTTCAGCTCTGAAGGAATAGCTCCTTGAGTAGATCTCAATCCTGCTCATAGTGGTCTCAATAACAGGGATCATGGACTTGTATCTAGATAATATGCATATTATAGATTAATTAAAATAACAGAATGGACACTAGATGTTGTCTTTCAAGATTTGGATAAAACTCGTTCACAATATCCCTGAGGCAGAAGCCCAGAGGAGTTTCGCGCAGTGCTCTCTCCGTCCTGCAATTCTACGCCGACGAGTTTCATTCAAATCTTGAAAAGACGACATCTACTGTCCTATCTGTTATTTCTCAACTCTACTGTTTGGGGGACAGAATTTACATTTTCTTAAATTTCTAATTCAATAAAAATCTGAAAAGTAATTCTGAAATTTGTTTTAATCTTCAAGAGTTAGGTGGATTAATATTTTAATGTAACAACCCTGCAGTTATCAAATTATTCTATTTTACCTTGAAATGAGACCTTCCAGACGCTTCTGCTCAGAAAGTCCTTCATTGTCCGCCCTAATATTAAACAAGAAATTAAAGCAAAAAATATAAATTATTGAAAATAACGTTAAGGAAAACTGATTGAGTAACTAAATATAATTTGCATTGATAAAATAAGCACCACAATTTATTTAAAGCAACATCTAAATATATAAAGATTGAAATATTACATACATATTATGGGTATCTAAGGTTAAAATAATCATAATTAATAATGATAAATTGGTTTTTTCCTCAACGTAAATTAGGTAAATATATTAATACCTGTGAGCCACAAGCTGGTCAAGTTGCTGAACCAACCACTTCATGTCCTCTTTCCTCTGCTCCACGTCGAAGCAGATTTCGTTGAAGTTCATCTTCTCAACCTCGAACTCTTCGGCAGTAGAGATACTCTTAAACATCTTACTTAAGGATGCGTCGATCATGTCCATCCATCCTACCATGCTGCTGAACCTGATGTAATAATAGTTGAAGATAAAGATAAATAAATAGTGAGATTTAGATCAAGATCTAGGTTATGATCAATATCAAGATCATTGTCTAGGTTATTATCATGATTATGATAAGAAGATTATGATCAGGATCACAATCAAGATCAGGATCAAAAACAAAATTGATGTAAAGATAAAGATTAAGATTAAGATTAAGATTAAGATATGTGATGTGATAACTAACCTCTCCTCATATTCTCTCCATTGTTCAGGAATCTGTTGAAGCTGGTTGTAAAGTCCCTGAATCCTGGAGAGAAGAGAGTCCCAGTGTTCTTTATGCTTAATGTAGCTCTCCTGGAGAACGGGGTTCTCAGGCATCTTCTCTGAGAATGTTCTACTCAACCTGGACAGGTTGGAGAGACAAGCCTCTATCTTGGCTAGAAGTCCGCTGGACTTGAAGAATGCAGTATGCTGCTTTAGAATACTGGCAACATCTTCGTTCTTGTGAAAGCTATTGGACTCAGAGTTTAATTCTTTCTCTACCTCCTTCATGTACTTAGAGAAGGTATCCTCATCCAACCTAAACTCAACCTTCATCATGTGAAGTGGAGCAAAGGACTGAATCTCAGTCCACTTCTCTTGCAGTCTAGATATATTACCAGATAGCTGGACTTTTTCTGCCTCAAGGATAAATTTCTCCAAGTCCTGGGCTGCATTGACAAACTCTTGCATCAGTTTATCATTGTTCTCTATGAAGAACGCCTTGTGAGTCTCTACATTTTCCTTGGACTCAATATGCTTAACAGCTATGAGAATTTGCGCATCTTGAATCCACTTCATAACCTTGGTCTGCTGGTCTAAGAACCTTCCCCAGCTTTTAAGAGCTTCCTGAAGCTTGAGCTCCAACTGCCTGGAGTCATCAATGGTACTAGCGAATACCTCATTCAGTTTTCCCATTCTTGTCTTTAGATCAGATACATCAATACCTTCCTTTCCCTCGGTATTCTTCAGCATGCTCTGGAATACATTGTTTTTACTTTGTAGCATGGCTTGCATGTTGACCGTCTTGACAAAGAAATTTCTATGAGTGTCTAACTGGTGTTGAAGTTGTTCTCTGTTCCCTTTCCCGGACAATCCACTGATAACAACATTATTCATTGAATATCAAGAAAATTCCAATTTAAAAAATGGTTCTTGTTTTAAAAAAGAAAAAAGGTATAAATTTTGTATTATTCAATGATTCTATTTTCCTAATAACGCTATTGGCCTCTGAACACCATAGATGTATATCTGCCTCCCCAGTATCCAACGCATCAAGCTGGGTCAAAATCTGATGATACAGCTGGATCTTCGTCGGGATCAAAGATCTTACGATCACTAGGTTCTCTTTCTCTTTTTTCAGGACAAACATCATCTCCTCGATATCGTCGGAAGTAAGTTCAGGAACCAGATTCTGGAACTTTCTGGAGATACCCTTGAAGAGATCTTCCATCTCTCCAACCTCTCCATGGAAGACCATTAACCTCTCAAGCATCTGCCGCATGCTCTCAGACTTCACTTGTTGGGAGAGGTTGAGAACTTCCTCAACATGTCTCAACCATGTGTCTAGCTTCTCCAGGCCCTTCTGGTACTCCTGCCTGTTCCGACTAATGTCTCCAGCATGCATAAACTTCTCAACAAACCCGAACAGCTGCTCCCAGTTATTGATGATGATATCCATCCTGGATTTAATCTCTAACCCGACACTCTGGTCGCAGGTAGCGAGCAGGAAGGCTGCTGTGTCGGTGAGAAGGACGTACTTCTCCTTCCATGAGCTAATGTCTCCGAAGAACTCTGACTGCTCCTCTTCCCCTTTATTCAGCATCTCATATGCAGTAACAATATACCTAACACGAAGATTTTAGAATATATTGAAAATTATTAAGCTAATTGTATAAAACATTTGACAAAAAAATCAGGGGATTAAAAAAGTGCATAGAAAATTTAAAAAAAGGGAATGAAAGAAAACTGACGTGGGTGGGATGAGAAAGAAAATGAGTCTTTGCCACAAACTCTGATTTTCTAATCCCTTTATATTTGTAACCTAATGTTGTATACCTTTCATACCTTGAGTTTGTATCAAATACTCAATCTCTTTAATTATGTTTACCTCTCAAACTCTGGAACAGTAGAGTTCCACCTCTGCCAATGCTGAAGAACCTCTTCCAGAAGACTCTGTACACAACGGAGCTCTGTACTTGTTCCCTTCCATCTCTCTCCGATCTCCTTGATAAACTTGTCAATTTGTTCAGTTTCTATCCTAGTTATACCTCCATCCTTCCTGTACTCCTCACACACCTGCTGGAACTCTATATACGCTTTTTGAAACTCCTAATCAAACCAATTATCAGGAATTTTTCTAATGCATTTTTTACGCAGTTTAATTTGTAAATAAGAAATTTTGAAACAATTAAAATTCATTGGTCCAAAAAACCTGAGGAATTAAATGACAACATTTACTGAAGCTACATATTAAAAAAAATTTTATTTTTAGGTTTTTTCACGCTAGAACAAAAATATAAAAACACTAAATACACAAGTAGAATATACTAATTTAATCTAGTTTCTATTCAAATTTTTACCGGGTAGTATTTACTGTAAAACCAAATTTATTGTTTGAGAAAATTAACTAATAATGGTCTTTTCCTGAAATATTTTGTTCTTGGACACAAAGGTTCTATACTGGGTCATAATCTGCTTAACCTTCTCCTCTGATCCGTATTTGATCGTCCAGTTCTTTAGTTTCGATTCAGTTAACACAAGGAAGGCGACAATACAGCACTTGTGTTCCAAATATTTTAACTTCACAGATCTAGAAAAAAAAACATTATTAAATATTCTTTCATAAAATGTCCAAATTTAGTTGTATCTTCTCTTATGATTTCTAAATAAATGTATTATTGATTTTGATGGTTATTATGCAGTTAAAACTAACTGACCAGGGATAACCCAAGTTGAAAAATATTTTCCAAAAAATGTGGAAGCAACATCTGCATTATTTTTACTGTAATGTGGTTTAGAAAAACATCAACGCAAAAGGAATTGATTTTTTACCCCAAACTCTGATTTTTTAAGCCCTTTATCTTTGCAACCTTAGTTACTTCAAACTATGATTTTTGTCAGATCAAACAATCTAAAACATAAAAGATTTACACGATCAGGTTGAAAAGATATAGGGATTAGCATATTTGAGATTGTGGCAGACTTAAATCCTTTTAAATGTGATAAAAGAATTGGCAAATTGCACCATGTACAACAACTAGAATACCTCATCTCGGCTCTAGGACCAATACCCTTGAGCCTGGATTCAATGGACTCCAATTGTTCCCTTGGAATCTGCGCCACCAATGGAGAAGACGAGATGATGGTGGCGAACTGTTTCTGTACTGAAGTTATGTCGCTGAAGAATGATTTATGGTCCTCTATTTTCTGGTTGAGGACGGCTGCTGCCTCCTCGTTCAGCTGGGTTGGAATATCATCTCCATAGATGAGACCTTCTCCCTGGTTCAACCATTCTCCAATCTGACCAAACTCTCCAGGGAGTCCAGTATCTAGAAGCCATTGCCAGTGGCGAACCTTAAAGAAAAGACACATTAAGATAAGATTACAATGCTCTTGCTCTAGCTAACTATCTGCATATCATATCATAATAAAACGTATTTTTTAAAAATCAGAATTTCTAAAATTTAAATATCTGTCATTTGCATCATTCATAATTAGATAATTTTGTTTCTCTTAGATGTATCAACGAAAAAAAATGTATTGTATTATTCATGCTTTACAAAATTACAATCACGTCATTTTTGTGAAGAAAGGTTGCCGGTCAATTCTGCGTAGCCAAGCCTAAATCTACCTGTGCGGCAATTTTCTGCCAATTAGTATCTAATTCAGTCCAAGCATCTGCAGATATTCCAACCTAAAATATTCAATTAAATGTAAGAAGATTACTTTTTAATGAATGTAAGATTGAAAAGGTGACACAAAACGGCAATCTAAACCAATATAGAATTACTTATGTTATCATTAAATTAAAAGAAAACTTGCTTTCGTATTAAAGAAGAAAGGTAAATTGTTCAAGTTTGATCTAAGAATTTAAAATAAACAAAGTTCGAAGATTAGTTAACTGTTGAATGATGGATAAAAAATAAACTTAGAAAATTTATTCATGACAGTTATTATTATTATTTTTCGGAAAATTGGCAAATTCTAAAACCTTGCAATTTGAATCAAGGAATACCTGCGCTTGGCTCTCGATGAGTTGTTTCAATCTCTCATGTACAATCTCCTTCTCCTTGTACTCGGTTAGCACCTGCAATTATGTACTCAAACTCGAATTCAAATCAAGTGCACAAATAAACTATTTTCTCTATCAACTCTCTCTTCTTCTATATTTTATTATTAATCCTATATAATTTTTTTTATAATTCGTTCCTCAAAAGGAAGAAACAACTGAAAATTACATAACATCTTTTTTCTTACGTTTGAATTTGTTATCCATGTCAATGTCAAATATTCGTTTGAATTTTAGTTAGCTCACTGTCTAGCATCTACTTGTTTGTAAATAAAAAACGCAACGTAAAGGAATAGTTTTAGCACAAACTCAGATTTTCTAATTCCCGTATTTTTGTTGCAGTGAAATGATAAAGAATTAGATTTGAATTCCTTAACCTAAAGGTTTATATTTTATATGTTTTATGTTGTGGTTTTGCAATAAAAAATCAAATACACAAACTTACTCTTGTGTACTCGTTGTAGTTCATAGATGCTTGTCCCCTAGTTTGATGCATCGTATCGAAGACCTGGAGCTGAGTCAGTAACCAGTCCTGTAGAATCTTATACTGGGATTCTATACTAGCAAACCTATCCTCACCCTGAAAATAAAATAGTTTCTTTTTAACTCTTTCTATAATATTTCAGACCTCTGGTAAACTATCAATCTAACTTGGTCTCTGAATAAAGCTTAAAGTACAGCGTAAGACTCACAGGTTTTTGACATCTAAAACGGATACATCATACTGGTTATTTGGGTTGGGTAGGATTGAAAAAGGATGATTTTTTTTTGGGATTTGGTTAGTGAGCGAAGGTTCTCACAACTCTGTTAAAAAATATCTAATATAAAAATGAATGATGGTGAGGTTTAGCTCACTATTCTCCAGGCCTGGAGAGAGGAAGCTGTATGAACAGGATGGAAGTAATCTTTACCCCGTCAATAGCCAGGGATCCTAGACTTGGAATCTTTCTCAGTCCTCCAGATAGATTTTGAGAAACGGATTCCACCTCTCCGGCTATAGATACAGGTCTCTGCTTTTTCTTCTTCAACATAACCTCAGCCTCAGGGTCAACCCGCTTCTGCCAGCAGGTCACTTTGGCCATGAAACCAGTGGGAGATGTCTCGGACTCTCGACGCACAGAATTGGAGCGCTTTAAATCAGATTTGGAGGAAGAACGTCTGAGTTTGACCGGCTCAGGTTTAAGCTGGCGGGGTACTGAGGATCTCCGCTATAATAATGTAACATTGTACATTGTACATTTAACCAATAAACAATTTGCGAGAAAAAAAAACTGAATTAAAATCGTTGTCTATAAGCTGTTCTGAAGCATTTCTTTTCTGACGAATATAATGCATGCACATTGCACACACTTGAACCATGCATGCACATGAAGAATGTGTTATAGTCAGATAAATAAAACAAAATAGTTTCACCATATCTAATTGAACGCCTCGCTATCTTTTAATAAATCTATCTATACGTATGTAAGGTAGTCAAACTGAGTATGCAGTGTTGTGGACAAATTCTTTAGGATTCATTTGAGACATATTAAACGTTTCCACGATGTATTTGAGTTCATAGTCGACGTTCAAAATCATGAATTCGGGTGGGTACATTTTCAGAATCGGTTTTCTTTAATTATTAAATAACGACGACGAAAAATAAAGTAAAAATTATACAATAAACTAATTAGAGGTTTAGGAATATGTTTCTCAAACAAAAGGAATTGAGTCTTTGTAACAAACATTGATTTTCTAATACATATATTTCTTCCACCTGATGGTGTAAACCTTTGATATTTCAAACTTAGATTTTTTCATCTAACAGAATTCATAGTTTGAAATATCTAAGGTCTACGGCATTGGGTTACAAAGATATAGAGATCAGAAAATCATAGTTTGTGACAAAGACTCAATTCCTTTGTCAATAAATCAATGTTAGAATTAATTATTTCGTTTTCATCATTATATTGAATTTCTTATTTTATTATGAATTTGTTCGCAGATTTCTACAAATTCTTCAAATGTCGTCTTTTCAATAAAAATTCCAGAAAATCTGCAGAAAATCTTTGTGAAAAATGAGAAACCAGAATAATGAGAAAATAGAAACTAATAGTAATAGTTGAATAAGAATACTTATTTTAGATGATAAGATTAATTTTTATCTTCTCAACCTGTTCCTAAACAACTAATTAGTTTACTATAGAACTTTGTTTACATTTTTTGTCGTCGTAATTTAACAATTTGAAGAAAAAAAATTCTGAAACGTATCCACCCTAAAGTACGATTTTAAACGTCAACTTTGCGCTCAAATTCAGGATTTACAGATCTTTAAAAAGTTTCATATGTCTCAAATGAATCCTAAAGAATTTATTCACAACACTGCATACTCCGTTCAACTACCTTACATAGCCGGTCTGTCCCTTTATTGAGAATGTGGTCCTATTTGAAAATACACAAATACTTGAAATTTTTTGAATTAGAATTCAACTGAACATATCTTTCTGTTAAACAAAGTCCCCAAGTAGTGCAATATTCTTATTGCCTAATTCCAAGAAATAAAGATAATATTTGTATTTTGAAATATGTAAACAATCCTTTTAATAAACCCTATCTCTAGCTGTAGGATTACCTTTCCCTCTGATCCTTCTGGATATCTGTGGAGGAACTGAGCTACGTAGGTCATAATAGATTTCTCATCTGGTCGATCCACATCAACATCTTCAGGGTCCAACAACCTTTATAATATATTCATATCAAAATCCAACAAAATAAAAAGTGATATTTAGATTATTAATGAAAAAAAAGTTGATTAACACCTTGCAATTCCTAATTCAGTGTCTGCAACAGTAAAGGCTGTATCCAACCTTACTCTGTTCTCCACAGTTCTCATAGATTCAACATCAACCAAGCCTAAAACCAGAATACAAATTTATAATCTAGATATTCATTAAAAACTTTTAATAAAACCAATCGACATGCAGCTAAAATAATAATATCATTAAAGACATTTAGAGAAGAAAATGCATGAGAAGAAACAGGTAGAGGAAAAAAATCTTATAAAAATTTACAACAAAAAATGCTGATAGTAAGATAAAAACAAAGACAAGACAAATGAAAGAAAAAAATGAGAACAGCTGTGGAAATAACGCAAAAGGGACCACAAAAAATAAAATTATTTTAAAAATATCCAAAGTACTTTAGCTACATATATACCTTGGTAATGTTCTGTATTTATCTGGTATCCTAAAAGCAGACCGAGGTTAGTACAGCTTGAGTTAGTTTACATTAATCTTATTGTATTTTTTATTTAAAGTTATAAAAAAAAATTAATAATAATTAATAACTAATGTTTTCTAACACCAAACAATCTAACATATTTCAATTGAGTGACGACTTTAATCCTTGAGTGGAGAAAAAAATTTAGTTTCAAGTAATGATAGTTACTACTTCCGCGAGTTAAAAAATATTGTCCTTTTTAGCACATTTTTAAAAAATGTTGTCTTTATTAGCATGTTTTTAAAAAATATTGTCTTTTTTAGCATATTTTTAGAAAATATTGTTTTTTTAGCATATTTTTAAAAAATGAATGGAATATGTCAATTTGACAACTACACTGATACAATTCTTGCACATATCTGGTGAAATGTTTTTTTATTTAAATGGCACTATATCATAAAAATATTTAAACGGCACTATATCATAAAAATATTAAAGTTTGAACCCGTCTTTAACATTTTTTTTTTGAGACCATTTATTTTTATTTTAAATACTAAATGTGTGTTATTGTTTAGTTCAAAAATGCGCTTTGAGTAAACTACACATATACACTTATTCTTCTCTTTTTAATGTTTAATGGTTAATGGTTTAGTTTTATTTCCTTCCCAATAGATGTTTTTTAAATGTTAAATTAAAGCGAAATTTTCAAAATGTTAAAAGATCTATAAAATGTAAGAGAAAAACTTTCTGCAAATTTGACATTTTTACAAGACATGTTTTAATAATATAAAGATTAGCTAAAACTAAAAGAATAAAATTCTTTAAAAAGTTTTAATCAAATATTTCTATAAACTTAGAATTTATTTAGGTTTTTCAACTATTGCATGAATAGCGACAAAACCATTGGACAATTCAAACAAATTTTAGGAGATATTCTGCCCTGTATAACACAACATACATATTTTTATATTATATGTTTTGTCTAATAAGAGGGATAAGGTTTGTTTTCATTTTACTATGACGTGTTAGGACAGCTCAAGAATTGGTTTAATTGTAAACAAGGTATTCCTGAGCAGGGACAGGAGTGTCCGGCCTGAGCAATGTTTGTTTACTGAGTATAGCTACTCTGTTACGTCACAGTAAATGTAACAAATCCTATCGTTCTCTCTTTTTAGTTCTCTTTACTTATCTCCTTGTTATTACCTGGTCTGATACTATTAACTACAGCAATGAATGCATTTCCATCCCTCCAGCTCGGACCAAAATCATTAACCTTCATAAATATTTTCATCAAACCATGTACTTTAATGAATAATTTAATTAAATAGTGTACTTTATATGGATGCTGATTTGATTGGTCGAAAAGCATTAACATAAAAAATACTTTAATTTAGTAGTGTACTTTTTATTTACCCAAAAAAATGATTAATAAAAAACATTTTTTGTATAGACCTTTAAAATTTCAAGCTGCAAATTCTATTTGATAAAATAAAAGTTTTGAATATCAAAGGTTTATACCTCAGATTGTAAAGATATAGTGATTTGAAAGTTTTAGCTTGTTGCATTTTAAGCTATTTAAACAAATAAGAACATAAAGATTTACGGTAAGAGTATTTAGGAGAAGGGGGGGGGGGGGGGGGTTTAANATACGTATATACAATATTTTCCCTTTACCTATACTTTCCCATACGTATATACAATATTTTCCCTTTACCTATACTTTCCCTAACGTATATACAATGTTTTCACTTTACCTATACTTTCCCATACATATATACAATATTTTCCCTTTACCTGGAAACCGATATTTTTGCCTAGCTGAGATTGGACCCATTGAAGCAAAGCTTTCTTAGCTCCAACCTTCCACTTCTCCTGCACACTTCTCTTCCCTACACTTCCTTCTCGGAGAGATCTGAACATTAATAGTATTAAAATCAAAACTAGACAACGGAATCAGATTAAAGGCATTAAACATTTATCTCTACCTCTTTTTTATCTTATTGTTATATCTTTGCAGATGTGAAAACCTTGATAAAACAAACTTTGACTAACCTAAATCCGCCGATTAAAAACTCCCAAGGTCTATGACATCACGTTGCAAAGATAAAAGAATTAGACAAATAGAGTTTATGAGGAAGAAGTGCTGGTACAACTTTTCGACATCGTTAAGTGAGAAAACAATCTAATTAAAAGTGAATTATACTTTAGTACTTTATTTTATGATAGTTATTGGGTGTGTTTCTGTACGCTGTACTCTCTGTGCTGTGCAGTAAATAGATAGTAAATTTTCAAAAGTTGTAAGAAAGGAATTGAGTGTTTGCCACAATATTAAATTTTCTAATCCATCTTTGCAACCTGGCGGTGAAAACCTTTGATATTTCAAACTTTGATTATTTGATCTAACAGAATCCAAAGTTTGAAATTTTCAAGACCCATGTTGCACAGATATAGGGAATGAACATTAGATTTTTGTGACAAAAACTAAATTCCTTTAGAACTGACGACTTTTTTTCATGATTTCTGGAGCATGTTTAAACAAAATTTATATATTATGTAAACATAAAATTATGTAAATCATCATGTTTATTTAATATAAACCTGTCATCGTCTGTACTGCTGGCGTATCCTCGCTTCTCAACTGAAGGACTGCTGAACCTTTGTCCTAGTTTCTCCAGGACACGAGTATTCTCTTCAATCTATGATAGGACAAAATTAGTAAAAATATAGGAAATAATGGAGCAGATAGTTTTTGTTTAGAAGGTTTAGAAAAATGTTGAACCTTTTCAAACAGGAATTAAATTGTAATTTCATAAAATATAATATATGTTACATGCAGAAATAGAACAGAGAACTAACAACATGCTAAATAAACTTGTCAACATTAATGTTGTTTTATGTCAAATTAAGATTCCAGGGATTGGAAATTTGACCTAGATAATGGGATAAAATGCAGCCTGAGAGTATTTCTGGTCTAATCCACCAACAACAACAAAAAATCTACTTTTTCATAAACGAAATTATTATTAGTAGCTAAATTGTTTAGGGCTGATCCAGATCATTCACCACCAAGGATACATGCAAATTGTGTTACATCTATATATATATACCCCGGGGGTAAAATAGTCAAAAAAATAAAAAAAAATTTTAAAATTCTATTTTTTAAAAACTTTATTTTTTCTTTATATACCCGGGGGGGGGGGTTTAGAATAGTCTTAAAAGTTTTGATTTTTCAAAATCCAATTTTTTAAACTTTATTGTTTGTAAAATTCCACCGGCAACGCCGGGCACTTAAGCTATTATCACATATCATGCATGCTTAAGTTTAACACAAGACTAAGAATTGTACAGTTAAACTTACCAATGTCAAGTCATTGTAGCGTAGCTATATTAATAAAAAATTATTCTTTGATTAAAATTTATCCAAATTTTTCTAATTTCTTTTTTTAGATAATTATCAAATATAATTTTCTTGCTCTTAAAACTTGCAATTCAGTCAAACTCAAAAACTCTTCTTTTCTTTTTCAAACCAAATATTAACTTTTGTTTAAAACAGAAAACTTTTGAACAAACTATTGAATTAAAGTTTGGCTAAATCCGCGTAAATTTAAGTAAATCTCCAATATTCGATTCACAACGGTACCCTTGAAACCTTAATCTGATCAATAATGTTGAAAATAACGTCGCTTTTGTAAAGAAACAACAATTAAAAATAATCAGTTTGAAAAAACATTGATATATAATGTATCCCTAATCGGACAACGCTGTAAAGGGTTATGATGTGAATCGCACATAGAATATGATGCATATGATGTAATCCTATAATATACCTGGAAGTATAGAATGATAGTCCAGATGAGCCCTAGAACTACAGCTGGTCTTCCGTCCACAACATCGCTAGCATTTATGTTTACTAGCTTTATCTAAATATTACATTGCTAAATCTTTTTGAAATTTTAAAATCTATTAAAATTAGGGCAATCAATGTTAACTTTTTTTAAACAATCACACATTTGATTTCCATTGCTTACTTTCCAACCGGTCGTAAGACGTCATAAAATTTAATAAAGGAATTGAGTTTTTGCCACAAACTCAAATCTTCTGATCCCAATATCTTTGCAACCTGGTGATGCAAACCTTTGATATTTCAAACTTAGATAATTTTATCTATAAGAATTAATAGTTTGAAATATCTAAGGCCTACGACATTGGGTTACAAAGATATAGAGATTTGAAAATCAGGGTTTGTGGCAAAAACTCAACTCCTTTACCCGTTTACTCTTGAGGAACTCCAGCGCTGTATTACAGTTGCTCAGAAAATGAGGTCGTCTTAGTACTCGTCCTCGTTCCATTGGTAACTTCTCACCACTCAACACCTGTACACAGTGTACAGTCAGTAAAATTATTAATCAATCCATTGACAAATAGAACCAGCAACTAATATGGAAATACCCTCATACAAGTATACAGAGAATACAGACTACAGAGCTCCACAGTATATTTTAATAAAATACAGGGTATTTTGGCGTTAAATCTTGGTGATAATCCGATATGATATCTCATCTCTGTTTCTTCTGTCACTTCAGGAATTGATTATTTGTAACAAACTCTGAATTTCTCGAAAATTTGAATTTGAATTGGAAAATTTAAGATTGTGGCATATACTCAATTCCTTTGTACATACGCAATTCCTTTGTACATACTCAATTCCTTTGTACATACTCAATTCCTTTGTACATACTCAATTCCTTTGTACATACTCAATTCCTTTGTACATACTCAATTCCTTTGTACATACTCAATTCCTTTGTACATACTCAATTCCTTTGTACAAACCCGTCCATATTGCGTATCGTACTGAGATAATCACGTTTCAAGATTTTATAAAATTCTATATTTGTGAAATGAAATGAAATGAAATGAAATTAAATGAAATGAAGGGGTTAAGGCTTATCTAATAATCCTCTAAAACGTAGATACACAATGAAATACTGTGTACATTACGATGTTCTTGGTGTACATTGTACATCAAAAACACCAAAAGGAGTAAGGGGACCAACCTCTAAGAGTGCTAGAAGTCGTACACCATCCTTTAGATCATCAATCAGATTTTCAACCTTCATCGGGGGCTTCCTCTTCCTGAGGTAGGAGTTGATCCAGTTTACAAAGGTTTTCATCTGAATCCTCTCCTGCTCGTCTTAAGCACAAATATACCAATCAGCATCTTTTAAACACGTATTTTTATCAAATTGTATTATTGTTTTTTGTTTAATTCTGTGGAGTTTATGAGTTTCCAAAAATAGTTAAAGAACATCGGATTAATTTCAAAAGTGCTTAAAGGATTTCTAAATATGACGTAAATGTTTTTGTTTACATTTTAGACTGAAGACCCCTAAATTTTCTCTATACCAATGAACCCAGTAAATGCAACAGGTTTCTACCGTCATTTGTGACATGAATACAAATAGAAGTTTTGTATTATAGAAAGTCTAATTTAGGTCGTAACCTAAAAGTTGTATATACAATGTATGTAATATTTATATTGTATATGTGTACAATGCATTTATTTGATACAAAGATTGTAAATGTACATATGCATATAATAATAAAATTCTTACTCGTTTTAAAATATATTCTCAAAGTTTATGACAATAAAGAGACGATTCATAAAATATTTTTTATGTATTCTTAATTGCAATCACCTAAATATGTTAGTTATGTAAATAAATTATATAAAAATTATATAAATGATTAGAATATCCTCTTAGGATTCATATATTAGTATATTATAATCTTCAATGTGTTCATGAAGAATGCACACTGCACACACATGGTATTGGATATATGGTATGTAGTATATGTATGGTTCTTCCTGTAATACACCAATTAATTACATTTTAAATTTGGAATATATTATATACGTTTCTGAACCATAATTATTTCATAAGATAACATCTAAATAGGTACAGACCCGTATGTTCACCTTTTAATTTCTAATCGTGTGCATATTTAACATTTTATGCACGTATTTTCAAGAAGTGCATAGTCATAAGTGCAAGTCGTTTATAAAGATAGTTACTAGTTCCCGGTAAATTCACGAGGTTTGCATGTATATAAATTTAGAATCAGAATAAAAATTTCTTTTTGAAAAACCTTTACCTGTTGTAAATATTAAGCCAGTTTTAAAGGTAACCTAAATTTTCTGTTTTAAATAAAATAATCTAAATATATTACGCGCATGCAATTAGGTAAAACGTGCACCGAAGGTTTTCTTGGCCCTTGAACATAAGGTTTTATAATAAATACCCTTTTATAGATTTTACGCTAAAAACGCGGATTACTTCCTCCAGTCAAGGTAATTTACATAGTTTGGTTTAATAGCTGAGTGAGCCTTCGTTTTCGTCTCGTCTCCATTTTAACCAAATAAATTTCGTATTATGAAATTCAAATTTAAAATTTTTGGTTGGAAAAAATGTTTTGAATTATTAAAGCATTCAGTATTAAATCGTCTCAGTAGGAGAATGTATGAATGAGTAACAGAAGTGGAAGGTGAGTAAGTAAAGGATGAGTGGATGAAACGAATGAATGCCGAGTGGAAGTTGAGTAAGTAAAGGATGAGTAGATGAAAGGTATGAATAAAGAGTGGAAGGTGAGTAAGTAAAGGAAGAGAGGGTGAAAGGTATGAATGAAGAGTGGAAGTTGAGTAAGTAAAGGATGAGTGGATGAAAGGTATAAATGAAGAGTGGAAGGTGAGTAAGTAATTGATGAGTGGATGAAAGGTATGAATGAAGAGTGGAAGGTGAGTAAGTAAAGGATGAGTGGATGAAAGGTATGAATGAAGAGTGGAAGGTGAGTAAGTAAAGGATGAGTGGGTGGAAGGTATGAATGAAGAGTAGAAGGTGAGTAAGTAAAAAATGAGTGGGTGTAGATATGAATGAAGAGTGGAAGGTGAGTAAGTAAAGGATGAGTGGATGAAAGGGATGAATGAAGAATGAAAGGTGAGTAAGTAAAGGATGAGTGGATGAAAGATATGAATGAAGAGTGGAAGGTGAGTAAGTAAAGGATGAGTGGATGAAAGGTATGAACGAAGAGTGGAAGGTGAGTAAGTAAAGAATGATTGGATGAAAGGAATGAATGAAGAGTGGAAGGTGATTAAGTAAAGGATAAGTGAATAAAAGGTATAAATGAAGAGTGGAAGGTGAGTAAGTAAAGGATGAGTGGATGAAAGGTATGAATGAAGAGTGGAAGGTGAGTAAGTAAAGATGAGTGGGTGGAAGGTATGAATGAGAAGGAGTGTATGTTTAAGGAATTCAGTATATTTTGAATGTTAGGTTGAAACCAAACTATTTGGCTTTAGTAACCTGCAGTGTGGGAGGTGGGAAGAGGGGATTTCAATATTTGTCAAGGTGTGCAAGCTTGGCTGTGTGTCAGTTTGTGTGTTTGTTTGCTGAAAAAAATCAAACAAGGCGCAGTGTATAAATAACAATGCATTGTAAAGTGTTGAAAAGAAAATGTTGTGAACAAAATCTAGATTAACCATTCTTGAACCTTATTATATCTGATAAGTAATTGTGCATTACAAAATATTGCATATTTAGCATGAAAACCCATGATCACCATTGTTCTATTTATTCTGACCTAACTGTTAAGAAGCACGAAATGTCTAAACCACGTTGTATATGGTTTGATACACCTGAGATGGAATTTAAAGAATTTGAGCAGCGGTTTAAATCCCCCAAAACCCGGTTTAAATTCAGCGCCGGCTTAAATCTTGAAACATTTGATACAATTTTTAGTGGAACCAACCATATTTAAACCGCGGCTTATAAATTTAAACCGCTGCGCAAATTCTTTAATTTCGGCCACTGAACTAGTTTGAACTTGAATTACGTTGAAGCCTGGTTGGTGATCTTGAAGGGTTGGTTCTCACCTCTAATATTAGTAATTCTACCATCAAATGCTCCATAAGTAGGTTCCCCGAAGGTATTTTGGTTTGAGCTAGAGAAGGACGAATGCTTATATCTCTGGTACCAAATTTGGCTTGTATTGTTAGACACTAAATTTGCCCCATTCACGCCAAAAAAGCTTTCAGTGGAGGGAGCGCGGCGAGATATCGGGGGTTCGGAAGGAGAAGGGGATACCCCCCGACCCAAGCCGGTCAAACTATTTCTAGTCTGAAGTCTGTAATCTGATACAGTAGATCTAGTAGTATGATATCTACCATAATCATCACAGCTTGTATCACTAGAGTTACCATCAAACCCCTTAATCCTAGGGGCCCGGGGACTACTCATAAGGGACATGTTATCATAATCCGGGTCCGGGGTAGTACCCCGGCTAAGACCTAGGACGGGTGTATCTGGGGACGGAATATGTATGTAGGTCTGGGAGACATGAGACACATTTGATTGATCTAGGTCCGATCTTTCTCTGCGTATTCTCCACTCCGTGTAAGGAGACGGGGAGGGGGGAACGCGGAATTCATCTTCTCCCTCTTCCTCCATCTCTTTGCTATCAATAATAGTTTTCTGAATCTCAGGGTTAAGGATAGAGCCTGTGCTCTCTAATAAGGCACCAATGGACGATTTTTTCTTTTCTCCTTTACTTGACTTTTTTCTTGTAAACACACTGAATAATGAACTAAATGAGGATTTCTTATCCTTCTTCTTCACACCTACAGCTGCTCCAGCTTGAAGCTCACTACTTGCTCCGCTGCTGCTACTTTGTTTTCCAATGCTACTTCTACCCAAGCTGCTCTTTTCAGATTTATTTTTCTGGATAGAAGTATTTAATGTCGGACTGCTTAATTGTTGCTGGCTGACAGCAACTGTTTGCTGTTTAAGTTCTCTGCTGCTTTCTTGACTTGTTGCAAGGCTGGTTCTAACAGCAGTGTACAATTCCTGTTCTACTGCTCTCTGCTGTTTGAATACTTCAGTCTGCTGAACTCTTGTTATTTGCTCCTGAATCTCGCTAAGATGACTAAGATCTGCTCCGTAATCTGCATCTAGCTCCGAACTCCTTGATATATAGAGCGAGGTTGGTGGATGCTTTCTCTGTATAGACTCCGGAGTTAGGGTTGATCTGCTTCTCTCCAAGGATCCTAGAGCTCCACGAGACTCCATTAATGATCCAGGTGTAAGGTTTGAAATACTTCTCTCCAGGTTTCTTGAATTCTGTCCATCTCTAGTTCCAGGTGTAGGGGGTTGAGTATCCATAGATTCACTTTGTACTCCCAATCCTGAAATATTGACAGATTAATATTTAAAATATTTTAGAATTTTTCCAATTTTTCTTCAAATACTTAAAAAGACTAGACATCCGATGTAAGTATAGATTAGGCAGATTTGTTGTCAAATATAAGCATATGATACAAATTCTACCATTTTGGGACCAGTACTTTATTTTCCTGGCACGAAAACGAAAAGTTCATCCTGCCTGGATATTTGAACATTTTTTTTCATAAGCGATAACTTCTCCCCCCCCCCCAACTGAATCCTTTTAGGGTTAAGCATAAGCATCTCAAGATGCTGAAGTCTGTGTGTGGGATCCTATAAACAGTACTGCTTGTAACTGCTTGATTAGACCTAATCATGATTAAGAATGATACCGGAGCAGAGAGAACTAAAACCCACACATACTAAATGCACGCAATGCACGCTCCTCCCCAATAAACTATGTAATATATGAACTATCAAATTCATTAAAATCATAAATATTTATTTCTCATGCTAAAAAATAATCTTTATAATCTGATTAATAATCTTTTGCAAAACTTCAAAAATCATTAATCCAATATAAAGTATCTCTTAGCATAGACACTCAACACTCCCCAACACCGTTGGTATGTTAAACTTATACTTTAGGATCTAACAGAATATATAAGGTTCAGAAGGAATTGAATTAGAATTTAAATCGAGTGTTTAGTTTCTTTTTGGACACATACTGGTGCGGATTCAAAATTTCAATCATATTTTGGAGATAATGATTCCCAGACAGCTTAAATATATATATATATATAGATTTCATACATTTCTCAGATTCATTGCGATTAATGAATTTCTCAAATTTAATCTATGAAATGCTAAACTTCAAATAATTAAGAAAGAAATAATTAAGTTGTTAAAGAAAAGGCAAAAACAAATTTTGAACAGCAAATCTGCTCATTTTTTGATGAACTCTGTTTGTGGTATATTTTATTTATGTAAGTGCGTCTACTGCGTGTTTGTGGTATATTTTATTTATGTAAGTGCGTCTACTGCGTGTTTGTGGTATATTTTATTTATGTAAGTGCGTCTACTGCGTGTGTGTGGTATATTTTATTAATTTAAGTGCGTCTACTGCGTGTGTGTGGAATATTTTATTTATGTAAGTGCGTCTACTGTGTGTGTGTGGTATATTTTATTTATGTAAGTGCGTCTACTGCATGTTTGTGGTATATTTTATTTATGTAAGTGCGTCTACTGCGTGTTTGTGGTATATTTTATTTATGTAAATGTGTCTACTGCGTGTTTGTGGTATATTTTATTTATGTAAGTGCGTCTATTGCGTGTTTGTGGTATATTTTATTTATGTAAGTGCGTCTACTGCGTGTTTGTGGTATATTTTATTTCATGTAAGTGCGTCTATTGCGTGTTTGTGGTATATTTTATTTATGTAAGTGCGTCTACTGCGTGTGTGTGTAATAATTGAAAAATCCCGAGTAAAGGTTGGGTTGTTACTTCCATAAGCAGAGCTAGATAAGCTAGCTATATAAACCGATCAAGTAAACTACGAGAAATATGACGTCATTTTTCAAAGTGAACACTATGTAGTAGAGTATGTTCCTTGTTCCTGCTTGAGTCTCTGTTCCCTCCATAATTGGAACGGTGTGGAAGGTTTTCTCGGTGTACTTGTCTGCGGTCCCTAACAAATGCAAGAAGTTTTAGGTCTGATTGTTTTAAAACAATTAATTTGAAAGGTCCTTTAAATCTGATTTGAGAGTTATACCATTAACTGAAATATAAAGCTACCAGGCACCGAGGTCATATTTAAATTTGGATGTACAAGGACAGGGTGCCAGAAAAAAAACACGTTAAAAGATTATCCACGCGATATTTTTCGAAAATATGCTCTAAAAATTTGTCTGGACTTTAAATTTGAAATAGCTCAAAACTGTTTTAATATCTAATACAATTGCCAATCTTTTAGACACAACAAAGTTAGACCACTCGACTTTTTGGAAAGTTCAAAATATAAACCTTATCTCATTTATTAATTATCCTTATATTTTGCAAACTAATGTAAACATAGTATATGTATATAAAGAATTGTAATATTTTAATTAGTTAATAATGATTGACTCTTTGCCAAAAACTTTTCTAAAACATATATCTTTGCAACACAATGTCGTAGACCTTAGTATTCTAAACTACGAATTCTGTTGGATCAAATAATCTAAAATTAGAAAAATCAAAGGTTTACACCATCAGGTTACAAAGATAAAGGATTAGAAAACAAGAATTTGAGGGAAATGATCTGCTTCTTTAAAAACGTCTGTGCAACAAAAAATATGATTGACACAATTTAATCTATAATGGATAAAGGAAACCCCTGCTCTAGAGTACTATAAGGGGAGTGAGATAAAGGGTTACCCACAAAGGATGAGACTTCAGAGTCGATTGTACGGAATTTGTTTAGTCCGTTTTTTTGCATTCAGAGTTTCTTGTAGCCCAAAACTGGCATATTTCTGTGCTTAACCATTTAGTAAACTATCAATATACTCGATTGAATGCAGAAACCAAAAATCAAGCTCCAAATCGTCATATCTTTTGATTTTTGGGTCGTCTTTACAATCTCATTCTTGGTGTAAGTATAAGTATGTTTTACAAGATACTGAGAATAATAATACTTTGTTTAATACCTTGTACCAGCTCATAGTAAAATATAATTGAAATACATTTAACAAGCTTGTGTAGGAGGGAAATAGTCATACATAAATAGTAGTAATCTCTGTTCGTCTGTTTGTGTGTTTGTCTGTCTGTCTGTCTGTTTGATGTTCGATCATAGTTCACGATCCCTTGACTGATTTGCCTCAAATTTTGAATAAACCATGTGAATGTTTTTAGTCTGATTTAGAGATCATAACTTGAGTGGGTTGACTTTATAAGGAAAGTTTGGTTTCCGGGCAAAGCTGGGTTCCCTAAAACTCAGCTAGCCTATATAATATATAGGCTAGTACTAGGCTATATAATAATCTGTGTTTGTTTGTTTGGATGTCTGATTAAAACTCATGAACCCCTGGACCGATATTTATTGGGGGAATTCGGGAGAACCACGAAAATATTTTAGTTTGGTTTTGAGATTCTAAATTGCGTGGGTCGAAATTTACTGAGAAAATAGCTAACATCGTAATTTACGACCAGGTGCGGGTAAACGACGGGAGCAACTATGAGTAACCTGAGCAACGCTTGGTTTCTAGGCTAGTACAGAACAGAGAAAAAAAGAATTTTTCCTTGTTATTAAACTGTTTGCATGTTTGAAAACCTCTGGATGTATGGAATAATTAATTAACAATCAGAAAGCCTTTAATAAGTTTAATCAGAGGCCAAATTTAAAGAATTTGAGCGGCGGCTTAAAGTCAAGCCGCGGCTTGAATATGGTTGGTTCCACTTAAAATTGTATCAAATGTTTCAAGATTAAAGCCTGCGCTTAATTTAAACCGGGTTTTGGCGGATTTAAGCCGCCGCTAAAATTCTTTAAATTCGGCCTCAGGTGTACTCAAAACATTAGAATTTATGAATCAAATGACATAAAATAAAGACGCAGCATCAATTCTTTTACTAAGTTACTAATTATCTCATAGGATGAGATTTTACTGAATTAGTTAGGCTTCTATTTAGTTAGTTAAAGGGTATATAAATAAGAGACAGACCTATAACCGAACCATAAATCCAAGAATCGAAACACAGTCGTCTACGCGTCTTATCCTTTGTGGGTTTAACCCAGCATATTGCTTCAAACATAAAACATCTGGATGTTCAAACAAGGAATTCAAAAATGTAGACGAAGTCTAAAACATTTGTTGAGACTTTTGCTTCTTGGACTATCTAAATATTATGGTTTAAAAGAAACATTGAAAATCTATGGCTGACCCCTCTGTATTCATTGGTTTAATCAATTATAACACAACCATACACTTCATATTTTACCATATACGGAGTGATGGGTCAGAGAATATAATCAATCAATCAAATCAAATTATACGTTTCCAAGCTATAGGGATATTAAGGATATACAAATATGCTGCCAAATTCAGATAACTAAACCTCCTTATAGGATAAAAACGGGATATTTCAAGCGTAAAACATTCTTTTTTTGAAATAAATTATAAAACTTCTCACCTCAGCATATTCTGTGGTATAAACAGATTCCATGCTTGGCATTGTTGGGTAGAGAACCGGTTCAGAAACTCGCTGCTGTTTACCCCGTCTTGCTGGTATTGGTGGGGGCAAGCTACTTCTGTCCCCATCTCGAGATAGGTGTTCGCTAGCATGAAAATGGGTTTCTGAATATTTTGCAGATTTTTGTGTTCCAACCTCAGTGTACACGGCTTTATGTTCCAAGGTTGCAATATGTTTCGCGGGAGAAACACGAAATGAAAGAGCTCTGGGTTTCATGTCAGCTCTGTTGTAAGAATAGGAGGAATCCATTTTCTCCGTGTTCATCATCCGTCCACTTTGAGATCGTTTAACTTGTCCTCGTGGTTCAAGACCAGAGGATTCGAATTCATAACTTTCATTTGAGCGATCAACGTCATCGTGACGTCGCGAGCCAGAGCGAGAACGTCGCCGTTCGCGATCTAGGGATCGTTCTCTTGAAACCCTTCGTTCTCGTTCTCGTTCTCTTGAGACCGATCTAAGAAAACAACAATTAAAAAATTTTTATTAACTAACTTTTTTTCAAAAATATTTTTCACACTTTGTAAATGGCATGACGTGAGTATACCTAAGTTTGTATCTGTATTGAGTATCCTCCTGCATGTCCTGGATGGTTACAGGACTGCAGGACGGGGAAAGACTGGCCCGTGGTATCCTGTGCCGACGCGGGTCTGAGCTGCTCCGATCCCGGGCATCAGTTCTATAATAACACAAATGTTAACATCTCCGATCGTACACATCTCCTTATGAAACTTACAGTTACTACCAAAACTATGCTTTTTATTTATTAATCCCCCCCCCCCCCTACACACACACGCATTCTTTAAAATCAAATATGTAATCAAAGCTTCGATTTTTCAACTTATGTCAAAATTGTGATTCATAGGCTTTTAGAAGCTATGGCTTTAATGCAGTATTGGCTTTCATGAATATCTCTTTATTTTGAGAGCGTTTATCAAAGAGAAATTGAATACAACAATAGCTTTATCTAATAATTTTCATGTACGAATAGTACATATATACAGGGTTACCCACAAAGGATGGGACTTCAGAGACGATGATACAGAATTTATTCTGTCTGTTTCCTTACATTAATGAATCACTGCAATTCTAAAGAAATTGAGTTTTCCCCACTAACTCTATCTTTGCAACCCAAATGTCGTAGACCATAGATATTTCAAACTATAAACTCTTTTAGATTATGTAATCTAAGTTTGAAGCATTAATTTGAAATATCGCCAGGTTGCAAAGATAGAGGGACTGGAATATTCAAGTTTGTGGCAAAGACTCAACTCAACTTTCTTTCTTTGCTAAATCATTTAATAAGACAATAAACGACAATATGCAAAGCAGTCAACTTAATATAGCATTAACATATTTTAAGATTTTTTGGTCGTCTTAACAGACTCATACTTTGTAGGTAACATTGTAAATACTGTAAGATAAGTTTCACTCGTATTTTTTTAAAATTTTTATGGCCTTTAGAGCGCTACGACATTTGCTCTATTTCCATTTGCTCTATTACTTCATTTGCTCTAAATGCCATCTGCTCTCTATGTCATTTGGTCTGTGACTAAACACGTCATTTGCTCTATAACCTAAAAGACATGATAAAATAGACTTTATTGTGATTCTTGCATTGTATGTCTGCCGTCCAAAAGCAGACTTCTTTATTTAATTAGGAAGTGTTCGTTCCTTGTGGAATGAATTATATTTTTTTTATTGAAGGTTACATGCAGTAGACAATAAACTATATGAAGAACGGTGGTTAAAATTCTTAAAAAACACTGTTTAAAGATAAGTTAATTGTTGAATGATGAAGTAGAATATGCTGCTTTGACTAGAAAAAAAATCAGAAATTTAATTTTATCGTATTTTGGAGTTAATTAGTTTGAATATTTCCATTTTTGTCTTTTCGATTAATAAAGGTTATGAGAAGAATTTATTGAATTGCGGTAACTATTTTTTTTAAATCGCAAATTTTAAAATTTTGCAATTTGAATCAGTTTTCCAAAGGTGATCAAGATGGCGAGAAAACTGGTGAAAACTATTTTAAGAAACATTGAATTTGTAACCGAAGAAATAGTAATTATAATTGTAATATTATAGAAATGGCAATACTTAAGATAGTTGTATAACATGCATGTTTATAGAGCAGATAATGTGTTTACTCATATAGCAAAGAACGCATAGAGCAAACGTCGTGATCTATGAGCTGCAGAGCAAATGGTTAATAGAGCAAATGGAACTAGAGTAAATGGCCATAAAGCAAATGGAATTAGAGCAAATGTCGTAGCGCCGGCCTTTAGTGAATAGTAAATAGTGAAAGGAATACTTTCAAACTTTTATCTAGCTAAGTATCGCACTTACATCTAAAAAATGAGAGCTTTTCCAGAAAAGGGTTTTTAAGACACTGGTCAAGAAAGAAATTCTAAAAAGGAACTGAGTCTTTCCCTCAAACTCTGATTTTCTAATCCCTATATCTTTAAAACCAAATGTCATAGACCCTGTCATAGATATTCAAACTTTGAACTCTCTTAGATCAAATAATCTAAGTTTAAAATAACAATGGTTTACATCATTAGGTTGCAAAAATATAGGGGTTAGAAAATTTGAGTTGGTTTGCAGAGACTTAACTCCTTTTGACTTTAAAGAGTTTTTTAGTAGTTGTGGCTTACCTAGGACCATGATACGCTGTCTCTACTCGACTAGATCTAGAACTGGATCCTAGCCCAGCTAGCCCCGCTGACCCAGCTAGAGAATCTTTCTTGGATTTTCTCCCAAGAGATCTTGATCTTGGACGATTCTTCCAAACTTGTTCGAAGAATCCAACCTTTTCATTTACACCAGTTTCCACGGTCTTCTTAGTAGTAGAAGAGGAAGAGAAGGAGGTAGCTGGTTGATCTGGTGGATGGGAGGGGCTCCCAGGACCTCCTCCTGGACTAGTGCTGGCCATCTTGGATTCTTGTTTTTTATTCAGTTTTACCGATTCATTCTACTTTCCAATATTAGATTCTAATATTTAAATACTTTATTTACGTTTCTACCAAAACTGTTTAATTATTGATTTTTTATAAATTGTTAAGTTTAACCTTTTAATTATCTGAAAGAAACTATCTACTGATGGAAATTCTATCAGACTTCTTACTTATTATTAGAAAGAAAAATAAGGTTCAATTCAAGCTGTAAATTCGGGAGAATAAAATGTTTTCACAGTATAAAAAGAAACGAGTGTTATGTTAGTCAACAAATTGTGTTTGAAATTACGACAGAAAATAAACAAACAAATCATTAATAAAAGACTTTTTTTATTGATTTTTAGTTTTGAATTGCGATATTATGTATTTGAACCTGAACTGGAGTTTATTTATATTATTATTTTCCTCTCATTAGTTTCAAAACATTACATCTTTAAGAAGTCGGATGGAAAAAATCCTAAATTGCAAAGCTGACTTCAAACAACAAAATTACGAGAATCTGTTTGACAGAGACGTTCAGATAAAAATAAAGCTTATTTTTTTATTTTTAAACATAAAAACTTTTCTTCTTCTATTTGTTTGTTTTCTGTACATAATATGTTTAATAACCTACTTCTCTCTCCTCCCCCCCCCCCTCCCGTCCTTTATGATTATTTTTTTACAACTTGTATGATAAGGCTTTTTAGTTATCCCGACAAATATTCATGCATAGATTACAAGAAATAAAATGTCTAGATTACATGAAAATAAATTTAGATAAACGAATATTAAACATACTGTAAAATAATCGGATTACTTTTTTATAAACTGTAAAAAGAAATAATAGAATCTATGCCTTTTGTCAGATATTTTAGGAAAAATTCCTAAAAAGTCACTTTTGAATTGCATTTCACTTTCACTAGTTTCACTTTATTCACTTTTCACTAACAATTTCACTCTGAATCCTATAAGCAATTGTAATGCACTCATCTCTACTCTACCAAAATTGAGTACAACTTTTCTTCATTTTTCATGTCGAGTTAAAAAATTGAAAGAACGCCAAAAAGTCATTTTATGACATTGTGACATACATTTATACAAATAATAAAATGTTAGAATTAAACCGACTGAAATCAACAGGATGCAAGCTCAGGCATGACACGCCTATGCCCAAATTTGGAAAAAGGGTCCAATCTTTAAGCACTAACGCAGACGAGGTTTGGTGATTTTATCATCTAACAGAATCCAAAATCGTGTAAATATATTTTATATCATAATGTTATAATCTGATTAAACGAGAAACATTTTTGATAAATCAACATTTTTGGAAATCCAATAATATGTTAATCCTGTTATGTTGCACACTGTTATAAAAATACTGTTATTAAATTGTTATAAATTATAAAATGTTTGTTGAATGACAAGCCAGTCTAAAACTTGAAGAGGATGACAATGTAAACAGTAGGTTGTTACTAGAAATATATCGGAGTTATGAAGTTATGAACAAGTTGATTTCTGCTTTTTTAAATTATTAATCCTCTGCACTTTTTCTTATCTCTATAGTCCCCCCCCCCACAACTCCCGAAAATTTCGATTTTGTAAAACATTTGCGAACATATCTATAACTAATGATAATCCTTTAATTCTGGCAAACCCGTTGTTTCCTCTGTTTGATAGATTTGTAGCTGTAGTATGTTATCAGTTTATTTATTTTTATAACTAAATCCAGTTGTTTGTGTTAAAACGGCAAACTGATTATTTTAAATACATCAGCATCAGGGGGAGGAGTAGTAAGGAAACGGATTTGAACGAGGAGAGAAAGGAGGTAAAAAAAAGTTATGGAAAGGAAAGAAATAGATGGGGGGGAGGGAAAAAAATAAATGTAAGGTTGGAGTGGAGGGAAAGGTGAGGAAAAAGGGAAAGGATGGAAAAAAGAAAGATCGGAAAGAAGGGAAAGAATCTGGGAAAGGCAGATTTAAATAGGAAGAAGGCAAAGAAAAGAAAGAAATAATAGGAGGGGAAGAATAAAAAATAAAGGTAAGGAAGAGGAAGCTGAGAAGGAGGGTAAAAAAACAAAAATAGGGAAAAAGGGAAAGGGAAAAAAGATGGGAAGAGTAGAAGGAGGAAAAAGATGTAGTAGAAAGAGATGAAGGAAAAGAATATTCAGAAAAAGAGAAGGGTACCAAAAAATTAAATAAAATATGTTTTGTTTAGTTTTTGTCCTAAAATATGCTTGGTTTACTTCTCCTAAGTGATGTTTGTATAATTCTTGTCCTTAAATTTGCTTTGTTTTGTTATTGTCCTAAAATTGTTTGGTTTAGTTCTTGTCCTGAAGTATATTTGGTTTAGTTCTTGTCCTGAAGTATATTTGGTTTAGTTCTTGTTCTAAAATATGTTTTTTTTAGTTCTTGTCTTAAAATATGTTTTATTTCGTTCTTGTTCTAAAATATGTTCGACCTTGAAAGGTTTATATAATCTTTTATAAAGTAATTATCAGTCAGAAAAAGAAGTTTCTTAAAATCAAGAATAAAAAAGGAACTGACGTAAAATAAAGGGTGTACTGCAGTTTCTGGAAGGAGTGTAAACCCATGCAGTGCTTTGTTTACATTCCTCTCAGAAACTACAGTACACATTATTTTATGGAAGTTGCTTTTATATCCCTTGCATAAAACCATTTGTTTCTATGGTAATCAGTAAGATGTTTAAACTTTCATGTCTTTATAAATATGAAAAAACTAAATCAACTTTCAAGTCAAGTGTGTTGAATAAAGCAGTGGTTTAAAGATTTTGGCTTTCTGGATCCAAGGGGCAAAATATCAACCAAAAATCCCCCAAAAAAATTTTACTCTCAAAATTAATATCTTAACTATTAAAAAAGAGAGATTATAAAAATTTCCTGATTTCTAAATGGTTCACCAAATTTAGCAAAAAAATGAGCAAAAAAAATAGACAAAAAATTTGAAAATTTTGCTTTGCTAAAAAAAAGTAAATTTTAAAGAAATAACCTGGATCCTGATCCAGATTTGGATCCATTTTTTTCCAGTGCGGATCCAGGATCCGGATCCGCATCAAAATCACATGGATCCTAAGCACTGGAATAAAGTAGATAAAAGTGTATGCATAAAAATCTTGTTTCCTACTTGAAATAGTTAAAACCAAGCATTCATCTAAATATCGTTGTAATAAGACAAGTTATATCATCTTAACGCACTGATTACTTTCATGCAATATCAATCCTAAAGCTTTATAGAAGAAGTTTACAAAAAAATTTAGTGGCGAGCTTGAGCTACAAAATTCAAGGTTTTTGAACATCATAGTTTAATCACCAGCTAGTATATCAAGGTTTAAGACAGTATTCAAAACCTGTTGATATGTTCGTCCCAGTGCACGACATAGCAAATCTATTTTTTTGGGTAGGGGAGGGGGGGGGTATAGAAGGTATATGAGAAGAATAAAAAAGGATGGAAGGTATATGAGGAGAATGAAAAGGATGGAAGGTATTCGAAGAATTTAAGTAGGATGGTAGACATATAAGGAGAATAATAAGGATGGTGGGTATATGTGGAAAATGAAAAGGATGGAAGGTATATGAGGAGAATGAAAAGGATGAAAGGTATATGAGGAGAATGAGAAGGATGAAAGGTATATGAGGAGAATGGGAAGGATGAAAGGTATATGAGGAGAATGAAAATGATGAAAGGTATATGAGGAGGATGAGAAGGATGGAAGATATATGAGGAGGATGAGAAGGATGTTAGGTATATGAGGAGGATGAGAAGGATGAAAGGTATATGAGGAGAATGAGAAGGATGAAAGGTATGTGAGGAGAATGAAAATGATGAAAAGTATATGAGGAGAATGAGAAGGATGGAAGATATATGAGGAGGATGAGAAGGATGGAAGATATTTGAGGAGGATGAGAAGGATGTTAGGTATATGAGGAGGATGAGAAGGATGGAAGGTATATGAGGAGGATGAGAAGGATGGAAGGTATATGAGGAGAATGACAAGGATGAAAGGTATGTGAGGAGAATGAGAAGAATGGAAAACAAAACAATTGATAAGAATTGAAACAAAGTAATAAAAGGTTAAAATTACGAATTATAAACGGCCTAGGAAGGAAAAAGTGTAGAGTTGAGTGGATTACTGTTTGGATGAATACAAGGAGTGCCTATACACTACTGAGCTCAAGCTTACCAAACCTAACCAAACCAAACCCAAACTCTTCCCGCATATTTGCAAATTTTATTGTGAGCTGAAAGTCTGAGCAGGGCGTTGGATGAATACATTAAACTCGGTTGAGCCTATAGGTATTTGGTACATGATGGTTTCTGTTAATTCATATAAAACAAAATGAATTCAAGGTTAATATATTTTACTCTTAAATTTTAGAAGGGCGTGATCAAATCTATCCTAAACATTCCAAACCTGAGGCGTTTTCTTCTTCTATTATGCATTTGATAGAATTTAATATTAATATGTCTTCAGTTGAAGATGATTATTAGAAGTGAGAATAGGAGTAAAATTAGTTAAGATTAAGCTTTTTTAAAGCTTAAAGTTATAATTTCAAAAAAAAAGTTGATTTTCAGTTTGGCTGAATAAAGATGGTCTGATACAAGTTTCTAGATGATAAGAACCAACGGTATAGATCAATATTTGACGAACCGTTCAAGATCTCATCACGGGATATCTCTAAAGCAAAACCTAACATTGGAGCAATATCAATTCCAACCCTTTCCTGGACTTAGACCTTTCCTTTCCGGGAGCTACATTATATTCATCAGCAGCATATCCATTAACCATCTTGAAAATCAATCTTCAAAATTACATCCTCACATTCCATTTTAAAAATAAATTTTTAACATCCCTATTGGTTTCTCATTATTGGGAGATTTTTATCTTTTGGACAATTTAGTTAAAATATTTAATCAATCGTAGCTATGCAAATATAAAGAGAATCGTAGCTATACAAATATACAGAGAATCGAAGCCGGAAGAGAAACAGATTTTTTTACTTAAATTCGTTTGCCCAAGAACTACTCGTTAAAAGATTTGAGAACTTAGCAACAGAGGTTAAAGGGGTTGGGACCAATGGTGGGGGGGG